GTTTTAATTGCGAATTCTTCAGAAATTTGCGACATTTCGCAACAATTTTACAGAAAAAAGATAGGATTTTACTTCAGGAATTTACATATGTATACCTAGCACCTGGGCATGTTTTTATTAATTTCACCAGATTATTTCGCAAACTCATCCTCTCCATTAAATGGTTTAGAAGGTGCGAATAATCCACGCAAACCGAATTAAAATACGACATGTAACACAACCGTTTGTACAGATACTTGCGAAATGTGGCAAATAATATATCTACAAACGGTTCTGTAAAACACTGAAGATATCTTTATATCTCTGCGATATACATATCCCACTTGCAAAACCATGCCTCCCACGACACAAATTTTGAAAGCTTTGCAACTTTGCTGACTGAGTTACGTTGATAAATTATGTATTACCAAATTCGTCCCATCTATTAGCCCAGTCGATTGGGTAGCACCGTTTTAGTTCGTCCACCATTGCGCCGCAACACTCCGAGGTGGAAAAGTCGACCTCACGCAAGATGAGGACGGCTGTCAGGATGAGAATATTATTGCTAATGGACACCATCTCTCTCAGGGAGGAAGCAGAATGCAAATGCGTCAGACGAAATAATCAAGGAAACTTATTCGTGATTAGTTATGCAACCGAATTGTTTTAACCAAGACAAATTGACAACAAACAATTGCAAGGCAGTAAATAAATAAATAAATTTCACTTTTATTCGTCCGAATTGTAGCTTGTGTAACAATAACGTGTCTGTCTGTTCGATCGGATCAAAGGTAAGTATTTAACCGTATTTGGTCAAATGTTCAGAAGATCAGCGGTCGACTGACACCGACAAATTTACCAGCAAATTTATGGGGATATATCGGCGGCGTCAGCGTCCCAATGTTGGGGGACGTTCATAAACTTCATAACGCAAGGAGGGGTGGGTATAGAAATTCCGTTACGCAGTGTGACAGGGGGGAGGGTGGGTGAGCTGGGACGTGTTACTGTAACGCAAATTTCTTTTTGTCCGCACAATATAATTTTTAGGCATGCATGGGCATAAAAGTAAATAAAATTCATAAAAACACATAATGAGTGAATGAAATTTATGTATACTAGGAATTCATGTTTTCAAAAAAAATATATTTTTCCACCCTGTAAAGTCAGGGTGTGATTCAGCTATCTAAAATTCGGTGCTGTTTTGAAGCCTTACATCAATATTATCAACCCGATGTTGGGGCTTATCTATCCGTCATTACAGTTGCTTCTCTGTCAATCGATTAGGCTCGTAAGACTTATGGCCCTATAAATAATGCTTCCTTAGGATGAGGAAAGGTTGAGTGGCTCCTTAATTTGTATAAACAATGAAAACTTAGGGGTACCTCAACCTCAACCTCACCTTGACCTCAACTGACCCTTAACCTAAACCTCACCTTAGCTCATCCATATAAACAATGAAAACTTAAGGTTGACCTCATCCTCAAAACTTGAGTTTTCCTCTAAATTTTCAAGGTACCTCATGTAGCTTCCTTGACGTCTACTTTAGCACAATTTTCGTGTTGTTTTTGCAGTTAAAACAGTAGTATTAGCTGAAAAGTCACTTTTATTATTGGTAAATTTTAATTTCGTCCGGAATGACAAATTCGGGTCGCAAAAATGCCTCTGACCAGACTTCGAGATATGCACAATCCTTTTGAATAGTACAATGCTGTCGAGTTACATAAATACATGGTATCCTATAGACAAGGAAATAGCTCTTTTTTTAACGGCCGTTAAAAAATAGCTATTTCCTTGTATATGAGTGAAAAATTTAAGGGAGTTTATGCATAAATTTGGCTGGTTTTATGCAGAGAATTGGCTGGATTTTATGCAGAAAAATTCATGCCGAAACAATTTGTGCACAAAATGTGCAGAATTACGCATAATTGTGCTAAAACCTTTCTGCAGAATATACCTGTCAGAAGTTTTATGCAGAATCGTTCATACTTTTTCTGCACAAACAATTGGTCCGGGCAGTTGTGTAGAATTATGTCAAATTCGACATACGATTTTCACCCGGGGGACCTCATCAGTCCGGACTTATCTTTCCGATAAGTCCAGGTGTGAGTTCATCCATAATCGGAGGTCAACGCCGCCCAACTCCGGTAGCATTTTACACGCCGCCTATAAATCTGATTTCCAATTTTAACATTGGGACGCCGCGCCGCACCACATCGCTGACTAGGCTTTCCCGCGGGACGGGACAAGATTTTTCGTCCCAAAGAATCTACGGACGGGACGAAGGTCATCCCGTCGCTGTCCATCCCGATCGGGACGGGACGTCCCGAACTTAAATGTTTTTCTCAAAACTCACTCCTTTTATTGGCAAAACTAACAATATTTTATGGAAATCTTTCGCATGCGTTGACCCTATTGTAATTTTGTATTTTAAGCATGTGCATATGGTTCTGTCTGATATTTTACCTTAACCCAGTTTTCCATATCATATCTACATATATTGTCAAAATTTGAGGCGTGGTTAGTTGAGTTTTGGTGCTGGTTGTCTTTATATTTCTTAATAATTCATATTTAAGTACATCCGGCCCATCATAATTATCATAATAAAAAATTAACAAATTTAGATTTTAAAATTAAACAAACAATCGTTCTGATTTTTTGATAAGCAGGTTATATTAGATCGAAATGATGGCGATTTTTCAACTTTCCACTATAAATAGTCAAAACTAAAATTTTGAAATTATTGACATTTGACCGAGAGTCGTATCTAAATATGTGCTAAAATCCACTTTTTCATCAATATTTTGGCGAAAAAGTGAGATAATTTAATTTTTTTTCCTACGATTTAAAAAAACCTACGGTCCGACATGTTAATTGTCCTCGAAATTAAAAAAATATAGGCCAAAAATACTTCACAGTTAGCTAAAATGAAAATCAGTTCAAACAAATTGAAAACTGCGTTAATTCAGTAAAAAAAACCTGAGCGAAAACAGTAGAAGCTGAGTTGAGTGGAGGTCAAGGTTCTCCTCAATTAAGGAAGGGAGCGATTTTCATTATTTATATCAAATAAATCTGAGGAGCCACTCAACCTCTCCTCATCCTAAGTTGAGGATGAGTTTAGGTTGAGGTCGTCCCTTCGATTGTTAATATGACCATTAGCTTATCGACTTAAAATTTTGTACGCTCGAATAACATGAAATTCTTATTAAGAAAGAAAATTTCAAAAAGGATTTGTTTCGCCACAAAGTACATGCCCGTATAAAGAGCTCATAAAAACCGTCAAGTTATAATTCTTCCAATCTTAAAAGTCTTAACGCCTTCATTCATTTTTCATATTAGATAAAAGTGGAAATACTTTTGACATTACAAGTTGTAATTTACAACACTGAAAAGACGAGGAAAGGATAAAACATCAGAGACGCTGCTTTTAAGTCAAACGTATATATGTATGTGCTTCTTTTACTTGCATGCAAACCAAATAGCTAACTAGGATTTATGTACACGTTAATGATTCTTGAAATTTAAGTCAACATGATTATTTACATATGCTTCAAATTTCATTCTAAATCCGCAAAAATAATTAGGTATTTAGTTTTGGTCTGAATTATAATTTAAAGAAATTTTTCAACCCACTCAAATATCATACTTAAAACTTTGGAATTTTTCGTCATGAAGAATTTGAATTTCTAACTTGAGTTAAGCCACATGTTGGTTTGAACACCTTCGTCCAAACCAAACTGACAATTTGTCTCACTCAAAGGCTGCACAATTAGCCACTTGCGTTACGTGACAGGGGGGGGGTGGGCTACCAATTTTTGTGACACCAGCGTTACATAGGGGAGGGTGGGTGTCCAAAGAAGCCAAAATTTGCGTTATGAAGTTTATGAGCGTCCCCTTGAAGGTATAGGAAATCAAATTTATTGGTGACTCGGGCTCAAATAAGTTGGGCATAATGTTGTGTCTATTAACAATGAAAGTTGCCACGACAAAAATTGAAAATTAGTATTGTGCAAGATGCGCTTTCCACACGATACATATATATAATACATGTACATACATACATACTAAATAAATATGCACCTGTATAAGAACAGTGCAAAATCGGCGAGAGAGGTTGACACCGACAATTTACGGCGGCGCCGGCGTCAATTTTTGCACATTTTCCGAATCAGGTTAGGCTTCCTAATGTTAACGGAATAGGAAATCAGATGTAATGGCGGCGCCGCATTTTATGCGCTAATCTAATAAATGTCTCCCAATACTTAGTTTAATATTTTATCGCAATTTATTGTACAAATTGCACAGTTTTGTCCATTGAGAAAAGTTCACATCAGGGGCGGTTGAAGTTGAGGGACATGGACATATCATATGGGGACACTATTATTGTGAGAAGAAGGGCTTATTAACATGAATTTCTGGGGGGACAATGTCCCCGACCCCCTTCTTCCGCCGTGACTGCATCATTCATACTTATGCACAGCGTCTATCTGCGATGTATGTACGCAAATAAATATTTATGTTCGTAACACGTCCTTGAGGCACAATGAATATTTAATTGGAAACTTAATTTATAAAATTCAGTTTTTTATTAACTTACAAAGGTTTAATTAAAAGTAAATCCTTCAAATCTAAAGGTAAGTAGCTGGAAACGTGCTTTCATTTCTAAGAACCAAGTTAGTCGAGTGTCGGATGTGTCCTCCTATGGTGAGACCGACTCGAATTCGATTCCCGAAGCATCCACATTCCCAAGCTGGTGTTTGCAATACATCAGTTTGCTTCAAGGATGCGAAATTAATATAAAGTGTGACGTGCTATTGAGCTTTCCACACTTCCGATCCATTACTGTATTTGAAGCTTTCATAGGTGAGAGTTAATTATGGTTCGAACATACTTTTTGTAGTTAAGTAATTTCACAACTTTCAGTTGATCTCAAACATATGTAGCAGACGAGAGGTTGTATGTATACAAAGTTTCATCGACATCCTGATCATTCTGACATGTCAAAAATCATTAGTGCTTCAAAATCTTTAGTATTTACAGTTTATTTATCGGATATTTTATTAGACACATTTCAATTCAATAATTTATAATTAAGAACACTTCAAATTTTTACACTTTAAACATGAAAAGAAATCCCAACTATTTAATACATATTTAATTAAAGATTATAAATTTTACGGAACAGCATTTGCATAATACAGAGCGTTTGGAACGGTTGAAGTAAGGTTTTAAACTAATCGCTGTCATCATCGCTGTCCGAGCGCCAATCATCCTCAAAATCGAAGTCTACGCTGTCATCGTCCATGTACAATTCCTCATCATCATCCTCGAAATCGTCGCTCCCGCTGCCGTCATCGGATGCTGCTTCGTCTTCATCATCCGACATTTCTTCCACCACCGAAAACTTGTCCACAGACATTTTCTTCAGCGCCATGAAGGCGTGTATACTTTCTGCTGATTCCTTGGTAAACTGGAATAAAAAAAATCCCGTTAAACATTATTCTTCTTAATAAATAAATACATACATAAAAATCTGACTCACACAAAGACTGCTAATTTCGACCCGCTCCATTCCACGAATTGCAATTAGAAATTTTTTAAACAAATTCATTTCGTCCTCTGACAAATCGTAAATCTCGTTATCACAATCCAACGTCGTAAGGGTGAAGGTTTTAAGTTCTGAAATTAAGATACGAGCAGTTGTTAAGGTATGAAAAACATATTTTGAAAATGAAAATTTAGTAAATTGGCATGGTATATATATTTATTATGCAAATTTATGCAAATTTAAGTACAGCTTACGCTTAAATAATTCCTTTGCTTTCAAGAGAGCCTGGATAACATCCTCAATGTCTTCTGGATACTTTGGCAACGCCAATTCCAAATGTTTCAAAGCCTTCCAACCCCGACACGTCTTGAGCACCACGCCCAACTTCATGCGACTCTTCTTCCCAGCGAAATCCGTCGTTTTCAACATATCCAAATTTAACATGTCCAAATTCGGAAACGCGGTCACCAATCGATTCAAAAGTTTGGGATCATGCAACTCCATAACCGTCAAATTCTTCATGTTTGGAAAAATCTTGTTATTCGAGTGGCAAATAGTTTGCAAAATTTCATCAACACATTTTGACTTTTCATATGCTTTCCCAATCATCAGAGTTTTCAAGTTGGGAAGGATAATAGGCAAGAGGTCGTCACACCGAAACACGTCGGTCATCCGGTTCTGAAACGTGCGTAGTTTGGACATTTTCTCGGTTGGCAAGCGATATTGATTTTTTTTGAAGTTATTCGTCTTATCAAACTCTCCGTTAATGTCGACGTAGTCAAAATTTAGTGTAACAAGTTGGTCGCTCACTTGACACAGCATGCGGGACAGATCTGAAAGCTTATCTTCCGCTTTGACGATTTCCCTTGGGTCAGCGTTGTCCAGTGCGATTGTTAAGGAATTGAGGCACTTAGAATTCGACAAATCTTGGCTGACTCCCCACGGAAGAGTGACCTCCTTCAAATTTGGAGAGGCGTTGATAACCACGTCGATAAAGCTGGATAGATGCGCCGTCACCTCAACCTCAACTGTGGTGACCATGAAGGACGTCAAACTGCGTCTTACTGGCACAATTTCTCCTCCTGGAATCAGATCCGTTGAACTCGCTGAATTCTGGGTACTTAAGCAGCTAATTCGCAATTGCTGCAAATTGGGGCAGGAATTTTTCAAAAGTTGATACACCGCTGGTAGATTGGTTTGTACAGCGATGCTGAGTTCCAAAATTTGCACGGTGTCGCCAAACTGGTCACAAATTTGGGTTAGGTTCGGCACGAAAGATTCGGCCTTCCTCCAACCGAAGTAAGAAACCCTTGTCGCAAGTCGGGCGTCTACTGAAGAACACAACTCGGAAAATGACATTTCATTCTGATCATCGTCATGACTCAGGCTTAACGCGAGTCGCGTATTTGGCAAGGAGAGAACCATTTCGTTCCAGAATGAACTCACGAGTCGACAAGTCTTCAACGGGATTTCGGCCTGTTTTAATATTTTCGTCAAAATCTGCAAGTAGGGAGAATAATTAAATTGTATTAAACAATGTACATACTCTAAATTGCGTTTAAATTATTTGGCTTACGAGCGGATTCTTCAGTGCGGTAAGTTCCACGCTTTGCACTCCCTGTTGCGATTCCATTGCTATAGAGTCGAAGCCGATGCTACAAATTTCCTGTTTTAAAATGTTCATTTAAAAGGTAAGTATATTTTTAAAAAACAGGAACAAATCCGATTTGCCAAATCGTAATTCATAATTTAAAAAAGAAAGAAAGAAAATTTTATTTAAAGAGAAATTATTCTAAGAAATATAATCTGCTCACGTAACTTACCTTTAGCTTGAGATAAGATCAATGTTCTGGTTTACGTAGGGAATTCGTTTCAATTTAAACAACCGAAAATAAATTTTGCAAATTTGCACGACACACGAAGTATTTCTTTTATTCTTCTTGTCGAGAGCAGATGTTGACTGAATGACAAGGATTGAATTGAATTTCCCACGAGGGTTGGATTTGTCTCATGCCGTGGTTCTCAATGAGAACTTCTTCTCATCCTCCGAATGAGAGAATATAATTTGCATGTAACTTTTAAAATGTCGTATTCACATCGGAACGGATGGATTAATACTTATGCAAGGGAGGCGGAAGTTGGGGGGACATATGGGGACCTTTGTACTATGAGATAGGAGAAGGTGGGGCTTATTAACGCTTATTAAGGGAAGATAGGATTTTTCTGAATTTTTGGGGGGACAAATCCCCCTGCCCCCCGCTTCCGACGCCAGTGTACTGCAATTTTTGGCTTGGATTTGTCAGAAGACTTGATCAGCACTTGATCATTTTCGTCTTCAGATCCCGAAGACGCCCTTTTCGAAGGAAATAGGCAAACCGGTTGGTAATCCATCCATATACCGTTCGCGTTCTCCATGAAATCATGAAACTGTGACCACCATTTATGCATTATATATATATATATATATATATATATATATATATATTTATGTATACATATTTACGTATGCATGTAGATGTACTTGTGAATTTTTTAAGCAAATTATAAGCAATGGAATAGTACATATGTATACAAGCGATAATTAAATATACTAATCCTAAGTAATTCTATCACTTCAAGAATTGTTGGTTGAATTTAATTTAATTTCTTTAATAATAATTTAAACACGAATGAATACGACAATAGTCAAACGTAAAAATAAATTGTACGATCAATATCTAGTAATTGGGTTGTAATGGAGAAATATTTTGTACCTAAGTTTAGGCTCGTTTCCAATAAAAACTAATATACATATGTACATATTTCTCTGAAGGTGTCAGTTTCTCCGGTCTTCATCCGTTTGAGGAAGTGTAATAATCAGTGATGATTTATCTTAATATTCATGGAACTTACTACATCGGAGTCTTTAATTTGTATTGGAAATGCTAAAAGTCCATTAAAATATGACATTGGATTGGAGACCCCACAAGATCATTTGCCTCTTGTTTGACTAAATTCTAATTTATACACTTATTTAGTAATTTGATTACATACACGGAATTTTAGTGGAAAAACGAAGAAACGATTTACTTTATTTGTTAATATTTCGAATGCAATCTGCAAGTCATTATCAAGACATGCGTAGAAAAAGGTGAAAAATTTGTCGCAAAGATTTTTATAAGAAAATTACTGGTTCATTCTCGGAGATTCAGAATTGTACATACATACCCTTACATAAAACATGTTATGTACATACGTATTTACATAATTTGATGAGTTAATGTTGATTCGAGTAGGATTAACGGAATTTACATATATTAAAGTTTTTTAATTTGGCAGCATGATAAATCACGTCGGATTAGCTGCATAACGACTGAAGGATTTTATTGCGGTGGACAAATAAAGCTCTTGAACGGATTATCCCTGTGAACACCTGAGGATAATTAATTGGTTGAATTTTCCAGTTAAGCCCACTCTGAGGGTTATTGCCAGCCAGAAAATCTAGTTATTTCCAGATCTGGTTTTATTTGTCTGCACTGCATGCTTGTTCAGTGTGCAATTATTGCTGCAATGCAATTTAGGTTACAGAGTTGCATCATCAGTTATGTCTGTCTGTGCGATTTAGTTTGTTGATTCGCAAATCCAGGTAAGTAAGTAATCCTTCCAAGGAGGGAATTAATGTGTTAATTGTTTGCGAAATTGCGAATCAGACAAAACAATCATTTACCAATTGTTCGTTGTTTTCAATTTTTAACTTGTGACATTGACGTCAGATTTGTTTTTCGGTTTTTATTGTTATCAAAAAGGTTGCATAAAAATATGGCATGAATTATGATACATTAAGGTATATAAATACGTAATTTGCAAATAAATATATGTACATATGTAATTACGATTACTTTTTTACAGGTGGGGTATATTGAGATAATGCTAACTCTTATTACTCTCCACAAGGCAAGAATGGGCGAAATATGGGCGAATTATTGATCAAGGCGAATGAAATTATGGCCCCGATGAGAGATCCACCCTGCGTCACGGCGCCACACCAGAGCAGCCCACTTTTTCCGTTAGATTCGAACAGTAACGTCGCCACGGAGAGGCGGACGTAGGTGAAAAGGGCGATTACGATGATCCAAACTGCAATCTAATAAGACAAAAAATCTCAGTTTCCCCACTAAAAAATTAAAAATCTCAATCTACCCCCTCCACTCATAATTTGCATATTTAGTATCCACTCACAATCATAACTTCCCCTGCCATACTCCCCACGAGGGGTGGACTTGGACTTTCCAACGCCAAATAGCAGATCCACCCCGTAAAAAAGACCGACGCCCCGGCCGCGCCCAACGCCAACTTGAAGCTCCACACCGGCACGAACAGCGCCACGACGCAGACCACAGGATTGATCATGTTCGACAAGGCGACGGCCAAGTGGTACGGCACGTTCCCGTACGGCGTTCCCGAAAAGGATTGGATGGAGGGGAAGGCACCAAATTCCCAGAAACAGATGTAGCCCTGGAGCATGAGCAAGTAGAGGAAGCTCGTTTTCGGCTGGCGAAGCAGGACTGAAAGCGGGGTGCAACCGGTGGGTGGGGCTTCTTCTTTTTCCTCCTGCGTTTCGGACAGCGTTGGTAACGGGATGGATTTTTCATGAGTACTTTTGCACGTCTCAACTGACCCCCGCGACCCACGGGACATGATTTCGATCATGGAGAGGCGTTTAGATTCATGCGAGGGGTGATCGTAGGGTTGAGGCATTTTGAGATTCTCTGGGGGTGCTTCGATATCGAACTCTTCTTCGAGCACGGATTTTGAGACTTTTCGTGCGTTTTTTGTGACTTCCTTTTTGTTCATGAGGACAAAGGCTACCAGACTGCCTAACACGAGGGTGAAGAGGATGTAGAAAAAGACGTCGACGGAAAAACGGGGATGGGTTTGAGCGGGTTCAAGGCCGGGTTGTCCGTCGGTTCGGTTTTGACAGGCGGAGTCTCCTCCGACGCCTTGGATGAGTGCGACGGCCGAAGGGACGAGACCGCTGAGCCCTTCGCCGAGGAAGTACGAAGTGAGATATATTTCTTGAAATTTTGACATGAAAGGGAGGTAGAGGACGCGGCTGGAACAGTCGACCAGGGCGAGACAGGTGACGAGAACTAGATATTTGGAGAAAATGAGACGGGGGTCAGGTGAGATTTTTGTGTATCATTATTATTCTTGGCTAATTGCTAAATTATTTTACGAGTTGTATTACGTATGTTCTTATGTCAAAATCTCATCTCAATTCATTCACTAAATGTACAATTGGTGAAATAAACTTGGAAGAACATGAGTAGCTATTGGAAAAAAATCACAAAAAGTTTTGCGAAATCTATGCAAATTTTGTAAACCTTCGAAAGTTATGAAGATGCATGTGCTTAATTTGGCATAATGATGAAAGCTATCATGCGTTCGCCCAATAATCCCCAATTTGGCATATTCTTTCTAATTAGTAGTTAGAGACAATAAAGCTTAAATGTTGCCCATCAGAATCAGTGTCATGTCTTAATTTTCACTACAAATAAGTCTCTAAACATGCATAGAAGTGTAGCGAAAAAATTGCTTACTTAACAAGGCCGTCGATCGTTCCACCCCTCCCACGGGGGTCGTCTCCTCCCACAAATTGGCCAACAAAACCGTGGTGACGAGACCAATCAGCATCACGACGTAGATTGCCCTCTTCTCCGTCACAATGTTGGGGGCCATCGAGTTGAGAAAAATGTACGAGAGTGGCCCCACATTCGCCAGCTGGACCATGACGGAGAGATACGACCCGATATTCCACCCCTCCGGAAGGGCCAACGCGAGCAGGGGCAACTGGACGAATAATCCTGCAAAACAAGTCGCACAATTAGCACATATTTATTCGCATTTTTTGTGCAACTTGCTCACCATTAATCGTAAGCCATGTCCCTATTCCGAAAAATGTGGCTAAAATGTCGATATGATAGACGCGTTTGGGTTTCGTAGTGGGGGAGGGCGGATCGGGAGCGTTTATGCGATGTGCCATTATGGGGGATGGTTGCGAATTTTTTTGCAAATAGAGAGATTTTTGCAATGGTTGCGATCCTCTGAGCAGGAGAAAGTGAAATGGTGAAAAATCACGGGAGTCAAGAAGGGTATAGATGGTGGTCAATTGCATAATTTTTGTACTTTGACGTTGCGTCGGGTGGCATTGTGACGCACGGGACGGCACGTATTATATCTTGGGCATTGTGCAAAATAGGGGATTTATCCAGTCCAGTGATCAATTATTTGTGCAGGTTTAGGATTAACGGATTATGGTCCGCGGTGAACAAACAGTTCCAGTTTTTACTGGTGAAGTTATCCAGAATTTACTGGCTGACCAGGGATTGACTGCGTGATGGAATTGTTCAACTATGCAATGCACTGCTGAAAGGTTTATCGAGTCCGATAATGATGCGAATTTCGAGTGCAGAGCCGGGTCGAGGAAGCTTTTGGATGGAAAGGGCATTACAGATCGGTCGGGGTTATTCCCACATAAATTTGAATTTCATGACTTTTTAAAATTCTGGGGTTTTTTGTTTCGAGTTTGAAATGCTTTAGAATATATTTAAATCAGGCAAGAGAACAAGTTACGGCGCTTAAAATATGATTTTTGGATATTTTTTGAAAACTTTATTTCGTAGGAAAGTCTACTCAGAAATCTAAAATACGAATATGGATTTATTTGGAAACATAAATCTAAATGCCATATCAAAATATAGTATAAGTTGTGTAAAATAATTTTACAAACTATTACAAAATAAAAAGACGTCCCTGATCTGAGCAAGTTTACAAAAATTTGTAACCTAATTTTCCCTAGAAATTTTTTTAAAATTCTGTAAAGGTTTGTAAGTTTACAGAATTTATTTTACAATGTTCCCAGTGACTACGTGAATTTCCTGAAGATAACACGGAAATACAAATATTTTTATTATCTCATCCACAAAGAAACGCTTCGGCCCTGTCTTTGTGATTGCCTCCGTATTATGTTAACCGCACAACAGTGGAAAGTTATTAATCCAGAAGTAAATAGATAAGGCCAAAAGTGGACATAACTGGACTGCCGACTGGAAGTTACTGCTTGGTCGGTGAGCTCAACGGTGGGATTGCAGGTGTGGTCCGCAATTCAGTCTCACTGCATCTCAAGTGATTTGTTTGCGTGGATGATTAATCCGCCAATAAAATATATTTACATAATTTTATATTAAGTATGTAACAGTTGGATTTATGCTGATCTTACCCATCCATTGGGATTATCGCTAATTTGATCGTTCTGCATTAATAAAAAAGTTATGTACCGCAATTTACACCTGGATTAAATAAATACATACACAGATTCGATAGGGCTTATTTTGTAAGCAATAAGTACAGTTTTGTAACAGTTTAGGGTTTTGTATAGCTACCAAAGTGTGCTAATCCGCTCGGAAATTTATAATTTGTAACGGTTAGTTTGAATTAATTTGACATTAAGTGCGTAGCAGTCAACAGACTACCGGACTAACCGGACCACCACAATAGGTACACAAACTGCGATATTATTTATCCCTGTAAATTTTTTGACACTAATGATTCCCGAAAACGCGGACGGTGGTGTGGCGCATATTTTCTCGCATCGTAAAAGTAAATGAACTAGATGATCATGAAGAAATATTGCTCAAAAACTGGTCAAGTTTATCGTGTTTTACATGCTGCACGTTCCTCTGTTCCCATTCTTTTAGTCAGACGGGAGAGAGATTTGCATATTACGGATTTGCAAAGTTTTGCAGGTATCACGAATATGAAACTGAAACTGAATATGAAACTTAAAATTTATGATCCTGTGTGACACATAAAAAGCAAGAATGAGGCAATTTTTTCTAATGGTAAGTCTCAAAATGAGACTCTCAATACCGAGAAGTTTGATTGCTTTTAAAGTACATAAATACATAAGCTTAATACTCTTGGTGTAGAGATTTTTTTAAATCTGGGATATGTACATGCAATGTCGGTACTTAGAAATCTAGTATTGAAATTATACCAATTCATATACTTACAGCGTATGATTCTAACAAAGTGGTATTTATAAGTAATATCGTGTAGTAAATAATCGCTCACTATTAAAGCTGTGCCACATCGGTAGCAAATTTTTACGGACCGGGGTAATTTTAGTACCAAGCGGTAGCACTTTAATACCGAGAAGTTAATACCTGCCTGACTATACCAGATTTCTAATAGTGTGTATGCAGATAAATATGTACCGTGTGAAAATGCGAAAATTCAGGCATGCTTAAATTTTGTATGCATACAAAATCAAACAACTTGTTCAATTCTCCAAATAACACAGATTACATATGTGGATAAATTACGAATTCATTCCCTGTTAATAAGTGTTCACCCAATGTACATGCATATGTATAACAACTCGATAATTTACAGTAACAAATATAGATATATTAATATAGATATGAAATTTTATTGTATCCAACATAAAATTTAAATGATAATTCTCACTCCTCATCTATTCCGTAACTTTGTATGCACGTATGCATATGTAACTTCCTACTTCTTCTCTACCAAGGCCACTACGATAAAGTATAATACAAATTTGTATCAAATTTTAATATGTATCACAATCTTCTATTTATGTACAATTGTACGTACATACGCACAAAGAGCAGTCAGACGAAAAATATTTCCTGGCTAAAATTCCATCAGAAATCCAATATATAAAGCCAACTGTGCAACAGATTTTTAACAAGAACCAAAATTCCAACACTAATTTCTGCTTTGAAGTAACATTTAAACTTTAGCAGAATGTTTCCCAAAAATTGTGCACTTTTGGCACTAATTTATCTAATCCTCGTGATAAATCTGATCCACGTGTCGAATGGGAGTCCAAACCCGATCGTGTGGACGGATACGAATAATTTTGAGCCTGCGATTATACCAAGTACTAAAAATAATCATTATATATCATGCAATGGAGGTCTCTCAGCGCATGGTCAAAGATTTGGAACAAATTAGCGTCAATCGGTCGCAAATTTAATTGGTATCAAGTTTAAAAATGATACGCTCTGCCAATGCGCAAGTTTGGGAGAGAGATTTGAGATTTGCATCTAAAGAGAAGAAAACGTGCCCTAAAGCTGGCAAATTTTAGTTTCCAAATTTTCTGCGCGTTTTCTCCTCGTCGAATGCAAATATCTCTCCCAAACCTGCGCAATGGGGGAAAACGTATTTTGCAAATTTCATATTAATTCCCTTTGTGATCAATTGGCACTAATTTAGCCAAAATCGGAGAGCATATGGTGGGAGACCTCCAGTATTACTATTAGTAAGGGATCTTGCAAAAGGGATGTGATCAAGTCAAAGCAAGAGGGCATATTTGTGGATCACTGGTGAATAAAACTCGTAAAAGTTGATCACATGCTTTATGTTTGATCTTTGGTCTCTAAAATAGTATTAACATTTTGTATAAGGCTAACAAGATTAATTTTTATTTTGAACAGGAGTCTCAGGATTCAACTTATCCAATGTTGACATAAATTTTGCCTCGTGGGCACAACTCTTAAGCCTTGGACGATAAGTTGCAAAGTTAGATATAAAATATTCACTAAATAGATAAATAAGCTTGTTCAAATAAACTCTTGTAAAAACGGAATATAAAAAAGTGGCGAAACCAAATATGTTTTTTTTTGTAATCCACCATTGAATAGAGTCTAAAATACATATGTAATGAATACAACCGAAAGAAACATTACTGATTCGGAATAAAAATTCAGTTTTTAGTTTTATTATCGTATACTTAAATTTTTTAACAGTATTTCATTAAATCTCTGGAAATACAATAACAAAAAAACATCACTTATCCAGAATGGAATATTAAATTCAAAATTAAGTATGGCAACTATAAAAAACTATCCCTGTTCTTCCCTCACTTTTCCATGATTTGACTTTTTAGCGTGATCCTTTGCATCACTTCTATTAAGAAATGTCTCATTGCATCCGCCACATTTGTACATCGAGAGGAGAGGATTCTCCAAAATTTGGGTCATTGCAATTTCCACGTTGTCCAGGAGCCAAACCCCCGTTCGTACAGGGACCAACAGTTCCCCCCATTTCAGATCTGTGGCGGAATTACGACAAATCTTCTCATGCAGAGTAAACGTCGGGGCGGAACCAAATACCATTTTCCGGCAGAATTTGCAATAATTCGAAATTATTTCGCGTCCTCGGATCGACTCCTGTTCCGCTTCAAGCCTGGATTTCGCATCTTCGTCAAATTTTTGCACAGACTCCTCACCAACTCCGCCGCCGCAGGTTGTTTTATGCCTCTCAGCAACCGAAATGTTTCGAAATCCTCGCCCGCAGTGGGGACAGGAGAAGAGGTCAGGTTTCTCGTGCACCTTTAGCACGTGGTTGTCCCGCGTTTTGCGCAAGGTGAAGACACTTTGGCATACTTTACAGGTGAAGTTTCGATGGGTCGGATGGTCGAGGAGGTGTTGGTCCAAGGTGGTCTGGCACGCGAAGGTGAATCCGCAACGGAGACATTTAAATGGCACATTATCTAAATACAAAAATAAAAGATTATTAGAAGTAGAAGTAGATTCTTAGAAGATTATTATAAGTTAATTTACAACTGGTAAAATCTGTAGTTTTGTATAGTGATTTTACAAAGTTTTAAAAAATAAAAAGACGCCAAAGATTTGAATACGTGTATGAAAATGTATAAGCTAATTTTTGTTAGAATTAGTTTGAAATTTACAAAGTTACCAGGGACTGCGTGAACTGAGTTACTATTTTGAGAAAAATATTTGCAAAATGTAAAATTGATTAAAACCCTAAAACCCAGACAAGCTTTGTCCAGTTATTCTAATTATGGGGACCTTGCATATCATATTAATTAAATTTGTTTGTACACAGTAAAAGTACCGTACACAATTTTGTAACTTTCAAAATCTTATTTTTCATCCGAAATTTTTATAAATTTGCCATCTTCCCCAGAAATACTGCTTACCCGTATGATTGAGACGAATGTGTTGCTTTAAATTCCCCTTATTTGCACATCGATATTTACAACGGCCACACTGGAACTGGATTTTGTGCTGTTTCCTCTTCACCAATCCCCGCAAGGCGTCCTCATCCATGACAATTTTCTTCATCTCGACGCCCAAATAGGAAGACCTGGGCACATCTGCGTCCGCCACGACAACCGCTGCATCCTCTTCTCCAGTTTTTGACGAACCGTCGCATTTTCTGACGTGATAATCGTAATTTGATTGTCCTCGAAATCTAACGAAACATATGGCACACTGGTACCGCGCCCCGTTGAGGTGCACCTCAACTTTGTGGTTGGTCAGGGTGGCGTCCGATTTGAAGGAGAGGTCACACTCGTCACACTTTTTATCAAATGTGGGGTCAAGACCTGTGACGACACATGTGACGACCTTTTGGGGTTGTGGCAGATCCATTGTGGCAGGGTCACATTTATTGGATTGCAAGATGTGCAAGGTCAAAAGATCCTGCGACGAAAAGAGGCTGCCACATGATGAGCAATGGAAGGGGAGGCGATCCGTGAGAAGATCTAAATTAAAATTATAATGGAATTTTAAGTTAATTAATAATTTCTTTAAAGATGAGATACATTTGGCATTAATTAACATACGTGCATGTTGCTTCACGTGGCATGTCATAGCACGCCACGTGGTAGATTTAGAATTGCACAGGCCACATTTGAAAATCGATCCGTCAGATTTTATTTCCACGCCGCCATGTAACACTTTTACCATTCGTTTTTCAGCCTCGCTATCAGTCTCCTCAGGTTCGGGAGGTGCAATAACCTACACAATTGTGAAAAATGTATGAAAATTTTGAACGAGGCACTTTATGCAGGTATTGGTAACTTTGTAAAATGTGTAAGTTTTGTAAAATATGTAACTTGAGAAATTTTTACAAAATAAAACGACGCCCTTGATCTGAGCAAGTTTTCAAAAATCTGTAGGCCAGGTTTCTTTAGAAATATTTCCAACATTTTGCAAAACTTTGCAAGTTTACGAAAATTACAATAGATTTTACAATGCTACCAAGCCCTGCGTGAATTGCTTCATTCTCTTTTATGTATCAAAATTTAAGAAATGAATGAAAGTTGAGTTATGAAAACGGGTATAATTAAAAATTCTTGTCATTTTTTCGAATGTTTTTCTCTTACTTTTCTGACCCGTGGACTTTTTCGAACTCTTTGACGAGGCTTTTTCACCCGTAGAGGATCGGATTTTCTTCGTCGCCTCCGTTTTCGAGGGAGAGGAAGGTCACCGTCATCGCTACTACTTTCCCCAGAAGCATGCGGCGATTCTTCTTGATTTGGCGAAATTCCTAAATCCTCCCACTCTAAGGAATCACTTATTTGCTCAACGACTTCATATTCGGGGTCACTTTCATCTTCTTCGCCATCGAGTTCAATTTTGAATGGTCCATCGTCCAGATCGAGGTCACTTTGTGCATCGTCATAAATTGGGGACGAGCCTGCGGATGGGAAAAGTTGTAAATTAATCATGTTCGACTCTCCACTTTTAATTAATTTTAGTGTTTAATTAATTAAACAAATGTTGAGGGCAATACAAAATTAAGTACATACAAGAACTTCTATCTGATTCTTGTGGTCGTCTACTTTCTAAATCTGTGTGTACTCGGATCACAGCGACGGAAGGGTTAAATTCTGCCAAAAAACGGTAAAATTTTACAATTTGACCAATTAAAATGTTTATCATAATTGATTAACTCACGTGAGACACTCTTCCTCCTCAACTTTTGCAAAACATCGTCCTCCTCAATCACCTCGTCCCGATCCAGATTTTCCAACGTTATCGTATACATTCGAAACAAATCTTGCCCCAATTTTTGCAAATGTCCGCAAATTGTTTGCAACAAAGTGCCACATTTTTCACAAGAATGAAAATCTTCTCGGCGAAAATTACTCGCGTACTTTTTGTCCATGTTGATTGTGTTGAGATAAGTTAGAAATAATGGGACAAAATCTGACCCACAGGAACAGTCACACCCTGTGGATTGACAAGAAGTTCGGCAAAAAAAGCAAATCCCTGAGGTTGCCATGGTTACGAAGGTGCAATAGTTTTTAAATGTCTTTAATTAAGTAAAGTTAGTTAATTAACAGTCAACTTTAGCCCGTGAATTCGTTATAATACTGCAATAAGAATGGATTATAGATACACATTCTTAGATTTATTTTAAACATTTGCCTAACTTCAAACTTTTAATTTGTCTACAATTTTCAATTTCTGTTTTATTTTTTTTTCGCGTAAAGATTTGTGAATCACAAATTGTGACTTGATCGCGCCCTCGATTCAGCTGCTCGTTTCTCCCTTTGCCTTTGTTCATGAAACAAAATTTCTATGCATATCGCTCCTTTTCATAAAGAGGAATCTCGAATTTCATAAGAACAAAGCGTTATAAACGTCACGTAATTTTTCTTTAGATAAGGTGTACCTAAGTCCTTATCTAAGGCAGATCTTCTGCAAGAAGACCTCTGCTTTTACGCTTATAAACTTTCACAAACTTTTGCTGGCATTTAGATATGTATCAGTGTTTCTTTTTGTGCGCACGAAATTATTTTCATGCATGCATGATGCACAAAAATGAACAAAAATGCACAAAAATGCATAAAAATGCATAAAAATGCATAATATCTAATACATGAAATGCAACTTATGCAGTTAATTTTATATTTTCAAGAATTTTTATATTTTCCTTCCCTGTCAAATTGGAATTTGGTACACATATCGAATATGTAACACGGAATTATTATTCGGCAAGAAAATTTCAAACAAATGACAAATATTTGTTTTGTTATAAAATACAAGCCTGTATTCAGCTGTTCATAAAAATCGTCGTGTTCATTCATTTTCAAAACCTTCGTTCATTTTTCGTATTGAAAAATGAAAGATATTTTAACACTAAATTACCTATTAAAATGATAAGGAAAATAATACAGAATTGCACAAGGACTTCTTAATTAATCGAATATTTAGAGAAATTACATTATTCTAATATAATTTGCATGCAAAGGAGGACGCACTCCTTTTACGAGAAAATCCCCCCCGTGATATTTGCCCCAAATTTTGATATGTTGTACACCTCGACGTGCTGAACAAAAAATGTACTGGTCCCTAAGCCCTAAGTGACCTGGTTCGACCGGAAACCGAGGTCAAAGGTCAGTGCACTTTTTCGCTCGAGAACCCACAAACCGTATATTTTTGGAAAGCTACGGACCTCACGAGTCCGAATATACACCATAATATGGTCAAAGGTCAACCCTTGACCTTTGGGGGTCAGGTATTTGGGCAAGGTGACCTTTTATGGACCTTACGGAAAGGACCTCCGCTGCACTCCGGTCAGCCGAGTGAGTGCATGGCAACAAGCTTAGTCGACTCTATTGCTTTTGTGTGTGCAACTGTGTTGCAACAGCAAAACACATTTGCAACTTTTTTGCTTGACCTCGAAAGGTCAAGACTTGACCTCGAAAGGTCAAGGGTTGACCTTTGACCCTATTATGGTGTATATTCGCACTTGTGAGGTCCGTAGCTTTCCAAAAATATACGGTTTGTGGGTTTTCGAGCGAAAAAGTGCACTAACCTTTGACCTCGGTTTCCGGTCGAACCAGGTCACTTAGGGCTTAGGGACCAATACATTTTTTGTTCAGCACGTCGAGGTGTACAATATATCAAAATTTGGGGCAAATATCACGGGGGGGATTTTCTCATAAGAAGAGTGCGTCCTCCTTATTTTCGTTCGTTTTCGTGCATTTTCATGTACTTTTTCGAATTTTTAGTTAATGTTATTAAACGTTTAAAAACATTTTCGTGTACTAATTTCATGCAGGTGTTATTTAACAGCAGAAACACTGATATGTATACATTTGTAAAACCTTAATTTCTTCAGAAAACCTGTACATATATGTATTTTCACGAGTGTTATATTCTCCATGTAGATTTTCATCTTTTTTGTGAGTGTTAAAGTCCTGGAAATTTAACAGGGGAAGAAGGGTGCTCCAAAATACTGTATTTTGACAAAGTATTTTGGCCACCCCTGCAGTTTATGTACGGTATATGTACATAGATATATAATTTATTTATTACTGCTGTATTTTTATTATTTTATAATAATCATTACGATATTTACATAGGACTCATATTCAGGTATTCTTACCCTATCCAAGTAATCTTTGTTAATGCGTACATACACTATGTATGTATTAATGTATACACTATTAACACTGCTTTAAATATTCTTACTTACATATATACCAGCATACTAATGTACATCCATACGTCAGTGCTGAGTTTATTCGAATAAATTACTAATCAATTTCATCAGTAACAACAACAAATAGTGGATTATATTATATTTACATTTAAAAAATTCCTTATTTACGTATCATTATCTTTGCACACCTTATCATTATCCACGCACCTTTCCTACCACCTTAGCAACACCGTGTCTAAACTTGAACCCCAAGTATCGTAGCTTTTCATACGTAACCGATTCAGATAGGAAAATTACCAATGCTACAGCAAAAAGTCCTACCACCAGAAGTAGAAACCCATCCAAAGCAGAAATCGACACTGGCTCGGCATCCTCATGCACAATTTTTCTCCTTATTCCAAACAGATGAGTAAGAATCACTTGACGAGACAAGTCCTCAGACGTAAATTTCTTCACATTACTCACCAATTCCTTTCCATCGTCTAAATCCCCCCAGAGTTGAAATAAACCAGATTGTGCTAGTTGACCAAAACCTTGGGAAATTTGGGGAAGAAATATTTTGCCAAGGACGCAGATTGGATTATGCATGATAGATATTGACGGTTCCAGACTTCTGACCACCTGAGGATCTCCCTTCAACTTTATCCCAGCTAGGATCTGGACCAAATCATGTTCCAAATTTATAATCGCAAACGTGTCCATAACACTTGTAACTTCCCCAGAGTCAAATTTCACCGGCAAAGAGTCCGAAATCCTGAGACCTAAGGTAAAAGGTGATGCCCTTTCGATAAATTTAGTCCTCATTTTTAGGTCAGTCAAAGTACGGAAATGCTTGGTTCCCGTTTGCGCTGCATTGATTTCATCTTCAAGGAACAGTGCCTTGAACATTGAACCGTATCCATTAAGATTAGAATAATAAGGCGTTGTAGTAATAATCTGAATTTGTGAGTCCACCACTGACTGCAAAGTTGAAGGGAGATTTGGTGACTGCACGGTTACAAGGGACGAAAATATGGCTCCTTGGTAGAATACGGTACCCATGAGGAAAAACATTAGGACCCAGAGAACCACAAATATCGCGCTGTACACTCCCATTAATTTTATGATAGCTGGCGTGCCATGGAATTGTCCGAACAGACAAGACAGGATCCAGTATGTGCATTGCAAAAAATTCGATTTGAAATCTATCAAAGATCCAGACTTGTTGAACCCAATACCCGCTAACAGGACGGATATAAGGAGCAAACTAACAGCAGATGCGGCCCACGTGGGAACATCAAGTGGCAATGTAACCGCCAGAATACCGTCAACTTTAGACCTTTTAAATGACACAGCAGCTAATTTAAACTGGTAGCTTTGTGGGCAATTTGGGAGCCAGGAATAATGTGTTGACAAAGGATTTACGAACACATCATAGATAGTGCCTTTAGTTACAGCTAGGTGGTACCCGATTCTATGCTCGCTGTACTTAAGATCGGGTGGATACTGAATCCCAGATATTATAACATCAGTGAAGTTAAGCTTACCACCGAGGGCTAGTTGGGCACATATGAACCTTTGCGGGAATACGTTTTCTCCTCGTTGGATTGCGCTGCAGGTTTCTTTGTTTGGGTCAAAGTTCATTTTACCGTCCGAATCGACTTCAAAACGATGTAGGTTCGAGTTTTGCAGTTTCCAGTAGGCATAGAGGGAGCCAGTATCACGAATATGGGTAACTGGTACCTCCACTAATTGATGACTGCAGGTGTGACAGATGACAAAGATGTGGACAAACTCTGTCACGGGCTTGGCGGGCTGATAAATGACAAAAAGACTTGAAGATAGTTCTGATTTCCTATCGGTTTCGAACCTCCGGAATGCTAAGACAAAGAATATGTAAGCCGGGTTCTGTCCGCATTTATAAAATTGGTATCCAAATTTCTGGACCAGGTCTCGCTCTAGAAAGGTTTCTATTTTGGGGAGAAATAAGATAAAAATCTGGGTTGTGTAATGTCCGTAATATTTTGGATACGTGTACTCGTTATATCGGCAATTCCTGTAGGATGGATTGTACTCGATGTAATTGCCTTGGAGGTCGTGCACAAGCTTGGGAAATTTTGAGTTTTGCAGGAGATATTTGAATAGCTTGGTTTTCCAAAAGGGGTGATCTAGGTTGTAGAAATACCCCATCAAGTGCAGGACAGATGTTTGAGGAAATAAGCGATCAATTTTGGTAATCTTGATTTGGCTGGATTTTGAGAGGGGAAGAAGTGAGAGAAATATGCTAATATATATTTTAAACATCATTTTGCCACGTACTGATGAAATTAAGGGGTATCATTTTTTGAATGTGATAAGTAAGTATATCGTCGAAATGTAAATTAGAACCAGACGTTTTCACGTTGTCTGATGTTTAGTCCCAATTTAATTTCGCAAAGCATCGTCAAGTTATTTGATTCACCTTTTAAAATTTGACACGCATTGACCTATACGAAGGTGGTTCTTCTTATAATGCATAACGTACATGGCACACCAATATGCTTTCGATACTTAAATTTGAGGCTCCAATGGTATCGTGCCTATGTTAAAAGGGGTGTCTACACTCTTAGAAATAGGGTTACGATCATAACCAAAAAGGTAACGTACATATGTGACTCTTCCACCGTAGTTGTAAATTAGTCATCGAGTGGTTACAATTGTCACCGATTAATTATAAAGCTTCACCGACTTGGTATTAAATTGTCACTAGAGCTAATCAATTTATAACCAGTTGGTCACAAATTTATAACCACGGCGGTAGAGTCATATACATTTATATTTTAGTGATAATCGTAACCCCATTTCCATATAAGAGCGTAGAAGATCACGATTTTTGCGTCATGGATGACTGATTGTATAGATGGCTACTTGCATATGCAAGTTTCTCCTGGGTCGTACGACCGGCAACTCATATAGCATAAGGATTATTTCCCCATAGAGTTTTGTTTCCCCTTCCAGTTAGATATTGGTATTTCATGTTTTTGCGTGACATAATTTATGGATCTCCCCTAATCGCGTGTACGTAGGTACATACAAGTTGCCCAAAACTAACTGTTTAGTTCAGATTAAATGTTTGCACATGCCACATCGGCATTTAATACCGTTTAAATTTTTCCTGTAAAGCAGAACTAAAAATGCCTATGGCGGGTATGAACTTTCATTTCTGTCTGAACCTTCATAAGTTTAATCCCTCTTTGTGAGTTATATCTATGTTTAATTATTAAATACTTTTAGCTTTTAAGCACACGCGATTAAGCTCAAGATTGAATTGTAAGTACACACATTCAACATGTTTTGCAGGAGGCACTCACCAATCAGCAAATTGAATGCTATATTAACGGTACCCCCTCGAACAAAATGCACAAAAAGTCGATATATACAATCTTATCAAACGAAAAGAAGTAAAAGCATGGAGAAACGGTCTACAGAAGGCACATACTTTGGCAAGTTATTAATGCAAGAACGATGGTGTGACAAAATTTATATAGTAGCAAAAGTTTTTCTTTAGTATATTAAAGAAAAACTTTTGCAATTACATTTTGTAAAATAATTTTGTAAAATTTTATAAAATAAGCTAGGACTGCCAATGAGTTCGAGTCAACTCATTTGACTCATTGAGTTAGTGAGTTGAGTTGAGTTTGAGTCGAGAGTATAACTCGACTCACTTTGAAATGAGTGAGTTGAAAAATAATGAGTTTGAGTTGAGTTACGGAAAATGAGTTTGAGTTGACTCATGAGTCAACTGATTAAGGATATTTTTATTGCCAGTTTGTGCATTTCGAGATTTTCACCTTGACGAAAGCAAGCCGCTAAATCATTAGTCAGCGATTTTTGATAAAATTATTCACATTTCTCGATTTTTCACACTTGCAATCTCGTGAACCACTTTCGCTCCAAATATTTCAAGATTGGATTTCCTGGGCCGGTTGAGATTCAACATGGAAAAAAGTGCAATTGTCAAAAAATTTTGAATGAAAAATTACACTGTTAAATACACATACTAAGCTGTTATCTCTATACCCGTCGTCATCATATACCGATTTGTTGATTAGTTTATCGAAATGAACACAACAATTTTCTATTTGTAGATTTTAGCCTTCTGTTGGAAATCATGAAAATTGTAATTGGTGACATCGTTATCAACGGAAATTTTATTTTAAAATCATACGTTTGACGAGCTTTTTAACCCCTTTTGAACGTATTTATTTAAATACATATATTTTACTCTAAAAAAGGTGAGTCGATATGAGTTGAGTTTGAGTCGTTAACATTTGAGTTGAGTCGAGTTTGAGTGAAACTAATTTGAGTCGAGTTGAGTTTGAGTTGAAACTAATTTGAGTCGAGTTGAGTTTGAGTCGGTGATTTTTCTTATTGAGTTGAGTTGAGTTAACCCTCAACTCAGCTCAACTCAACTCATTGGCAGTCCTAAAATAAGCCCAGGAATTCTAATCAAAATGCCTCCTGCTCTTACATATACAACGACGAAGTATTTTACATATTTCTGTAACACAGATATTTTATTTATCATTCTCGGTTATCATTCTCGGCGAAGTATGTAAATGTACTGCATAACTTATCGTGACACCAAAATTTCTTTAAGAAAATAAGTATTTTGTGGAAAATTCGATCCCAAAAAGTGGATTATTTTCAACATTTTTCTTCTCCAATTTTGGAATTTTCCCTATACCAACGAATGTTAAAAAATCGGGTTTTCATATTTTTCATGACGAAGGGAAATTTTCTTAAAAAATCAGTCAAGATATGTATTTCTAAGTAAAAAAAATGTTGCATAAAAAGCGTAAAAGTAGAGGCGCGACACTCATTTACCCGATAATATCCTGGATGCTTGTCAATAGCTGCTTGTCGCATCACTTAAAAATAACGAATTTAGACAGCTACATAAACCCATTATCGGGCTGTGTGCTTCATCTACTTAATTACGAAAATATAGAAATCCCCAACAGCATACGTCTCCCATTTATCACCTCTCGGGTCATCGTTTTGCCGTACTGCAGAGTTGATTCGAACAGTGGGTTTCGCCCAAAAGTAGAAGAGGGCTTTCCCTTCAAGACCGGAAGTAACATTTCCTGTTTACCACAAGGATTTACACCCAAGACGAAAATCCTGTCAATAAAATCTCAACAAAAGGGTTGGAACCGATTGATCCGAATTTATCTCTTTCCTCCCCAACCAATCACAAATAAACGTACAGATGGCGTTACATCCGTACCAGACATGTTTGAGGAAGACTTTGTTTGGAATAAGAGAGCTTATTTCGACGATACCACATATTCCCGATTCCAGTACCATATTCTTGTAAAGAAGCCAGATTATCCTTTCCAAAAGTGGAATGTGGGATTGAATAAGCTCATCGAGTACAATGCGATGATAGAAATATTGGTCTGGAACACTGAACCAGGATTCAAGCAAGCAGATGAATTTGAAATTGTTGAAATGCTTTTTGTCTGCAAGTACTGCGAGACTTCTTTTCGATCATTTCATTCTGGAACAAACTATCCAATGTCAATTTCACATATTGAAGCTCAGACATCATATCTGAACACCTTATCGTCCAAATTTCCGTTCCACGTTTTCTTTCTCAATGAGCAAAAATGGGTAGAGGCTGGGAAAGTTAAATCTCCGAAATTCTGGGAGTTTGGAACTTACAAGTTAAACGTGGCTCAGATTGTGGTTAATTTATTGCTCGATAGACTGAATAACAGCAATACTACTACAAAAGAAATCGGTGTCAGGTGGTTCTTCCCGCTTGATTCGTTTGGCGCAAAATGCGCTATTAACTTTGCGCGGGAAACAAATTCTTTCTGTGAACGTTTGGAAAGTACAATTCCGTCAATCGTTATCAACTCAGAGTCAAACATCAAGATAGCCTTGCGCCACAAGGTTTTCACCTTCTTAACCAGTGGAGATCGGCGCCACGGAAGGATTTCTATGGAGGCAATTCTCCACATTTACGACGTCTACATCTGGCTAGGAATTTTTGTCACGGGTACAGCCATTCCACTAATGGTTGTTCTCGTAACCAGAAAAAAATTCCGGAATGGTTTGGGCGATTTGTTCATGGGCTTTGCAATCCTACTTGAACAAGGGACAAATGTGCAGACGTATGGATCAAGGAGACTATGCATGATGCCCCTGTTGGGCCCTTGGATCCTGATGTGTCTCATCATAACGAATGCATTTCGAGGGGATAACGTCACCAATGTGCTGCATCCCTTGAGGGCCGTGTCGATCGAAAATTTTGGACAATTGGTTGCCAGCAATAGCTTGGGATACAGTGATATGAAAGGGGTGAATATTCCATACCCGTCTTTTATGATGGAATACGACTACCTCCTATTCAATTACCATGCTTACCAAACCAGTTTCCTTTCCTCCTTTATATCTGACGAAAGACATAAATACCTTGGAGCAAAACTGCGCCTTAGCTCGATCGACGCTAGAGGGCAACTTTTGACTTTAACGGAGCCCTTAATAAAAGGTCGAGTTTTTCTAGGATGGTCGGATAAGTTGAAGGAAACTTTGTCCATGGCTAAATCCAGATTTCCTAGATTGGTTTGGCACATGGGGAAGGAGCATTTAGCTCGAACAGCGTATGGATTAGAACCACGGCATGTTTCAAATCCGGTACTGCTAAGCAGGATTGATGGGTTATATCAGTCTGGAATTACGGAAAAGTGGATTTGGTACAAGGAAAATAGTGGGAGGGTTAATGAGTACAATGCAACAGATAGAATGGAGTCTAACCTAGTCAAAGCGTTAAATCTTGAAGAAAACATGTCAGATTTTTTCATTTATTTGGTATATTTGTTATCCATTTCTGGAATATTTTTCTTGTTGGAGTTCATTCCAATTACTGTGTACAAATGTAGGGGAAAGGTTGTTATTTTGTACAAGAAGTTGATGGGGTGGATTAAAATTGTAAAAAATATACGTCACTCAAGGATAAGAAACATACTTTTGACATTAAAACGATCATGTAGGGAGAAGCGGGACAGAGGTCCACACCGACGTTGGCGGCGGCGGCGTGTGTAGTGAAAACGGTCGGCAGGCGTCAGTCGTGGCGTGCTGATAAGTATTTCCCTGATTCTTGGTCAGTGATTATATATGTATAACAGATAAGTAAGGATATACTGCTTATATATGCGTATGGATATTTAACTTAATTTAACCAAGTTCAATTAAATGCTTGTTGGTCACGTATTTAAGTAACAGTTAATTGATATTGCACGACTTGTATGAATTTATTGCAAAAACAAAAGAAAATAATTAATATGTACAAGCAACAGAAAAAAATTATTCTAGAAATAAATCATTAAATACAAAAAAAAAGTTTTAAAAAATCCGAACGCGTTCATTCCAAAAATCGGTAAACAATCGGGGATGCTTTTCTTGGCTAGTAATCTCCGTGAATCTGCGTAGTAAAGTATTTAATTAATTATTGACCTCTCATAATTATACATAATAATTAATAATTAAATATGCATCATGTATTGTATTTAACTCGCCCATTCTTTCAACTTATACAAGTTCCTCTTTGAATAGAACGTGCCGATATCTTTCGGCTGGAAGAAGTTTTCGACCCGGGTTTCCCGCACGTGCGGGTGTCGAGGTCGAGAGTTCACTGCTAGACGGGCCAAATGGACAGGAGTGTCCCGGGGGGCGGGGGCAGGATACGTTGGTTGGGGTGGCCGTACTGTCACGTGGTCCGGTTTACGGTCGACATCGTTCTCTTCAGGATAATAAATATCGTCTTCAGCATCATCGTTCTTAATGTTCAGCTAAAAAAAGTTGAGACTTTTTGGTAATAATTTGGTAATAAAATTGTTACCGAGAATTAATGTTATAAAAAACTGACCTCTGGTTTGTTCTTCCACGTTGTGATGTTCCACAACGGTCCAGTTGTATCGTCGATGGCAATATATTCTTCAGGATTGTAGCGGATTTTGAGTTTGGAATGGGTCAAGAGGTCAAGTTTATGGATGGATGACTTTAACCATTCGTTAGCCGCGACCACGTCTGCTGTGGGGGATAAAAGGGGGCGGAATTCTTCAGGTTGCCACATTCTGGTTTCTGAAATAGATAATATGAATTTGGAGAAAAGTTTGAAAAATTTCACAATTTTACTGTACAAAATATTTAGTTAATAATAGTCATGTTAATGTTGGAAAAATTTAAGATAACCGAGGGTGTCCGATGGGATAAAAAAAATGGAGAAAAAAGTAGATAAAAATTCTGATTTTACCTGTTCGCTGTTTATTTTTTGTGTTGAGAAACGAGAACGGCTGTAAATGTGTTATCGAAACTACGCAAAACACGGTCCAATGATTAATTAAAAGAAAACTAATTTCGTTTTTTGTTGAACTTAATTATTTATTGACGTAAGCGGAGCTGGTTTATCATTTATTGACAAACTGTGAACTGTGGAACCTTGTCCAAGTGTTGAACTCAACTTACAGTAGACACAGTGTTTCAGTTCAGCACTTGGACAAGTGGAACAGGAAAAAAGTTCGTTCGCACAGATGAGTTTTGGTTCACCGATTGTGGGGCGAAGTGATAAAATTGTCGTTTTGTTGAATTACGGGGATGTTCATAAATTATGTAATGTAAAAATTGCGATTTTTTATACCCCCTCCCCCGTTAAATAGTACCTTAATTAGTACCTTAGACCCCCCCTTTCCCCTCTCGCGTGCATAATTTCTGAACGTTCCCTAATGTACATAGTTTAATTTTAGCCTCACCTAAGAAAAAATGCTATACTGATAAACCGCTATACTTAATTATATAATTATTGCAAACAAACTAAAGCGTCATTGAGGATTAATTTTCAATTTTACATGCTGATGTTCTAAATTCAGCAGCTAGAGATGAAAATATGTAAATACTTACATACGAAGAAACTTTTTTTTACTGATGTAGATATGAAACAATTTATTAAAATCAAGTAATTAATAGCAAACATAACTGAAATTTGTACATGTTTATTTTTCGAAGTTCATATTTTATAAAAACAACATTCCTAATCTAATCAATCGTTAGTAATGATAAACACGTCAGTATTTCATTCTTCCATAATTTATGCAAATATTTAGTTCATAATTTATAAAAAGCGTCGCATTTATGGGTCAGTTTTGTAAATTAAAAATCTTTTGTAACAAAATTCTGTCCGGATTTCATTTTTCTTGATGTTTCTCGTCATTCAGCATTCTGACCTTGTGCCGAAGCAGCATCTCGGCAGATTTAGTCTCCAATTCGCAACGGTCGCAGGCAAAAACGACCCTGCCGTCGGGTTTCTCCCTGTAAAAAAAATTAGAAACTTATCTTTAAATTCTTGAAAGCTTTACGATTAAAATTCCTTAAATTCTTTGAGACATATTTTTTCGTTGACCCACCTGTGACACTTTACGCCTACTTGGTGCGCTCTTGAGCGTTCGTGAAGTCGTAGAATTCCCAGAAAGGTGAAATCCAGCATGCAAAAATTACAGCGAAATTTCTCCCTAGTTTTGCCCATTTTTTGAGAAATTGAATGGGGTGAAAACAGTTCAGATCTAAATTGGAAGGTTAGTAAGACATTAATTAGTTAATTTTGATGACTATTATAAATTAGCAATTAACCTTTGGAAAAAAAATCTTACCTGATTTTGTGAATCGGTTTCCTGCCAACTTTTTTAACGCTGCTTCCTTTTTTAATATTTTTGAGGAAGATGTTTGACCTAAAATATACAAGCAAATTTGTATCTTAACGTTGTTTGCAGGTTACATAAATATATAGATTAGCTAGATTGATCTAATCGTTGCATACGAAGAAATATGAAAATTTACAATGAAATCTGGGTTAAATAAAATGTACTAATTTGTAAAAAAAAATCTGAATTAATATTTGTAATGTTACAAAACTTGCAGAATTTGCAAAGTTATACAAACATCCGAGTAAGTTACTTAGGAATTAGCTTGTAAATAAATAGCGAAATAAATAAATACCTTTGTACTTTCTTAATTTTTTTCTGGTTTTTTCGTTTAATTTTCTTCCCGACAAGTGTTAAAGAATCGGAATTTGGTTGATGGGACGTATCCATAAAGGGCTTGGAATGCTCGGCCGTCGTTGTACTTTCCTCTTTAAGATTGACGGGGGACAGTTGGGAATTTTGCTTGTTCAAAAGTTCCTGAAGTGGGTTCGGGCCTCGCAAAACGTTGGCCAATTCAGACGACTTGATCACGATGACGGAGTACATTTCGTTCTCCTCTGAACTTAAGATTAGTGGAAATTGGGCATCTGTGGGAATTTCAGGTGGCAGGATAGAGGCTGGATCTGAAATGGGGGCGCCAGCTCGGGGTGTACTAACGCCCTCTGAATGGTTATCGGCTTCTGGTGAGAAAGTACATGTCCCTCTTGGATCGTTGATAAGACAGGAATTTGAAACTCGGCACGTGTCAGAGAATGGAATGATGTCGGATTGGTTAAATCTTGAGGGGTTAGAGTCATCTGAAAAATCTGAAGAGTTTTTAAATATTAGAATAAAAACTGATTCAGTTTTCGAAAATGGTTGGATTGCATTAAAAAATAGGATGTATTTGAATTAAAAAAATGAGATTTATGTACTCAAACTAGGATAATTTCTACGGGAATTTTCCAGATAATTAAAGCGAAAACTTATTTGGAGACATAATTATAAAATTTTGAAATATTTTGCGCATTTAAAAATAAAAACTTGATAAAATACGTATGACTCACCCTCCTCCTCCTCCTCCAGTTTATCCAATTTGAGTCTTATCGCGAATTTCAAACCAGTCTCGATCTTCTCCAATTGTCCCCGTAATTTGGAAAATTTCCCCACCGTTTTTCGACATGTGGAACAAATCGAGCTATCCTTCACCATTTGATAGTTTCCTCTCGCGACCGAAATTTTGACCCGGATTTCCTCCAGAATTTTCATCTCTGTAGAATTAATGGGGCTCAACTCCTTTTCAGCCGAACAAATGAGACACGGCGATAAGCAAGTTATCCTAATCGCGTCAATCCGCTGGGGAAAGAAGTAGCGGAACAGTTCTGGCGGGTATTTTAATTTTGGGTTACGTTTCAAGTGTAGCTTATTCAACGGGATGGAGCACGTGGACGATAACACGTCCCGGATAAGGTTCCCACTTCCACGGAAAGCGGTTGGACTCGCCATATTTACAGGTTAATGTTCATAGTTTCTTATCAAGTATGTAGATATGCACTTATCTCAACTAATTTTTGGAATGAAGAAAAAACGCGAAGAATAATAATTTACATAAATAATCGTTAATTAACAATTATTTCTCAGCATGTGGGAACTATAAATTTGAGGAAAGTCTGACTTAATTTGCAGGTTTGCATGGAATGACGGCTTGGAAGTAAATGACACGAAAATTTGTGTAGTGAACTAAAATTTATTTTATGCTTTCTGATTTTTATGTGCATACATAGGTATGTATTAATATGTACGGTGTGTATATGTACTACCAACTTTTTTAAGGAACTGGACAACTGGACATGTTTCACTCGCATGTCCAGGGCTTGCTATGTTAAGGGTACACTCGTTTTTAGCATGTGGGTTGAAAAGGTCCAGGGAGTATTTATAAATAGGAAATATTCTTTTATTCCAGAGGCAATACAAAATTTTCCTGGGTTGCTGGAAAGGCTAGTGTTTTTTAATAGATTTCATTTTATATAAGCTGTGTGTGTCATCTTCCATGTGCGTTTTGTCTGTTAAAGGTGCAATTCACTATCTACATACATAGGTATGAACATAATTCACGACGTATGTATGTATGTATTTATGTATGTAGATTTATTACACTATGTGTAATGGATAAAAATTAGAAGAAATGAAGAATGATATTGAAAATAATGAATACTGAAAAATATGTATGCGGGAAATGATAAATGAGGAAAAATGGGAAGCCTTTGTTTCATTTATGCTTATGAACTACAAAAATTACGGGAAATATCTATGTATGTATTTAGATGTACCTGATTTAAGATACTCAATGAATACGCATATGTACATATTTAGGATTAGTTGAACTGCATATATATTATTTTACAGATAATTCAGAATCGTTTTAAAAAGCTGGAAATACAGGGAAAACCTTACTCAAAAAATTAACGCTATTCATGGTTGTTGTATGCATGCAAATATTGCTTATCTTTTAATTTGGTTGATCAATAACTTGATGAACGGATGATTTTAAGTCTCATTGTTTATTTTTCAAAAAAGTTACAACCCAAAAATAAAAAAAATCTAAACTGTTCATTTAATTTTGAAGAAATCACTTTGGATAGCATCCAACGCGTTCGTCCATCAAAGCCGGTTTTCTTTATCCATAATAATTGCCTCGTCCATATCCATAGCCACGCCCATACCCGTAGCCACGCCCATACCCATAGCCACGCCCACGTCCATAGCCGTAACCACGCCCATATCCGCGTCCATAATTTCCAAACCCTCGTCCCCTGAACCCCCCACGACCTCTAAATCCTCCGCGCCCTCGTCCGCGCCCACCTCTGCCTCCCCCTTTCCCACCACCTCCTTTTCCTCCCTTTCCTAGAAATTCAAAATTATTCTTAATGAAGTATTTTCATTAAAATCACAAACGATTCAAGAAAAACTCACGTTTCACTCGCAGTTTGGGCGCCGTTGCGGCTTCCACTCCATCCTCAACTTGGTCACTTTTCTCCACTTCTTCCTGTGGCAACGACAAGGTTAAATCGGTGTCGTCGTCCTCACCTTTGTCGCTAAGACTTCCCTGAACAGGATCCAACTCAGATTGAGATTTCGTATAAAAATCCTCCTCCCTTGGTTGAAGTAGTACCTCCGCGTCGTCAGGGTCGGGTACTGGGATACCCGATCCCCCAGTTGCTAAACAGGCAACAATTCCCATGATGGCAATCCCCAGAAGAAAAGCTTTCCCGAAATTCATGGTTGCTTGAACAGAGGAGTAAATATTTCTTGAAAATATGTCTTGGTTTTGTTCGTCGGATTGGAGATGTTTCCGTTGCTGGATACAGATTTGGCAGGGGAGCGAGTATTTATACGAATTTCCATAAAGTTACGTACGTACTTCTTGACCGGATTACGTACGTACCTTTTGACCGACCGCTTGTATGGAAACGGAACTCAATTAGTTGCATGTTTCATTGTTTTGCCCTAGTTGCGCGTGGTAAGTATGTGAAAAAATGTGGAAATGACGCGCAGACCGAATTTGAGATGGCTTACTTTCATTTTTTCATTAAGATGAAGATAATATGAAAAAATTAAGAAATGACGTAGAGGAAATGTGAAATGAAAAGGGTTTCATTTCATTGATGGGTAAAAGTGACGACTAAAAACTCCGTGTGATAAAAAAGTATGTATTTAATTACGTAAATAGATTTATGTACTAAATACTCGTATGGAGACAGAAATAAATACACCTTCATTCATTCATTCATTCATTCATAATTACGTGAATATGAGTATAACTTTTTTACCTGTGCAATATGCGCCACAATGATTTGACAAGTTTGCATTTTTTGCGTCTCTCCATTCCTTTTTGATATCAGTTGTAATCCTGCTGAGACGTAATAATGTAACCAAATGAAATAATTCGGATAACAGTTTTTTGCATGCAAAATGTCTGCGAAGCCACGGGAAAGAGATGCCTACATGCATGTCTAAGTATGTACATATGTACATATGTACTCAGATTTGTGGAACTTGGCTAGTCTCTCACTTTTGTGTGACCACTATCATGCCAAATAATACGTACATTGGTATGTTTGTATATGTATGTAAATATGGATTTTGCATGCAACTCCAATTTCATGAAATTCGAGCTTAAATCATTGTTGGATTTTTCAGCAGAAATTCTCAGACTTTTAATGTTTTTGAAATTGAAAGAATTTTTTAGCTACTTTTATTTGAACTAGGTATAACTAGGTATAGATAATTTATAGCTTTCAAGTCGCTCATTTATTACCTAATGTACATACAATTCATATAACATAGTAAAATCTACATAGGTTTTCGTTTTCAAGAATTGAAGTTAATACATACAAGCTTATTTATTTTACCATTCAAAAAAAGTTATGCTACCGACATTACAGTAACGATAGTGGAATTTTCATTGGTATTTATATGCATGCCTAAAAATTAACCTAGCCAAAAAATTATATTGTGTACACAAAAAAAATTTGCGTTACAGTAACATGTACCAGCTCGCCCACCCTCCCCCTGTCACGCTGCGTAACGGAAGTTCTATTACCCACCCATCCCTCTTTGCGTTATCAAGGTTTTGAACGTCCCCTTGCAGGCTTGAAATTGTTTTTAGAGTTCCACTACTCTGGACAGCTTCTGGATCACCTGTACAAAGGGAAAAATATTTATGTCGTATATAATAAGAACACTCGGACTTTTCCCTTGTAAGGCAAATTTTAATTACGGCTATTACCAGTGGCCGCGGAGGAAGCGAGGGGTCAAGTGGACAATTATTCGGTGCCCCCATCATCTGCCCATGTTACTTATATAAACCCCTCCCTCCCTTATCCTACAATGTTAATGTCCCCAGATGACCCCACGGCTTCATTGGCCACTGACTATCGCCATAAAGGACTTACTAACGACATTGAGCTGGGCAGATGAGAATCTGGCTCCCAGGGCGTTACTGATTCTACACTGATACATTCCTGGGTCTCTTTCTTCGTCCACCTTTATTATCTTTAGGACGTTGTCTTGCACGAAATATCGTCCGATATCCTCCGGAGGTAATGTTTCCGTATTGATCTTCACGCCATTTTTGAACCATTCATAAGAGACATCGGGAATTCCAGAAGCTTCACATGTCCATGTATGATCAGAGTTTTTAGCGATTTGTTTGTTTTCAAGACGGATCGTGAAACGGGGAGCAGCTACATATTTATAAAGAAAAAGGTTCAAATAAACAATGAGGGTATTCATGCATGCGATTTTGCATGCATCGTAACATAATTTTTTCGAAATTGCGAATTTTGCGAAGCAACGAAGTGAAACGACTTGGTAAATTACAAAGTGTGGAAAATTTAAATAGTTCTAAAATCTCGAATTCTTTGCAAATAATTACCAAATATGCACAGAGTTGTTTAAATGTTTTGCTACAATGGACAATTTTTTAAATGGGGAAAGCCCCTAAATCTCAATTATTTACAAGATTTGGAAATGAGGTTTCTATTAATTATTATTACTAAAACTGATGGAACACTGATGACAAAATTCTTAAAATTTAGAATTTCAGAGACCAAAATCTTGATGACAAAGGGAAATTCACGAATTTTTCTTATTATGTAAAAAATTTGTCATTGTAGTGTGACATTTAAACCACCCTGCATATCGTTTGAAATTGAATTTTCTCACCTTGAATACTCAAAGTTACGGATGATTCGATGTAATGTTGGTTATTGGAGGCACCACAAACATACTCTCCTTGATCTTCGACGGTCACATTTTTAAGTACAAGTACTCTATCGTAATTTGATAAGATGGCCGTTCCTGGAAGCCCGGAGCCTTTCCTGGTCCAGTTGTAGGTAGGAACTGGACTAAAAACTAAATTAATCATGATAACAAAACCTGATAACAAATAATTCTAATTCTAAATATGTCCATCCACTTACTGTCCAAATCCATAAGCCACGCATTCCAGTCGTACCGTATGCATAGCTTTGGGACTTTCAGGGAAAACTTTTGGGAAATTATGGAAGAACTTGGGTTGCTTTGGACCTGCTAAATTAATCAATTACATAATACAAGGTGGTTTAAATGTGATATTACAATGGAAAATTTTTCAATGGGGAAAATTCGCCAATCTCCATTAGTTACCGAAATTTTGCCGCTGAAATTCCATATTTTAAGAATTTTGTCATCAGTGCTCCATAAGTTTTGATAAAAATTAATAAAAATTTCAATCCCAAATCCGTAACTAATGGAAATTTACTAATTTTTCTCATTGACAAATTTTCCATTATAACCTCGCTTTTAAACCACCCTGTAATATCAACTCAGTTTTTCTTTTCCATCCCGCGCTGGTATCCTTCCCGTGCTATTAGTATGGTAGGGATACGAAGCGGGAATCAAATTTTTGGTAAAGTAATTAAGAGTCAGTAGTAAAATTACGCGATAGTATGTATGTACATATGCAAAAATATAGTTCCATTTTGTACTGGTAATAATATTTAAACTTTCAAGAATGCATACCATGAGGTATAACTTGCAACGTAAAGAACGGTCCATTTCTGGTAAAGCCTGAAACCGTACTTTCAACATTGCAACTATACTTTCCAGAATCACTCATATCTACCGATGTGAAGTATAAGTTTCCATCATGCGAGGCAAATATTTTTTCGTCCTCTTGCACAAAATTCGAAACGTTACCACGGGACCAATTGTAATGGACAGCTTCAAAAAAATACACAACATTTTTTTTAGAAATTAAACGTGTTGCCACAGTGTTTGGCTTGCTTGAAAAGTTTCTGATTTTAGAATTTCTTGTACCTGGAAAATGTTGTGGGGGTTCACAATACATTGCCTTTCCCCAAAATTGGTGAGCATATTCTGTGCTTCGAACAGGAAGAAATTCCGCAATATAGCCAAATGAGAGAGATACAGTTTCCGAAATTATGGAGCCAAATTTATTAGACGCGGTGCAGTGATAATTTCCTCTGTCGAGTTTAGAATTTGGTTCATGAATCACTAGAGTTCCGTTAGTCACGGTGTATCTTTGTTCTTTGAGGGGGTCAACTAGAGTATTGTTCTGATATTCCTCTTTGAACCAGGAGTACGTGGGGGCAGGCCATCCATCAGCGACACATCTAAAATCAAAGAATTAAAAGAACGAAAGAATAGTAAGAATAAACCCTTACAAACGAATATAAAGAAGTAGCGTCAGAACGATTGAAATTTCCTTTAAAATAAATGACTCCATATACCAAAATTATGTATTTTTGACCTTCTACTCCATCCTCATCCTCAATGTCATGAGGGCAAAATATTGACGCGTTGAAATCGCGGTGAAATTTCCTTTAAAATGACACCCTGTGTGAAAATTATGGTTCAACTTAAATTTCGCATTTGGACCACATCCCCTCGCGCTGTGGGGGTGGTCTGATTAACCCAATTACAGAACTCGACCGAGAAATAAAAATTAGACGCATAATGCCGAAAATCCCGCTTGATTATGTTGAGATGTTCTACAGATATCCTGCCTACAGACGGACAGACGGACGGACAAAACGTTTGCAAAGAGTAGCTGACGCAAGTTAATAAATTCCTTCATAATTCCATACCTTAAGGTCACGTTGCTTAGAGGATGCCCCGATATATCGTAAACTTGACTTGTGGGCTCCTCGATAAAGAATGGACCTCTCGGGATCTTCGCTGTGTCACCTACGTCAAAATCTGCATTGTCGACGTGAATCACGCTGATTGATTGATTGTTATTCGTATTTTCCAAAGTTCCGTTATGCTGGATAGGGTTGTTTTCACTATTATTTGATTTTGATGGAGGAGCAAACTGCCCATTTGTCATGGAGATCGAACAAAAGTAGATTAACTTGAGGAGTGCCAAAATCGTCAAAGTTGGCATTTTCTCTGTTTAACAGTAGCTGTGGGGCAGAATACATACAAACATTAAATACGCATTAAAATATATAATATTGAGGCATATCGATTAAAACTATCCATGAGAAGTGGCATATCAATCGACAAATTGTTTGAAGAACATGTTAAAAATTACATAAATGGACTTATTTTATACGCTCAAACCAGGGTTTCTTTGCGTCTCCCGATGCCACTTCTGAAATTAGCCTGGTGATTTTTGTCCGTGTAGAAAATCTAAAAAAATTAGACGTTTTTATTCTTTACAATATTTCGAAAAAGTGGACCTTGTCGCCCGCTACGTCGAGTTTCGACTTCATTTGGCATTCTCATTTTGTTAATTTCAACAATAAAAAAATATTATCTTACATTATATTCACTCGATCGGTTCAATTTCGACAGATGAAGCACACAAAATTGGAATAAATATGTTTCTTGCAAGTATATGTAAGGACTGAATAATTATTACAGTGATCTTTCAACTTATTGCATTTTGTGGTATGTGTGCTTATACTGGATCCAATTTTGTATATTATTAGTGCAAGATTTGGTCAGTCTAGTCAGACTGACCAAAGTCATATGTACATAAATATGTATACTTATATAAAATTGATGATAAGATGATGCCATGACTTTGCAACTTGTCCAGAGTTCAGACTTTTATATTACAACACATTATACGCATTACACATTCAGCTAAAATGGAAGTTGATAAGCACGTCGGAGGATGGTGGTAATATTTTAAGAATTGCACAAATAAAATCAATCGAATAAAATCAATCGCAACAAACGCACGTAAAGAAGTAGCTTCATTTAATAATTTGAGGAGAATTAATGAGTTAATACCCTTTACTTGTAAAGTAAATATATACATGTAAATATATGCTATAAACTCCGGGTGATAAAAAATAGGTATTTAATTACGTAAATACATTAATTCATTCAATACTTGTAGGAAGACAGAAGTACATAAGTATATACACATCCATTCATTCATAATTACGTACACAAATATGAGTATATTTTTTTATATCGACACACGTGTACCTGTACAATATGCGCCACAATGATTTGACAAGTTTACATTTTTTTCGTATTTCCATCCATTATCAATCGTAATCCTGTTGAGATGTAATAATGCAACCAAATGAAATAATTCAGATAAATTTTTGCATGCAAAATGACAAATGAGAAGCCATGGGAACGAGATGCTTGCCACATATATATGTACATATGTACATACCAAATATGCATAAGGTGGTGGAAATTGGCCAATTAATCTCTCGCTTTTTTTGTGACAACTATCATACCAAACACTATGTATGCCAGTATGTATGTAAATACGTATTTTGCATGCAAACTCGAATTTTATGAAATTCGAGCTTAATTTGAAAAAAATTACGTTTTTCAGCAGGAATCAAACTTCCACATATTTTTGAAATTGCAGGAGTTTTTTTACCCACTTTTATTTGCAAATGGAACGCTGGGTACATACACTTTCTAGGTTTCAAGTCGCTCACTTATTACCCAATGTATATTTTACCTAGTAAAATTCTTAAGAATTTTCATCTTTAACAATTGAATCTCTTTAAAAATTCTTTAAGAATTGAAGAATACTTGTTAACATATTTATTTTGTCCTTCAAAGAAGTTATGCTACCAGCATACTGAAAAGATACACATTTCGTGGAATGTTTAACGGTATATTTACCAGGAATTTATCTCACTTATACCCGCACCTTAAAATCTGTAATTATACATATTCAAAAGAATAAGTCGAAAATATTCAGTGCATCTTGCAGGCTTGAAATTGTTTTTAGAGTGCCGCCACTCTGGACAGCTTTTGGATCAACTGTGTGAAGGGAAAATAAGGATGTTACTTGAATATTGTACATATTAGAATACTCATGATTTTTCACTTGTAAAATGTAATTACGACTATCACCAGTAACCGCGGAAGGGTGTGAACAGAGGGACAATGTTCCCACTGTGTCCCCATCATCTCCCCATGTCATGTAAACCCCCCCCCCCCCTTCCCTCACCCTACAATGTTAATCTCCCCACGGCTTCAGCGGTCACTGACTATCGCCAAAAACGACTTACTAAAGATACTGAGTTGGGCCGATGAGAATCTGACTCCCACGGCGTTACTGGCCCGACACTGATACATTCCTGGGTCTCTTTCTTCATCCAGCTTTGTTATCTTTAGCACGTTGGCTTGCACAACATATCGTCCGATATCCTCCGGAGGCAATGTTTCCGTATTGATCTTCACACCATTTTTGAACCATTCATAAGAGACATCGGGAATTCCGAAAGCTTCACATGTCCATGTATGATCAGAGTTTAACATAAAAACCATTTTACATGACAAGCCTTTTCACATATCTAAATAAATATTGCATACTCGTAATTATTTCATAAAAACGTAAGCTTGAGACTACCCATCAAGGCCATAACCAATAATCAACTGTATCTAGCCTTAGGATTAGTATTTTTTATACAAAATTGTTTTACATAATTGATAATTATGCAAAATGACCATTATGTAAAGGAAATTATGTAAAGTGGCCCAGCCCCTCTTGAATAATTACATACGCCAAAGTCACGTTGCTTAGAAGATGTCCCGATATATCGTAAACTTTACTTGTGGGTTCCTCGATAAAGAATGGACCTCTCGGGATCTTCGTTGTATCATCTGAATTCTCAAAATCTTTTTCGACTTGAATCACAATGATTGAGTGATTCTTATTCGTATTCTCCAAAGTGCTGTTAGTCTGGAGAGGGTTGTCGTCAGGGGGAGCAGACTGCCCATTTGTCATGCAGATCGAGCAAAAGTAGATGAGACCCAAAGTCGTCAAAGATGTCATTTTCTCTCAGCTTTTTCTTAGGTGAGGCTATGGTTACTGAAAAAAATACCTAAGTAAGCATTCACTTGGGTTCTGAAAAGTGACCACAGCCCATAACTTTATCATTTCTCAACCAGAGTCTTGGGATTAACGAAAGTGGGATTAATGATTAGGATTACGGATTGATTTTAAAAAATTCGGGATTGAGGATTGAGATTAGGGATTAAATTAACTCGGGATTAAAATTAATTCGGGATTAAATCTCTCAAGTCATTCAATGGGATTAGGGATTAGGATTAATTTAGTCCGATTTTAATCCCGGAATGGGATTAAAGTCGTGTTTATCGTCGATCACATTTATATCTAGTTAATGTTTCTGATGTCTTAATTAAATTGTTTTATAAGTCTTAACAGTGCGATTGAATTTGAATAACCTAATGACCATATAAATAATGACCTAAAGTGTGAGTTGTCGCTTAAGTGACTTAAGTCCAGTCTCCATTTGATTAACATTCAAGTGTGAATGAGTGGGCATTACCACTGGCCACTCTAGGTTATTATTATACGGCCACAAGAATATGAAGTGTACAGATGAGTGACATAAAATAAGTTTACTTAGTCATCAGTGAACTAAAATCAACTTTAACAGATGAAGTCTTATCAAATGTTTTTAAATACATGAACTATTTGTTGGCATGCATTTAAAGCCTCTCCAATTAAATGGGAAGTACCCTCCAAATATTTTAAAAGTACCCTTCATGGATACCTGCCTCTTAAAGTTATTTTTGAATTAGGATTTCGGTGGCAAACTACCTCTTAAAATAATGTACATATCTACAAGCCATAATTTTATCATTTTATGTAAAAAGCGTATTATTTATATACGATTAAAGTTAAGGCTTCCATAAAAGCATGCATTTTTAAAAGGCACATGGTACTCAAAACTGTTGTGAACTTAACAGGTCCTCCACGCTTACGCTTGGTACAGGTTTTGGGTGCAGGACAATATCGAAAAATTCTTTTATAATTGCCAGACGAATCTTTATACAGTACCAATTCTTAAAAAAACTGCTACACGTACAATGGTACACCGATTTTTTCTCATCAGCGCAATAAAATCGAACTAACTATAGAGTCGCGATTTTCAAAAATTGTCTTAAAAAGGTGAAATTTGGCGCAGTGAAATTAGTGATTAATACCTAATCGCTTCCCACGAAAGAATATGAAGTTACAAGTGAGCAAAGTGCAACCAGTGACACTATAGGGTCACTATGTACCGTTTTTAAAAGTTATTATTTTTATCTTAAATTTAATATGGAGGGTAAAAACCACTCATGGATAGCACATACAGCCTTGTAATTTAGCCACAAACGTGCATTTTTTGATAGACTTCAATAGGTTTTTTTTTACATATGTCAGCGATTTTTCCAAAAAGATATATTCTTTTAGAGAAATCTAAGAAATTCGCAATACATAAATAATTCCATTCATTTATGAGCTTTCCATGTGCACTTATATCATTGTTAACAACAAACACTTGGTTTAAATAAAAATCAGGAAGATTCCATTCATTAATGTAATATGAAACCAAAGCATGTGGAAAGCTTGTTATTTGTAAGTGTGAAATATTAAGCTATTTTTCACATTTTTGCAGTCAAACAGAATAATTTTTAAGCTATTCAAAACGAATTAAAAAAATGTTTTTCATAAATACATCTGTTGGGGATCTGAGTAAACATTTTACATGAAGAGTTAGGGTTTTTAAGAACATATTCAACCGGACTCTGGTAGTAAAACCCATCACTGATACGAAATTTACACAGATTTGTGATATGCAAAATGAGAGGCTACTTCCATTTAAGGGGAGGGAAAATTTAGAGCATTAAGAGGTTGCTTTCCATTTAGGTAACTTCTTAAATATTCGGAGGGTAGTTCCCATTGTTTTGGAGAGACATTAAATTACTTCCCTATTTGTTTAATAATATCGAATTTTTGTTTGTGAAATACAACGATGGAATTTCGATAGTTATGGCCCATAACTTATGGGAAACATATTTTTAAGTGAAACAAAAGGAGAACTGGCAAAGTCTCTGAGAATTTTCAGCAGGTGGAGCTGATTTAATCCCATTTTAATCCCAAACTTGGATTAAGATTAATCAATGCGCTCCGGGATTAGGATTAGGGATTAATTATTTTTTCAAAACTTTTTGGGATTGAGGATTAGGGATTAAAAGTCAAAACTTGCGGATTGAGGATTAATTAATCCCCAATCCCAATCTCAATCCTCAATCCGTAATCCCGGATTAACCAGACTCTGTTCTCAACCGATTTTGCTCAAATAAAAACCCAGAGTCAATTATAATCATGAAGAATCTAGTTCTCAGCTGCCATGCATGAACCCTTCTTATTTTGTGTTTAATCGTTCAAAAATCACTTCCATAATAACATTTTGCCTTATTATACAGAAGTGAAGCAGTTAACAGAAAATTTGTGTGGATGGAAATGTGACAAATATAGCTATCTTTCATTTAAAATTATAATCATCAAAATCGGTTGAGAAATAAAAAAGTTTTCCCTTTGACGAAAAATGAACCTTTGGGTTCAGGGCCGGCGCTGAAGGGGTCAGGTCGCCTAGCAATTGAAAAGCTTTGATTCAAATTTTAAAGGGTGCAGGTGTAAATATCATGTAAAATGTCTTAACCCAGGCCTGGGTTAGGACATTTTACATGATATTTTGCAAAAATTTGGCATCCGTCAGATAATTTTCATAATCAAATCAAATCAATTTTGTTCACAAATTTTCAGCACCTATCTCAAATATTTGAACCCAACCTTAACAAAGGTTTGAGTAACAACTCATTCACCGCGATATTACCAATTAAAAGCTTAAAATAAACTAAACCCTAAAAAGGATTGCTTAGGTGAGACTGTAGTATGTGCGATTAAAAGTTTGAAATAACCCCCTCCCTCCTCCCACCCTGGAGAGAAAGTGTTCCTAAAATCAGCATCACCGCCCTGGGAATAATTTCATCACGGTTAACGCCCCAAAACATCATGTACTTGGTCTATATTAAATTAATTCTAGCCGTTTACACATCTACTAGTTTTATCGTTAGAATGACCATTGTTGGTTGTTGGTTTTTCGTTAATAATGTACTGTAATATTATTGAAGACAAGTTCATTCGGTAAATAAAATAAGACATGGCTGGGGCTTATTTCACTTTGAATGCGCAGTCAAGAAACAGATAATCAGCCATTCTTTGGGGATGTTTATGTAAATTCTATGTTAATCTTTTCTGTTATATTTGCACTGAAAAAACTTGCACAATTCAAAAATTATTCCCAGTGTGGTGATGCTCATTTTACCAACACTTTCTCTCCAGGGTGGGAGGAGGGAGGGGGTTATTTCAAACTTTTAATCGCACATACTACAGTCTCACGTAAGCAATCCTTTTTAGGGTTTAGTTTATTCTGTTTAACAGAAGTTATGGGGTAGAACACAAGTATTAAATAAGCATTAAAATATATAACAGAGACAAATCGATTAAAACTGCTTGGTGAAAGTCGATTGACAAATGGCTTGTAGAACATGGTAAATTAAGCGGATTTATTTTATATGTATGTACCGTCCAAGTTGGACGGTATAACAATAAAGTTAACCTTTTCCTTGCCCATGCAACTGCCTAATTTGGCATTCTCATTTTGTTAAGAGTTAATTTCAAGTAACAATAAAAATAATATTTATCTTACATTGTATTTGTTCGTTCGATTTAATTTCGACAGATGAAGCACACAAAATTGGAATAAATATGTTGCTTGCAAGTATATGTCTAGGTAAGGACTGAGTATAATGTAAACCCGTCCGCTGTAATTATTTCAGTGTGATCTTTCAACTTTTTGTATTTTGTGGTCTGTCTGCTTGTACTGGATCCAATTTTCTATGCATTATTAGTGCAAGTATTATGACCACAGTCATACAGATACTTGTGTATATAAAATTGATCATATGATGATGGCATGATTTTGCAACTTGTCCAGACTTCAGACGACTTTTATATAACAACACATTATACACATTCGACCATAAATGGAAGTTCATGTGCATGTAGGGAAAGGTAAGTAATATTTTAAGACTGACATTTCTGACTTGCACAAATAAAATAACTTGAATACAATAAATCGCAGCAAACGCACGTAGGGAAGTAGCTTCATTGAATAAGTTAGGGATAATTTACATAGGTATTTAGCTCTGGAACCCTTTTCCTCTGTATTGCTTTTGTAGATTCAATTTGAATAAAAATCTCATTTTACCCCCGATGACATCCCTCAGCTTTTTGGGGGTGGCCCAATTGACCCCAGAAGTTCGGAAGTTGATTCTCCCTCTGGGGTCGTATGTATGATGTCGCAAACCAATTTCGATTACTCGATTCCTTCTCGGGTCAACCAGATAATGGACAGACGGGGAAAGCCTTCGCATAAAGTAGCCAGAAGCTAATAATGGAGCCGGTTTTCATCTGGAGATATGTAGTCTTGCATTAATTATTTGCATAAATAGTGATGTTGGACTTGGACGAAATATGCAAATTATCACAACCCGAGTGCTGACCACGTATACAAAGCTATTTATATTTAGTTCTGCATATATACGTGGTCAGCTATTGTGAGCGTACTCACGTCATTTCTTCGCATATCTTGCAAATTGAACATGGCAACATAGCTTACGAAGTTTTGCGAGATCTGCGAATTTCACAAAAATTTTGCTGGAAACCCATGCGATTTTCTTCGCAAATTTACCCATCAATTGGGAATGTTCTTATTTCACAAAATTATTACGTAGTATCATTCTCACCGACATCAGCAAGAGAAATTACAGAAATCCATGGAAACAATGTCAAAATAAATAGGTGTTTTTAGTATTTTTGAGAGATTTGAGAAGCCATATTTTGCGAATCCCCTCACGACAGAAATATTTGATCGTCGCAAATTTGCTAAATGAGTTGTGATACGAAATAAGAGATTGTCGTGAGTACCCCCGTGAATCAAGTTCGGATTGTCCAATGGTGAACTTTGATCACATTAATGAATCATTTATTTAGTAATACTTTGTGCATTTGATATATGTACATGCATGCAGGTATTTGCGCAGGGTTTTCTGGTAAAGAATTGGTACTATTTTACGGCCAATTTTGTCTTGTCGGCCTTGACAGGTACATACCTACCATATAATTACGCTTTAATGCGAATTAACATGTGAACATGGAAAATATAAATATTGCATATTTAGAGGTTGGAGGGCGACAATTTTTCATGGATATGCATATTGACACGGATATTTAAAGGTTTTCACCCATAGAGTTATATTAATATAAGCTTTCACCCGATATTCGCTGAGTGAGCTCTGCATGAAAATTTCATGAAATGCACAAATGCATTACACACTTTCTACATACTTTCTATTAAATTAAATTAGGCTGAAAATGGTCAAGTTTTATTAAACAAATCTTATGAAAACAATGTCATTCTCATTTTCCAACTTTCTCTCTGAATCTCACCCTCCCCAAAAAATCTCACATTTTCGACTTGGCAGAAAATGCAAAGTAGGCATGCGTTTGCATACTCACTGCCTGCCTACTACGCACTTGGTTCGTTTCTTTCTTTCACCCAGCACACAGCAAGAAGAGGAAACTGCGTACTTGATTTTCACTCTCCAAACGTTTTAGTTGTAATCGCCTACTTCTTCGCAGTTTTAGTTGAAATATTTCAAATTTTTCAAATTTTGATAGTGAAAATAATTAATACATACAAATTGACTACTATGACTTCGTCATCATCATCTCGAGCCGCCACGGAAGAGGCAGAAAGTGTTAATTCTTCTTATTCTTCTCCGAGGAGGGTGGGTCCTTTCCTCCTTGGCCCCCAATTCGAGCCCCCCCCTGCCAGATGTGTGACCCACTTTCTGGCCAGGAGGGAAGGGACGCAAGAATTCTATACCGTTAAGGTATGTAAACTGCTTTCATCATCATAATTATGGGTTAAATTTAAATATTTGGTTGATAAGTATGAAGTAGGAGTCGATAATTCATCACGAAAATGGTGAAAATTAACATTTTTAAGCATTTAGCAGCTCTGGGAATTTATTTTAAAATTCTGGACGACAAATTTGTAGTCAGACAGTTAATTAAATAGAATAAAGATGAGTTTTTTAAGGTAAGATAAGCTAGTTTGGATGAGATGAGTTCAAATTTTTATGAAGGCTTCGTAAAATTGAAATCTGATTTTTTTAAATGTAAAAATTTAGTGTATATATTTTTTTTAGTTGGTAACGATCTGCTCTAGAAATTTGTAGTTCATAATTTTTCACAGAGCAAAGAAACAAAAACGTTTTGATTTTGAAATTAAGAAAAGTTGGTTCTCGTTATATTAAATTAAATTATTAATTGATACATAATTTCTCTCTCTCTAGGTATTGACCCTTGCTGACCCAGCGGTTGTTGAATCGACGGACGATCTCTACGGCAAGATCCTCTTTCGCACCGAGTACAATTTGTTGAGGCGACTTGAAGGTCTGAACGGTGTCCCGCAGGAGTACGGGATGATCAGGGTATTTTAATTTTATGAGGCGTATTTTCTATTTATTTAAAAAAAGTGGGTATAGTTTTTAAAATGTGTCCCTTTTTTGTTACAGGATCGTGCCGAAGATGATGGACGAATGGTGGATAAAATCTCCCTCATTTTAGGATGTTACATGCCCCACAATTACTCCAGGAAATGCGCCTCCCTCGCATATTTACAACAGTTCGTTATTCAAGAAACGAAGTTGGAAGAATCCACGGCAATTAAGATCTTGTGTAATCTTGTCAAAGTTGTGGAGGGCTTGCATCAGGTAAAAGTTTAAACGTTACTAAATTTTAAATTATTCTCAATCCTAACTTTTTTGTTACCAATTTATAGCGACATATTGTTCATCGGGATATCAAATTGGGAAATATCGTCGTCGACAAGAAGACGCTGGAGGTAACGATAATTAATTTTGGTTTAGCAAAATATGTCACGGCGCAAGATGAACTATTGCTGGACCAGTGCGGATCTCCAGCCTACGCGTCCCCGGAGGGGATAAGTAAGAAACCATATGCCGGTGAGTATGTAAATAAATAATTAATTAACTTGTATCATATTTTTTTCATTAATTTATTTACAAATTATTGTTCCGAGCAAAAAGTTTTAATTTGTTTGTAAATATTTTTTTGCCAGGTAAACCAGCAGACATGTGGGCCTTGGGTGTAATATTGTATACGATGCTTTATGGGAAGTTCCCATTCTTCGATGTCAACCCGTATGTGCTGCTAAAAAAAGTTTCGTCCGGCGAATTTAGTATTCCTGCGTAAGTTAATCATATTCATTTTAAATATCGTCATTAACAAAAACGTGAAACAATTATGAAATATTTATTTGCTATTATTTACAACTTAAGATGACCAGCTTTGCTACCATTGCTTGCTTGTTGTGGCTGGTTTAATTGTTAAAAAATTCGAATCACTTTTGTGCATTTTTTTTATTCATATGAGCTAATTTTGTCCCTTGCTGTACTTTTTCCAGTGTGGGATTCACAGTGTCCGAGGCGACGATCAAATTACTGAAGTCGCTCCTAGTCGTGGACCCGCAAGCAAGGCCAACGGCGTCTGATGCATGGACGCTTCTAAATGACAAAATTAGTGCGGAAGAAGAATTGCTGGAGGGCCCTCAGGTAAAATAAATGCAGACTAATTTTTTGCCCTCTTAACGTTCACTTTTTCATCCTTTCTACTTTTCCTCTTAGGTGGTCCCAACTTTTAGCTTGGCCGACGAGGATGACGAAGACTATCAACGCCGCATTAGGGTATCTCAACCCGTGTCATACCCGGTAATGAGTGATTCAGCAGTCGAGACGGCTCTGGAGGTGCGAGCAACCACTAGCTTTGCGATAAGAGTGAGTAAACCACAAAATTTACGCGACGCTCTATTTTGTAGATGAAATAAGAATTGCTTTTTTTATATAAAAATAGAGGTCTCTCAATTTTTTCGCGCAGATTTTGACCAAGTTGGTGTCAAATTTAATTAAGAGGAGAAAATACGTAGTAAATTTGGAAAATGTACAATTTTCCAGCTTTAGGGCCCTTTTTCTCCCCTTTGTATGAAAATATCTCTGCCTAACTTGACCATTGCGAGATAGTGTTTTTTTGAAATTTGTTATCTATTGACACTAAGTAAAAATCTGTGAGCATGCGTTGAGCGACCTCCACTGTAGGTACCCCTATTTAATAATTTGTTTCTCTTTCAGATCCTTCAATCTGCTCCTCAACCATCAGGCCCACACGTCAACACGAATGTGATTCCGTCCAGGAATGTGCCTTCCGTCAACGTGGCGACAAGTCAGGAGCGAGGAACTACTACGACTACCCAGACGACGCCAGCATCCCGTCAAGCGGCTCGCGCCATGCTGGTCGCCAGACGAAGGCGTATGAGGAATTTGCACATCGCTGTAGCAAATGTTCGACTTTGGAGAATTATGACGCCCTTTCCTTTCAGTCGTGATAATGAGGATGGTGCTTCCACGTCAGGATCATCGGCCAACACACAAATTTAGTGCCTTAGAACACCTGTGTATTCTTGTTTCATTAACATTTTACGATTATTACGTAGAAATAATTAGTTATAGGTAATAATAGTTGTAGGTAGTACGCAAAGTAGGAGAAATTAGTTTTAGTTGTAAATATTTAAAAATTGGACTAATCTAAGCTACGATGAAGGGACTTAGTTTTGATAATTATTGTATTTAGTTGTTATGAAAAATGTTTGTGCTCATTTACTAAATAGTAAAATATTTATGAACTTTATTTGTAATCTTTTTTGTCACGAAAGTCAGCCAAACTCGTAAGTATTTATACGAATAAAATAATTCTAGTTCGAAATTGTTTGGAAAAGTTGTAAATATGAAAAAAGTATGCCGTCCGATAGACTATATTTTGATAACTAGACAGCTTTAAATACATAAATATGTATTAATAAAAGTTTAATTAATGATGTTAAAAAAACTAGATATTTTGTCATCCTCAACAAATTTTAGGATGTTTTTATTTACCCAGCATTTCAAATTTTACAATGGGGGTATTCATTCATTACGAATTTGCATCGCTAGAAACGTGGGGAAAACAAAACTTGTAAAAAATTCGCGATTTTCGAGACCCCTGTCCCTCATATGTAGGGAATTCAAAACCGGACCCTTTTCTGAAAACCGGTTTTCGGTTTTTCCGGTTTTCCACCCACCAAACCGGTGAAAAACCGTTTTTTCACCGTTTTTCGAAAATATTGTTTTGCGCCCTATGTAGAAGGGTAGAAAAATTGAGTATGTGGGTATCGTAGGTTTAAAAGCCCTAATCTTAAAACAATGGTATTACAGAAAGATTTACGAAAAACGTCAAACTAATTAAAAAATATATCATCCTTAATTCTTTGAGAAAATATATCCTAAATTGATGGGTTATTTATTAACGTAATACGACAATGCCAATTAGTTGTAAATATAAAACCGAAGCCTTGTTATATTCTAAAAATTATACGAAAGCACGATCTACTTCGATATGCAATCCAGAGGAAAATACTACATTCGTAGGAAATGAGATAAAAATAGAGACCAGTGTGTCATCTTTAAGATTTTAACCCATTTTCAAGGTTGCGCATTTTTGGCGAATGTCTACACGAGCAACCTTACGTAACATTTGCACTGGATTTCGACCGGAAAATTTGTTATCCATTCATGGACAAGATAAGCATTTTCTTAAATGCACAAGTGGGACCATACATATTTACATATGTATGACTTTTTAAAATACGCATTCATACAATTTGCAGCAAAAACTTGAAGCTATTCAAATGCTATAACTTCCCGGATTTTTGCACGTGTATACCTAGGTTAGAACAACGTTCGAAGTTTATTCGAAAATATAATTTATGTAAATGGAAATTTGAAGTTCCGAGTATTAATTTATGAATGAAATGCGAAATCGCTATGAGGTTAAAAATGGTTATTGTAGTATGATACGAACACACAACCCCATGCTAATAATTTATATACATAGTTTTTCAAATTCATTGCTTTTGTTTTTGTTGATTGTTTATGCAACTTTTTAAAATGTGTAAAATCCAATGAACTAGCAAAATTCTGTTAAAAATTATCAAATAGTTTTTCAAAACAATTACAGGGCTTAAGTTTAAGCATGAACGTTATCGATTTTGTTTAAATAGCGTCAAAATTCGAAAAATAATAGCGTTTAAAAATTTTAAATTTTGATGAAAACCCGGTTTTTAGAATTGCAAAAACCGGTTTTCGGTTTAACCGAAAACCGGGTTTTCTCCGGTTTTTCCGGTTTTGAATCCCCTACTCATATGTAACATACTTAGGATTAGCCATGATATCATTGGAGCCTTAGACCTCCTCTCTCGCATTACGTAATTTATGGATGCCCTTTAATTATGAGCCATGATTTGACAATGAACACAAGTTTTTTTCTGAAAATTGTACTGTATTTATTTTAAAAACAATAAAACTATTGTAAGCTCTATTAATAATTTGTATTATGTTAAGTTTTTCGTACATACAGATACAAATATTATTTAGCACAGTGTACATATATACGCTGATCTGAATTATTTCACATTTTGTGTTCTTCCTCTTCCTCCTCTTCCTTCACAACTTGTGGATTGTCGTACCCACCACCGGATCCATTTGGAACGTTAAGGGTCGGGATGGTTAGGGTCATGCCGTGTTTGGTGGGGGTGGTGGGCATGGTTGGCGTGAAGAGGGATGTTCCCATGGGAAAGATGCTGCTTCTACGGCGTTTGGCCGCGTCGACGTGTTCGTAACAGGAAATCCCGAGCTCCGACTTATCAATCCCGATCCGTTCGGATTCCTGGTCCACGCGGAGGGAGAGTCCCGGGATCTTGTTCATGATCCACAGGATGGCGAATGTGACGCAGAAACTCCATCCAAGTCCGGCCACGGTGTCTGCGATTTGGTGAACAATCTGGAAAAATTGGGAAGGAAATTTTACAAATGGAGTGAAAGTAGATTTGGTAAAAACTAGTGTTTGATGAGTCCGATCCGTGAGATCGGATAAGATTTTATCCGACAATTTACTTGAATTTACTTAAACATGGATCCGATCCGATTAAAATTTCGGATCGGATCCAGGTTATAATAAATGGTGGAATAATCCGCGGATCGGATTGGATTTTGCGTAAAAATTGCTAACCTGCATCCAATGTCCATCCAGCCAGCCGCCTTCAATGGTATTGAAAGCGTACACCTTTTGGGCAAAGATTCCCGTTAGAATGTTTCCGATTATGGCGCCCACGCCGTGTACGGCAAACACCTATTGGTCACAAATAATGAATTAGATAAAATAAATTAATATCTAGAACTTAAATACAATTTATTTAGCTAACGTCGAGAGCGTCATCGTATTTGAGAAAGTGCTTGAAATTGAGGGCGACGTTGCAACCGGCAGATCCCAGTATTCCAAAAACGATACTAAATTAAAAAAAAAGACTTTTACATACGTGCATATTTTAGTAGTACGAAATGCGAATATTAATAAATTTCATGCGATACATGTAAAGCTGCGAAAAGTTAAATGTGTTTGACAACTGCAAAATTTGGGAAAATGTGAAAGTCCAAAATACAAATCTGTTCAAGTTCACGCACCAAGCTTTAAAAATTGTCGAGGTCTGCATATCGCCAATTAATTGATTATTGTTAAAAACATTTGATTGGCTTAATTTATTTGGAATTTATTTACCTGCTGGCCGGCCCCACATATCCGCACGCCGGAGTAATCGTGACCAATCCGGCCACGGCTCCGACGCAAAACCCGAGCGCGGAGTATTTCTTTTCCAACCGATAATCCAGTAGGACCCACGTAATCCCACCCACACAGGCGGACAGGTTGGTCACAAAGGCGGCCATCACGGCTTGCACGTTGGGTTGTAGAGCTGTGCAAAAATTATAGTCCAAATTTTATTCCAAATATTTTTTCATGGAAAATTCATGGCGCAAGTTTACTCAAATTTTCATAATCATGTAGTAAAATGTGCAAGAAATTCGAAATTCAGCAGAGGAAGGTGACACAATTCATGGAGTCCTTGGTAACTTGTAAAATCAGGAACCTCAAAAATGCTGTTAAAAAGTTTTACAAATTATAAAACAAGGTCCCAAAAAATGGAAAATCTTAGTGAGGCAGTGCAATCGCAACAAAAATTAGATTTGCAGAATTTTTGCATCACCGCTCTTGGTAACATTTTATACTGGAAGTATTAATCACTTAGAATACTTCGTCCCCCTCAAAGGTGATTTGAGAAATACAGAATATACATATACAATGAAATTATAGATTTGCAATTTTTTAAGCAATTTTATAGGTCACAATTGTTAATCCATTATACCTATATTTGATCTCAGTTAATTTAGCACACTTCTCGTCCATTAAATATGTCTATGTACGTCATGTGTAGTATGAAAACGCCCTGAATTCTCCAGTTAAGATTTAAGAATTCATGCGGATGCAAAGAAAATTTACAATTATTCTAGCAAAAATGGTACCGAGAGCGGTGATGCAAAAATTCTGCAATCTAATTTTAGTTGTGATTGCACTGCCTCACTAAGATTTCCCATTTTTTGGGACCTTGTTTATTTAAAACTTGTAATTGGTTGTCAACGACATTTTTGCACTACACCACCGCCATTACATTTACATCAGAGTAATTTCAGTAAATTTTTAGTTTTCAAAATTGAATATCGTGGTTATTTTTTAACCGATTTCGGTCAACTTGGTCTTAAAATGTTCAGAACGAGTTGCCGAACCAACTAGTTGGTGTAACCTTTTTGCAATTGCTTAGGATTATGTTATGCTCCAAAATGGAATAATGGATAGAAACGTGCCTACGAGTGAAAATTTTTGCACATTTTGGGGCATAACTCGGGTCAAAATCAAAAAATCGCTAAGTCGACTTGCACATCGTTTCTAAATTCCGTAACAATGATCTGGCCCCAAATTTCATCGAAATCGGTTCAGAAATGGCCGAGAAATAGAATTATTTCACTTTTTTTTGGGTGGGGTAAATGCATACTTAGTAAATTTTTTTCGTTGTTAGGTATTTGCCTCACTAAGAATAACGCCCTTGATCTGAGTAAGTTTACAGAAATTTGCAAGTTTTGTAAGTTTGTAGAATTTACGAATGTTACAGAGTTACCAAAAACTGCGTGAATTGCCTCGTATAAATCACTATTAATGTGTAAGAAATTTCGCAAGTTTTAGCAGATTCTGAAAAAGATGTCTATACATAATTTCATGTAATTTCATGTTTTAGAACCTGATCCGCCATTGAATCCGAACCACCCAAACCAGATGAAGGCCGTTCCCATAAAAACTTTGGACATGTTGTGTGGTTTGTGGACTCCGGAAGGTGTCAGGGTGGGGTCTCTTTCTCCCAAAATTACGGCATACGCTAGCGCCGCTGCACCCGCGGAGATATGAACTGGCGTCCCTCCCGCGAAATCAAGTCCTCCCATCTGAGCGCCCCAACCTGGAAGAATATTAATGATCAGGCTTTAAATTTGTGCAAATTTTGAAGCACATTATAAATCAACTTTGCAAATTGTGAAAAATTGTTGCAAATAGTTGAGACATTCACTGATTTCTTAGTTGAACTTGTACCCGCACAAACCTTGCAGTCATCAAGTATTTGCAAAAATTTTCACACTTTTCAAAATATTTCAAAATTTGCAAAGTTGAAATGCTCCGCATTAATTCGAAATACCGTTGGGGTTCCAGGTCCAGCAGGCCAAAAAATCGTAAACTAGCGTTGTCCTTTTTTTGGAGAGGGGGGGATTTTATAAAAAAACTCTAATTAAACTTATGCTTATACAAAATGTACTTCAAAAATTTTGATTATTTAAACTATTTTACCAAACAAATATGAAAATCGTTGTGGGAAGAAAGCGCCCCCTCTCTGCGGCCGAACCGATGGCCAAAGCGGGCGTTATGGCGGCAAACATTCCTTGATAGAGGCAAAACGCGATATCCGGGATTTTCGGGTTGATGACGTTCGAATCCTCGAAGACTCCGAGGAGAAAAATATGGTCAAAGTTTCCAATGAAAAAATTCCCCGTTTTCGAAAAGGTGAGCGAGTAGCCGAACAGGAACCACTGGAAACAGGAATTAAATGTATTTAAATATTTCATTAGGATTATTTCGCATTTGTAACGCACAAATCCCCAGAATTTGCCAAGTTTTTGCGAAATTTAGAAATGATTTCGTCCAACTTTTTCTCTAAATTATTTATTCCCGAATTCCAGACAAATTTTCCATCTAAATTTCGCAAAATTAAATTGACAGTTTATTTCGCACACGTAACGTGAGTACGCCCATTGAATGACTTTACTTTTCACATATGCAGACTGCTGGAAGACTGAAATAGTCACGCAGGTACGAGTGTTACAATTATACCGGTGCATAAAAATTTTCTACCGACACGGTAAAACTTTAATACCGAGCTATTACTCCACGGTATTATTTATTAATGCCACTTTGGTAGAGTCACATATGTATGAATACCGCTTTGTATTATTTTAATACTGGATTCCGAAGAGACTGTAAATACATACCTGCACAGAAACGACTGCGATTGACCAGCAGCTTAACATGATCAAAGATAAGGCACTTTTGCTCGTGGCCATCCCACTGTAGAAATATCCCACTCCAGGAATCATCATGAAAACGAGGGCGGTAGACGCCAACACGAATCCAGTATCGCCATGGTCGTCCATCCTCGACATGGGAGGCACTGATGTGGTCACGTTCTCCAGAAAGGAGGTCGTCATGTTTTCTGATTCCTCCATTTTTCACGCTATGTAAATTTCAGTTAAAATTAAAAATTAAAAAATTAATTTTGTATGAATTTCCAGAAAAATATTTAATTCCCGAAAATTTTATATTCGCTTTTACTATTTCAAAATTTTTAATTTTAAATTAACTATCGATAACCTTACTGTAAAAATGCGTAATTTCTTCTTCAAGACTTATTTACAAAATCTCATCCCCTCAAAATGTCTTCACCTGCACAAAAATTGCAAAAAATTTTGCAACCTTTTCTAAATTTTCTTTAATCCTATCCCAACTCTATTTTATTACGCCAACGACTCCTCGGCGTCGACAAGTGAGGCAGATTAGCGATTGTGAGAATAAGCAGCAAAGGAAGGACGTGACATTGAATTGCAATTAACCTCAAAAAAGTACAACAAAGCCGTCGACGACGCTGGTTTTGCTAGGCTTGGCTTGTGAAGAAGAATGAGAGTGAAAACTGGTTCTTTTTTATTGCACACACGACGACCAAGTTTTATTTTAATCAGGACTTTGCATCGCCTCGAATGGCACTCGTCGTTGGAGCGTGCATCCCACAACACTAATATTCTCCAGCAGGTGGATTCATATATGTATGTATGAAATTTGTGCAAATTTCTACATTGCCTATAATCAAGGAGAAGAGTTAATTCGCAAATTTTATTAGCACAAGAAATAATACTTATACCCGTTACATAATGGATTAGTTATGCATTAAAAGGTTAATATTTATGTATGTATGAATTGGAATCTATGGTTATGGATGTAGCAGTTTGCATTGTTATTGTTGTGGGGATGCAACGAGTTACTTTTGCACCTGTTAATTCGCAACCATAATATTATGGTTGGAAATCTTGGAATGTTTATCTCTGGAGCGGTATGTAGATTGATTTTGGGGGCTGTGCAAAAATAATTTTGGATATACACACCTATTTCGCATTCATGGCAATTCACTCAGTTCATGGTAACATGCAAAATCCGTGCGTTTTGTAAGAAAATTTGGCAAACTTTTACAAAATAAAGAGGCGCTCTTGATCTGTATAAGTTTACCAGAAATGTGTAAGCTAAGTTTCCTTAGAAATATTTGTAGAATTTTATATGAGTTTGTAAGTGTACAGAATTTACGGTTACGGAGTTTACAATGTTACCAATTCCTTCGTGAATTATCTACCTCAGTGAGGTTTTAACTATAAATTTGATCAATTTTTTCGCAAATTGCTAAAATTTTATCCATTTTTTAAAAATTCCATGTGTACTTACTATTATTTAGTTTAGTGCTAAATTTATTTATCATGCAAATTGACTCAGCATGACCTTAGCAGATATTGGCAAATCGAAGGCATCCTTTATGAACGCTATCCTCCCCTCATTTGTGGGCGACTAGAGTGCAAACCAGTTTACTGATTGCGAACTTATGCCAAGATTTACGAGCCATTCTTCGACAACCAATTTTCTCATGATTGCCGTCGTAAAAGTGGATTTGATTCCAAGCCTACGTGCCCAGTTGAGTTAAATAGTCGTAGTAATTTAAGTGGTGACTTTGTCATGAGAATATTTAATTTATGAAGTCAAGTTTCATATGTATGTATGTATATCTCACTTTGTAAATTTTTTTACTCAAGGAAAATGAATCATTTGGTGGAAGCGTGGATTGACTGGAATGTCTGAAGAAGATTGGTCAGTTTAGGCCTTGTTGTAAACTGGATTAAACTAGATGGTTCAGTAAAGTCATAAAATATTTGATTATCTATTGTCAAAAAAAGTTACGAAACGTGGCAATTTTTCTGGGCGACTGGTTTAATATAAATTTATAATGGGTGCGAATCTTAGGTAACTCGATTAAATTGGACTTCAAAATTTGCATGACGAAATTGACAAAAATCAAATATCTCCGTTAATGTAACTGGGTTACGCATAAAATGACATCAAATTCGTAAACCTGCAAACGCAGGTGAAAGTTTGAAGGCGTTACGAATGAAAATGATGCCTCAATCGGAATGTAACCTAATGCACGTCTGTTATTTACAATCTGTAACATCAATAAGTATGTACCTACATATTTGTTTGACAAAAACAGTTTGCAAAAACCCATTCAAATGTCAGTTAAGACTTGAAAAGTGCGGGCTTGAAGAATTTGACTTTGATCACTTTGTTGTTATTGACTTTGTTGAAATCGAGGAAATACAGATATTTACATATGTACGTACATATTATGTACATATGCATACATGTATGTATATGCATATTTATGTATGTACGTTTGTCTCATAAAGACGAACAAGTTGTTTTTTAAGCAGACAGCTTAAGTGTGTACCTGTGCATACTCACACGTACGTATGTAAGCACCTATTTAGATACATATGTATAAATACTCATGTGTACATACACATGTAATGCTGAAAGACGAAAGAAAATGCAGAGATTTTCACTTCAAATTTTGCGATGCTGGTTTTCTGCCTATGGATGTAGTTATATATTTCGTTCAATGAGGAAAATTTACTTTATACATATGTACATATGTATACCTACACCAAGGATGACGTGAGTACAACTAACAGGGGTAGATATGCAGATATGTATGTATGCAATTCAATCCAATTCAATCGCAGCTTTCTCTGGTGCAATATGATCGTCAATGAGCCATAATCAGCTTTTCTTTAGTAAATACATATGCACATCCGTATCCACATCCCCAACTTTTCAAATGAAGTCCAAATGAAATGCTAACCAATGTATGACCAAGAAGCATTTTAATCATTTTATTCGGCTCTACGCAATTGTCATTTATAATTCAATTTACATAATATGCATATTGGTATTTTCCTTATTTGAATAATACACTTCAAACAACCCTCAACCAATCCAACAATGGGGACAATCCCCGCTAAAAAGGAATAAATAAATGTCTACCAAACTGAACCGTGCGTACCCTTGGTTCAACGCTGTCATTAATTTTGTCTCAATTTCCCTCCTGTACAAATCTACCTGGGTGTGAAAACATGAATGAAAATTAACATTGAACGCCTCCCAATCCACGGGACTTCCATTAATGCGAAAATTTTGCCCCAAATCGAGGAAAATCCGGTCGAATGATATCTCAAAAATTGTAAAATTCCGAATCGTCACTTCATCCGCGTTTAGATCAAAGTCGAACGTCATGATAATGTTCCAGGACAGATTTCTCACCGAAAGGGAAGCCAATCCCGCCCCGGTAAAGTTTCCGGATGGCAGACATGAATTTGAAAATGGGTGAAAATCTAGATAACCTCCAGCATCGTAGTTCGACTCGAGATAAAGGTTTCCAGCTTGTCGAGTTACCTGGACCGTGTTTGGGGAGAAGGTAAAGCGGCAGAGAAACTCTAACATTGAGACGCCATGCATGTAAAGGTTGCTACAAAATTTTAAATCGTTTGTTGGAGATTGCAAAATAATTTTGCCAAAATTTAAGAGAATGTGGAAATTTGTCACCTGTATGAATTTATAAACAAATTACCAGAAAATTACCTGTATGCACTCCCCCCATTCACATTTACGATTGGGTGGAAGGTGACGTTCAAAGGGCCGGAAAGAACGTCATAGACATCATTGACGCCTGCAACATGTGTAAATATTTAGCTATGCATTTATGTTTAGTTGTTAATAAACTTATGATTAAGGACCACAAATATTGTTGTTACCTAACAACACAACTCTGTGCATGGGGCTTCTGTGGGTCGTCGCGTCGTCGTAGTAGTTATCGTCGTAGTTGGTCGAGTAGTGGTCGTTAGACGCGTGGTTGTCGGTCGTGTCGTCGTAGTTGGAGTGGTAGTTGTTGGAATTGTTGTGGTAGTGACGGGTGGTCTGTTATGTAAAATAGGAAAAAATTTCTATAAAATTTCCAACCCGAATTGTAAAAAATTTTAAACTTAAGTTCGATAAAATTGTATTGGGAATCTGTATTTACCTGGTCCCACCTACGCACTCTGGCACATTTTCTGGCAGATTGCACGCCGTGATTGCAACATCCCAAAATAAATCGGCCGGGCATTCCCGTAAAATCGGTTCGCCACCAGAGTTGCAATCCCAGTAAAATTTGCATTCCGGATGTGGCGAATATCGCTCCCCATCACTGCAAATCTCTTGGCCTGTCACACACCTTAAAAAACCTGTTGTACTGAATACAACCACGGTTAACAGGGTTACTCGATGTCTTAATAACTTTCCCATTTTTGCATATGTATGTACGAATTTCAGACAACTGTCAAATTGCCCTCATGAGTAACCTTAACAATAAATATGTATATTGGACAGTAAAAATTGCACATTCAATAAGTTCACAAATTTATTAAGGATTGGATTTTCCCCACTTCAAAGGACACGAGTATAATTAAAATTGAGTAGAATGTATGTAAATATCGGTGGATCAAGTTATTATTACGAAACGTTATTTAATTGCACACGCTAAATAAATTTGATTAAAATTTACCCAAGTTTGATCACATTTTACCTAACTGTTGAGGCCGAAATGAGATGACACAACTGTTGTGTAAAAATTTCACTCAGGGGTTGAGTAATCCAATTGATCAAAAGTTGAGTAAAATTAACCCAACTAAATCGCGATACGAAAATATGGGTTGACAAGATTTTATACATTAGTTGAGTAAAATTTCACTTTTATTAAGTGAATTTTGCTGAATTATTTGGTAAATTCTGATCAATTATTGAGTAATTTTTTTCCAACAATTTGATAAATTGTGCACAATAAATGGTTGGAATTTAATAATTATTTCAGAGATGATGTTGTTTACCTTTAATAAAAAGTATTGTTTTTATTCATATAAGTCATATTTTAAAATTATTACATAATTATTTTGTACCAAGTTTAACAACTAGAACATGATTAGTACTTAATTTATAAGTCAGGTAGTTGCATATTAATAAACTTAATCTATAGTTATTTGAGATCCAAGTGAAAGAACTGCCGAGGGGGGTGAACGAATTTCTTTAGTTTGATAAATCGAGTGATCGAAGAAGCACCAGACTGGGTAACATTCATCAGGGAATTGAAGTTGAAGCACATGAAACATTTTGAAACAGATATCCACAGCATTAATTAGCGACGACGCTTTCACAAGTTTCCTCTCCACCATAACGTAGGAGTCATGTATTATAAGGGATCCCAATTCTCCGACACACAGAACAAAGGGTTGTTTTCGTCTTGACTCAATTGTCCTAAAATTTTCAATGTCATGTGTTACCTAAATAAACATAACACCGTTGAATTACCAATTATTATTACCTAACAAATCAATAAAATAAATTAGCTAACCGGTACAACTTGTATGAAAAATTCAGCTGACTCTCCCGATGTTATTTTCTTCCTCTTTTTGGATTTCTTTGAATAGGCTGAGCTAGCAGTCAAATATGGCAATAACACAAGCGCCCCAACCGTCTTGTCATCTTCGTGTAAATAAGTCAATATTAAAAACATTTACAAATCTCAAATTCACAACTAAAATTAGATGATTAACTTTATATTTCTTAATTATTAATTTCTAACCTTTAGACCAATTCGACAAAGGTTTTTTTATGCCGATTTCGTCCAAGTTGGTTTTGATTTTCTCGGCGTAACTGCAGATTTGTACTGAAACTGCTGCCCACTTCAGAAGCATCTTATCACATTTGCCAGGAAATAAAGTCTTGAAGTCCAGCTCAATCTTTGCATAAAGTTATAAGGTGTTCGATAGTTTTTATCAAATTTAAATTTAGTCCGCTTAGAAAGTTGTGACGTTACCATTCCTGGAGTGTCGAGAAGCCTTGGCCATTGGTCCAACATTTCCGCTAAATTATTCGTGTTCCTGAATTGGGATGTTCTCAAGCAGTAGGTCTCAGACATGTATTTAGTGACCTGAGATATGGGGACGGTAGAGTTGAGAAGCCAAGACTTTTTCTCCTCTTCGTCTACAGTTGGATCTGATAAATTCACAAAATTAGTAATTTTTCCCGGAATTTTAAATAATTGTCATGCATAATATGCCTACCCAAAACTTGGCACGATTCCACATTAGGCGGTTGGACTCGACACTTCACTTCATTCTTTCGACGAATATATTTCAATCTGTCCTCAATCAAACCGGATGCTGGAATTCTTCTGTAAATAATTCCATCTGAGCCTTCTCTCTTGGAGTTTGATAACTTCGACTCACTGTAGAATAAATTCTGAAATTGAAGCAAAAAATCTGAATTCAGTGGAAAATATTTTAAATATTTTAAAGTGTTGACATTTTTCTTACAATTATATCCAATTTTTGAGAGTCTGGGAGCGAAGGAAACAATTGAACTGCAATGCATTGGGCCAAATTTTCTTTCACGTACTTAGGCGGGCTAAAATTAATCAAAAATTAGTAGAACTTATTACTTTGTAAAACATATAAGGTAACGCATAGTTTTGTGAATGATAATTAAGTATTAATTACTAATATGAGTATTGCTTAACAAGATGATTCACGGTCCGTCGTTTTATCAGATTTTTAAGGGCAAAGTTGATCACATTTGTTTCAACGCAATCATCTAAAAGTTTCCTTCCTTTGGTTGTTCCTTTATCAGCGTCAGATGTAAGAATAATCCGCTTAACGTCCTGCTTGACAGAAATAATTTCATTAAAAAGGATAGATTATATCTTACAACTAAACTTACAAATAAGGGATCCGCGACGTTGCAATCTGGAGAAACCGGAATATTTTGTAATTCATCCACAAATATGTTTTCCTCTTGGCGAGGTGGCGTAGCGGTGGGCGGAGTTACCTAGAAGTCATTAATATTTTTAAACAGTTAGCACTTAACCAAACAAATAAAGTTATGTTAACAAATTTACGAACCACTAAGTACTGAACAATATTATCCTCCTGGCTTGACTGGTCACCGTCGGAAATCTGTTGCACGCTGGACGTCACAGATTTCGAATTGGTTCGCTATATAATTAATTATTGAGAGTATCACGATAAAGAAGGGAATTATTATTATAAGCTTATAACTAAATTAACTCAATAGGACAACAAATATTATCCACCGAATCACACTCATCGAACGACCTTACCACTACCAATGGATTTTGAAGGTCAAGTTGTAAGGGGTCAAGTATTTCAGCCTTGTCTTTTTTTCCTACTTTGAAAATGTATGAATATTGAAATTTTTCAACATATTGAATACGAGCAACGGCTAATTTTACACTCTCATCATGAACAAAACACAAAATCACCTGACAAAATTGCAGCCCCGACTCAGAACTTCCAATAAGAAAATAGTTTAGTGGAGAAATCTTTGTACCATTTATTTGAACAAAATCAAGGCAAAATATTTTATTACACTGAGCTGACGATATGGTGGAAAAATCTACATCATCTTTGATGTCCCTAATGTCAAATGTATTGCCGGGTCCAATACTAAGTTGAACTTTTGGCTCAATGTTAATGGAACCAAGTGAAAACGCCATATTTAGGGACATTCGCCTTGCGACACTTTTGGAAATATTCTTGAAGTTGCACGAGTTTTTACCAACCGTTTTAGCAAATCTGTGCTTGGCTTCGAATCTCATACACCAGTAATTTCTGAGTGGGCCTAACTGATTAATTGCGTTTGGATAATGCAATAAGTGATGAAATTTTGGAGTTAAATTATTCCCCGTTAAATCAATATACATCTGATGATGCTCTGCTATTAAGAACTGAAGTAATAATTTTGATCGTGTTATGACTGGAGCCATCACGATGCGTATTATTCTCCGAAATTTAAGTATTAAGTTCCAATATTTATCGTCGGATGGAATTCGGTCACCAAAAACTGCAGGAAAGACGAGAAAGAAATTACTCATTTCTGACGCAGAAAAACAAGACTTTTTGTCGCCGTCAATAATATTTGAGCCTATTTCGGGAAATTTTGTTAAATGATGACCATTTCTCTTCAAGCAACATGACAATCTATGATTAATTTCAACTAGCGAAAAATAATTATTCTGTAAAATATGTTCGAGGACCAGCTTTAATTCAATTATACAAATTCCTTCAAATATGTCGTGCATAATATCGGGGGCAAAGTTAGAAGTAACGTGAAATCCAGCAATCTGATTAATTATGGATAGTTCTTTTATGCCAGTGAGACTAACGTTTTGAACCTCAACATCTTCAGAGTATCCCAATCTATTTCGAATCAACTCTTTTCGCTCCTCCACATCAACGTAGCTCTGTGATTTGGTTGCTTTGCAAAAACGGCAACGGAAATTGGCGTTGAAACTTTCAGAAAATCCAAGGATTGCATGAAGCGCTAGATTATCACCACAAACTTGAAGTAATTGGACATTGCTAAAGGGTGAGTTTTCAAATTCCTCGGATTTAGGCATACTTTTGTTTAATTTATTAAGCTCATTTACAATTGGTGCAAGAATGGAATTCATCCCATATGATTTTATATATTTGGATTTAACAATTAATAGTGGGAATATTGCGGAAAGCTGTGACTTTAAATGAGGAGCAAAATTCGAAATTATGAAGTAAAACATTCCTAATTTGTGGAATTAAGCTTTTGCACCCAATGGATTGCAGATTTCAATATCGTCATAGTAAATTTGGATAAAAAGAGGATTTCCTGTAAAACTACTGACAAATTCCCCTGACTGATAATCCCGTATAATATTTTTATCCTGATTCAGACGTCCTCCGGCATCAGTGACCTCTCTATATTTTTTAAGGGCTACGGGAAGAATATCAGATATCCGGAAGTAGTACATATTGTCAAATTTCTCACGCATCGCTCCTACTGAATTGTCGAATTTGAAATGCGAACCAAGTCGTAGTTCCTGTGCTTCTATAAATATTTTTGTTTTCTCTAAATATTTTTCAATTTGATATTGAGATGAAGTTTGTTTCGGAAATGGTTCCTTTAAAGAGTTTAATTTGATAATAATTTCATCGTGGGAAAGATTTGGTTGTAGGAAAGTCTTAGCAATATCAACAATGCTATTAACCAAAGAATTTGCAGCACAAAGAATTTCCCCAGATTTTACTAGGGGAATTGATCCAGACATTTGAAGTGACCTCATAAATGACAATTTATAATCATTTGTCACTTCATTAATTATTTTGGCAGAATAATCATGACTAAAAAAACTTTCTTGAGACAAAATATTCTCATCATTAAGGTTATTTGTTATTTTTGGAAAACTAAATTGTGAAAGTAATTTTGGGCATATTTTGGCTTGCACGTGTTTTCTAAGATTGTTAATATTTGTGAAGGTCATTAAATACAAGGGACAATCTATTCTGGCTGAAGGCCCTGTTATCTCGTGAAAATCCCTGATATGATTCCAAAAAGATTTGAAAGAATTTAAGGAACGATGACACAAGCTACATATATACACATTTTCTTCCTTAACTACACTAACCTTCCTAATTGCACCAATTATTTTTAGTCTGTTTCCTATTGACGGGACCAGCGTGGCAAACAGATGTTCCTCAAGTGAACCAGCAGGGCAGTCGGGAATTTGACGAAGAAGTTCGTCGTCAAAATCATTATCTAAAATTGGAAAAATAAATAATTATAATAATGACCAAGCATTGCACGATTTTTTAATAGTTCGGATGACATAAATAGTACAACACCTATATTTTTCACCAAATATATAATCTTACCTTTAAAAGTTTCCAATAATACTTCCAGTCCAACTGTCTGGAGAATTGATTCCAAAAATTTCGTCATTTCTAGAAATTTTTAACTAATTTGCAGGAACAAAAATCTCCACCTAACTAGAGCGGCGAGGTGGCAAGAAGAACTGAAGAATTTTTGTGCTCGCGGGAAGCGTCATCCAAGACCACACAACTGGTTTGTTAATTTTGATACAAGTGTTGAGTAAAATTTCCTCAACTTATGTATAAAATTTATTCTTTATTGTAGCGAGTTTTTCAACTTTTACGTTGGTTTATTTGTTGCAATTATTTGTAAAAAAAACTAACCAATAATTGAGTAAAAATTAGTCATACATGTAGAAAACCGATTTTTCACAAGTAATGACTACAAAATTTACAACGTTGGGTAAAGATCAATTTATACAACTCCGTTGATTAGTTTTTAGTCTTAGGTTGGAATAATTTGTACCAATGTTGTAGAAAAATTAACCAATTCCACTTTACTCAACCGGTTGTACACAACTTTATTTAGCGTGCACAATGAATTGCATGATAACAAGAATCCCCCGCAGTATATTTATAGCCCACTCGAAATATGAACATTACTATGTAATTGAACTAATGAAAATTTTAATCAATTAATGTCAAACATGCTTCGTTGACATGTTCAATTTGCTTTTATTTACAACGCGAAGATAAAATATATTATTGGTAAATTAACAAACCCGAATTTTTATAAGTATGTAAATACATAAGACTATGGATAATTCTATCAATCATGTGAAATTTCGTATCCATTTATCAACGAAACACATGGTGGAAATATATACATAATGGTCGAAATAGTGGTTTTCTCAAAGAAAATATTTAAGATAGTCAAAAAACGAGCAAATTAGCTCTTAATTGAATTTATCCACATGTGTATATGCAATTTGTCAAACTTCGAAATTTGTCAAACAAATTTGTCAAATTCGAGATTTGTCAAACAGAAAATTAACAATACGTACATGTTTTGCAAAATTATCTCAATATGTAGGTGGTCATTTGAAATAGTGTCTTTGGGATGTCCAATAAAAATGATATTCTTGCGATTTGTGTGTAGGGTACTTACCAATAAATTACTATTTGCTTATCTTCGCATAATATTTAAATGACAAAATAAGATCGACATTTTTAAAAATTAAATTTGTAAATCTAGAGAAATGTATTCTTGTATTTATTTAATCATTATTCCAAAAACAATGTCGACATAGAGGAGCATAAAAAATCCCATACACGACATCCTATTCTCTATCAGTACCCTTATTACCGACAAATTGGGCAGTCTCCCCTCGTAACGATATCAATTATCTCGGCTAGCGTAAATTGTGTTACAATTGGATTAATAGCCGTCCTCAATTTTTCTTCTACTTGCACCTTATTTGCCGCCAATTCGGCAGCGAAACAGGTCGTGAAGTTCTCGTTGAACGCGTCCCAATCCACGGTTTCCCCGCCAATTACGAAATTGGGGCCAAGGTCGATAAAAAGCCAGTCAAACGTTAGCGCTTCAACGGTCAAGGTCCGAATGTTGACACGGTTGGTGATTATATCGACGTAGAATACAAAGCGCATGTAGGAGTCGAGGTTGGCCACCTCGAAGTAGGCGGTCCCCTCTTGCCCGGTAAAATTTCCGGAGGGGAGACAACCCTGGGTGAATGGGCGGAAGTCGAAATACCCGTTCATTCCTGAGTAGGCCGTATCCAAGTAGAAATTCGGGATGCTGAGGCGAAACATGACAGTGTAAGTGATAATTATCGCGGCACATTCGAAATTCATTGTGGAGAAACCAGTCATATACCCGCCCCTGGAAAATGAGGAGTATTTTTTAGGAAATTGTACAACATTTGAGCATAAAATGTTCGAGGGCACAACGTGCCCTCCAACTTGGTCTAAACTTCGCCCTTCCCTATTTCAAGCACAAAGAATTAATTGTTGAAGCAGGAATCAACATTGAATTATGTATGGAAGATTTTGACACCAATGAAACGTTCAAAAACCATATAAGATCAGGTATCGCAAGGATTCTTCACTCCGAGGTCAACAAAGCGGACAAATCCACTAAAGATTTTGACTGGTTGAAACCAATCTGCAACAATCTCAGAAATGACCAAAGCATTACAATTGTTCCTGCCGACAAAGGGAATTTAACTGTTGTGATGACCAAGACCGAGTATGACAACAAAATCGACACCTTATTGTTGGACCCAAGTTACTCCATTCTTGACAACGATCCCACCTCATCATTGGAAACTGAGATCAACAATTTGTCAAAAAATCTACTGAAAATGAAGAAATTAGATAAATCCCAACATCATTATATTTCGCCATCAAATTCGAAAATACCAAGATTTTACGGCTTACCGAAGGTACACAAACCCGATCTACCTTTCCGCCCCATTGTAGATTTCCGGTCTTCTCCGTCATACAACTTGGCTCACTTCTTAAACAAAATTCTCAAACCTGTCACAACCAATTTTCCCACGCACATCAAAAACTCATATGAATTTGCCAAAAGTATCAAGAATTTCGTCGTCCCACCCAATCATGAAATGGTATCGTTTGATGTAATCTCTTTATTCACTCGAGTACCGGTAGAAACAACTTTAAAATACATCAGAAAAAGATTGAATTCATCAACAAATTGGAAAACCATCACGAAATTAAATACTGAAGAAATTATGAAATTATTGCGCATCACAGTAAATTCCAACTATTTTACTTGGAATGGAAGGATTTATAAACAAAAAGATGGTACACCGATGGGATCACCGGTCTCTCCTGAATTTGCAGAGTTCTCTTTGCAAGACTTAGAAGAAGAAATTGTTCTTAAGCATCCAGATATCAAATTCTTCAAAAGATTTGTGGATGATTGTTTTGCATGTATACCGACTGGCTCCAAAGAACGGATACTACAAGACCTGAACAGCTATCATCCCAACCTACAATTCACATGTGAATCTGAAACAGATATGTCGATATCATTTCTGGACCTTTTAATATCTCGTGATGAAAACGGAAATTTGCATCGCCAAGTATATCGAAAACAGACCCATACAGGCAGATACCTAAGCTACAACTCTTATCATCACCCGTCCCAAAAAATTGCAGTTATTGATGCCCTGGTCTATAGAGCTCTTTCCATTTGCGATGACGAATTCCTGGAAGAAGAACTAAAATTCATCACGAAATCTTTGACAACAAATTGCTATCCAAAACACCTAATCGACAAAAGAATATCAAGAATGAAACTAAAATTTACAAATGACCAACACCAAATCCAAAATAATGACGCACCTCGCATCATTCTTCCCTACATGGGTCCTCTCACCCATCGTTTGACGGGTTACCTACGGAGAAAACTCCAGTGTCAATTTGGATACCTCACGGGAAAGAAAATTAAGCAAATCATCTGCTCCTATAAAGAAAAACCACCACCAGAAAAAATAGGGGTTTACCAGATCAAATGTTCATGCAGATCAAAATATATAGGAGAGACGCGTCGACCACTCGAGAAAAGAGTGAAAGAACATCTCAATGACATCAAAAAGAAAAACATTAAGTCAGCAGTGGCGTTACATATACTGGAAAATCCAAACCATATCATCAATACCGACTCAGCAAGTCTTATTATCCCGGAACGACGAAATTTTCATTGAAAATTTTTGGAAAGCCTTTACATAAAGAAAACGACCAACACTTTAAATCAAGACAATGGAATGAATATAAATCCCATTTGGTCTTCACTCATGGTACCCTTACTCAATAACCAATGACAACTCACTAACATTATTATTCATCCTTGATTTTAAATGTCAATCTCCAAAATATTATTTTTAAAAAAGTTGCCTGATGATGATGCAAGTGTGGCATCGAAAGCTTGTAATAAATTGCTTTACATACCAACAACCATGTCTTCCGAGAATTCTACTCTTAGATTTGAGCATAATTTTTAATAAATTTAGTTTCTAGGTAAATTGCATGAATTGTCGGTGTAATATAAATTTACAAAAAAACTCCAGCGTGCAATCTTTATTTAGCCTTGGATTTTAAGCTTTTTCCGATCACTCAACGATTATTAGTAAATTGTTGTTGTCTAACTATCTAATTCTAACTACTTTACTAACTTTGGGCAATATACATACGTATGTATGGTAAAAATTTCAAGTCCCAATCAGTTCAGTCGTTTTGTATATATCGTATTTACAGCCAGACTGACAGACAGGCGGACGGACAACCGTGCCATAAGCCGAAGCCCTGGCTGGAGCTAAAAAATGGAAATTTCGAAGTATAAATATTTCGTGATATGTTTTCCCTTACTCAAGCATGCTCCCAGGCAGCGCACTCCATATCGGGTCAAAATTTGGTTCAAAAGGCGTACTTCCAATTTCCATCAAATCGTCCAAACCTTTCAAAAGCGTAAGGTATAATGTAAGGTTGGCAATTATTACTAGGATTAATAAATAATTACTTCTTAATCATGTTAACGTACAACACTGTGTGGGACATGGTGTCGTCGTCCTAGGTGTTGTTGTGGTGGGTCGTGTCGTCGTCGTAGTTGGTGTGGTTGTAGTTGGTCGAGTAGTAGTCGGTCGTGTCGTTGTAGTTGGCCGGGTTGTCGTTGGAATTGTGGTCGTCGTGATGGGTGGTCTGTAAAAAAGGACAAAATTTGACACTTAATTTTCATGAAATTTTGAAATGAATTTCGATAAAATTGCATTAGAAAATTTGCAAAATTAATTTGCACATCTGACCTACTAACCTGGTCCCACCCACGCACTCGGGCACATTTTCTGGCAGATTGCACGCCGTGATTCCAACATCCCAAAATAAATCGGCCGGGCATTCCCGTAAAATCGGGTCCCCACCAGAGTTGCAATCCCAGTAAAATTTGCAATCCGAATGTGGCGAATATCGCTCCCCATCACTGCAAATTTCCTGCCCTGTTACACACCCTAAAAAATCTGTTGTACTGCATACAGCCGCGATTAGCAGGGCTACTCGATGTCTTAATATTTTCCCCATTTTTACATGTGTACCAATTTCAGACAAAGATTAGTATCCTAATGTTGGACAAGTTGCACATAAATATATAAACTTATTAAGAATTGGATTTTCCCCACTTCAAACGACACGAGTATAATTAAAATTGAGTAGAATGTATGCAAATATCGGTGGATCTCTTGTCATTACGAAACGTAGTTTGATAACCATGTCGTACAATGAATTGCATAATAACGAGAATATCCCGCAGTACAAATATATTTGGAATCCACTCGAAACACAACATGAACAGAATAACATGTAACTTATTTAATGCGAATTTTAATCAATTAATGTCAAAAATGCTTCGTTGACTGGTTCGATTTGGTTTAATTTACAACGAGAAAATATAATACATATATGCAATTAACAAACTCGAATTGGTATAACACTCATTCAGTCAATCGTGTGAAATTTCGTATGCATTTATTAAATTTTCAAAATTGCCAATTTTAAATTGGTTGCCATTGGAAATATGCATTGTCTCCAGGTTTGTCAATGATATTCGCACGATTTTAAGGTAGGCCACCGACCAGAGAACTAGTAGTTAAATATATTTTTGGTGCATTCATTTTACTAAATTTTAATTTGTTAATCTATACAAATGTGCTTTTTATTTACATATTTAAATAATTCATCATCATTCCAAGCACAATGTCCACATCGAGAATAGAACATATAAAAAAGGCTAAAACGACATCATTTTCTCCCCTGTTTTCCTCACGAACGAACAAATTGGACAGTCTCCCCCCGTAACGATGTCAATTACCTCGTCGATCGTAAATTGTGAAATAACTAAATTCAGCGCCGTCCTCAATTTTTCCTCTATTGGCGCCTTATACGCGGCTAATTCTGTGGCGAAACAGGTGTTTATGTTCTCATTGAACGCGTCCCAGTCTACAGGATTCCCGCCAATTACGAAATCGGGTCCCAGGTTGATAAAAAGCGAGTCAAACGTTAACGTCTAGATTGTCAAGGTTCGAAGGTTGATTCGGTTGCCGATTATGTTGATGAAAAGCTGGGCGCTCATGTAGGAGTCGAGGTTGACCACCTCGAAGTACGCGGTTCCATACTGCCAGGTAAAATTTCCGGAGGGGAGACAACCCTGGGTGAATGGACGGAAGTCGAAATACCCGCTCATTTCTGAGTAGGCCATCTCCAGGTAGAAATTCGGGACGCGGAGGCGAAACGTGGGAGTAAGCGTGATACTCGTTACGACACATTGCCAATTCATGGTGGAGAAACCAGTCATATATCCACCACTGAAATTTTGAAAAATTCGATAAATTTCAGCATAGATTTCCTAAAATTTAATTTTTAAATTCCCATAAAGTGAATTGTTACAAAAGGAAACTTATTCGTCCACGGAAAATTTGTTAAACTTTGCTTTTACCACGCTGAAATTATTGGGGGTATTCATTACGAATTCGTATCGTTAGCAATCATAAAAAAATAAAGTTAGCAAAAAATTGTGGTTTAAATATTTGTGAAAGTTCCGCATCTCCAGGACTATATATTTTTGTAAGTAATATTTGGCTAAAAATTGTTTTCCAAAATTTTGTTGCGATGCGAAAATACAAGTAATTAATACTCCGATTGTATGGCATTAAAATAAAGCTAAAATTTCGCGTAAACTTTAAAAAATAATTTCAAAGTAATTTCGAAGTCTAAATATTTCATGAACTGTATCCCCTTACTCAAGCATGCTTCCAGGCAGGGCGCTCCAAATCGGGTCAAAATTCGGTTCGAAACGTGTATTTCCAATCTCCATCAAATCGTCCGGCGCGTCGTCGTCTTTGGCCGGGTCGTCGTCGGAATTGTTGTGGTCGTGATGGGAGGTCTGTTATGTAAAATAAGAACACATTAAATTTTTATGAAATTCCAGGATTACATAATTTGCAAAAAATCTAAAATTTCATAAAATTGTTTTAGGAATAGCAAATTTGATTTGTAGTTACAACTAACCTGGTCCCACCCACGCAGTCTGGCACATTTTCTGGCAGATTGCACGCCGTTATGGCAACATCCCAAAATAAATCGGCCGGGCATTCCCGTAAAATCGGTTCCCCACCGGAGTTACAATCCCAGTAAAATTTGCAATCCGGGTGTGGCGAATATCGCTCCCCATCACTGCAAATTTCTTGACCTGCCACACCCAGTGAGATAGCTATGGTAATGCTAAAAGCTATCAAGGTCTTGACCAACAATAAGTCTGAGATCTTTGACATTTTAAGAAAATTGAAATCGAGTATTTAAGTCCTTCTAAAAGTTGTACAACATATGTAGTCGGACCACGGACTAATTTATTATGCGTCAGGTAACCATGATATTGTCCTCATTTATCGGCATTTGCATGCATAAGTGGTTTGATTTCAATTTAGTCTGGATTTCCCAGACTAGGTTTGGCAAGATAATTAATTATATTACCTTGCATAATTATACTTATAATATATATACCTAAGTATATGTAAACTGTCATATGTACATATGCAAATAGTTCCCCCTGTCGTCCTTAGCATTTTCATTACGGAATCTTCGAGTGATTGATTGTATCATTTAGTAAAACAATTAATTGAGCGACAAGATTAATCTAATTTGTTCTGATTTGACAGAAATCAATATGCTTACTTGTTTTTTTTATTACAGAGTTACGCAATATATTTGTGTAGATATGTAAATACTTACATACATGCTTATATATTTGAACACATCGAAGGAATTGCTTCCCGATGTAATAAAATTTCGTCCAACACGAAATTCAAGTCGTTGGCGTCATAATTCTAACAGTTGGTCACAATTCTGCATACTTCATTCTGTATTTTGTGCAAGCCATTTTGTGTATTAAATAAAAAGAAAACCAAATAAATCTCCACAAATTTAGCTTTATGCACAATTCAGTTCCGATCTCAGGAAGGAAAACATCTACATAAATTACGTTAATTTAAAAAAAATATATGTTACTTTTGCAAGTGCAAAATATGAACATTAAATCCGCAATAAAATAATAGTTTTTTAATAGAAATTTTATTTACATTTTTATACTATGCAAAATTTAATATTGTTCCACAAGTTCGACGTCTTTGACTGCGAAGGCGTTTCTCATCTGGCAGAGGGGGAAGTATTGGAGGGTGGGGCCGCCGATGCAGGGATGCGCGAAAAGGGCCGGTCCCCAGAATACGACGCACATGGGCTCCACAACAACCGGGTAGGTTGCCGGGGGGAGGACCGCACCCGTACCGCCGCCCCAGTAATGCGTCACATTACTTGTCGCGGACGTCCAAAAAGCTAAAAATAGGAAATTTAGATTGTTTGTAAATGTTTACATAATTGAAATTTCTAAAAAGTTGTGTAAATTTCTAAGCTATTTATTATGCCGCACAAATTTAAACATGCGAATTATGTTCAAAGTTCAGAGTACAGCTTAACTGCAGAAATTTTCAGATTTTCTGCAGAAAGGGTTTATACAGGGAGATTTGTCCATAATTATACACACATTGTTCTGCAAAATATAACCTATAGAATTTTTTTTGCAGGATTATGTAAGAAAACTTATACAGGATAAAATATGCGTCAAGCTTTTGTCAATTACTGCAGAATTCAATACCATGGTTTCTACTCGGCATGCACAGATTTTAGGACAAATATTCTCGCAATTTTAATCAATTAATATCCTCAAATTTTATAAAAAATGCAGTACATACCATTTCCATCCGTATGCCCGGCAATGGTGGTTTTTAAATAGGCAAATTCTGCCGCTCCTTCCACCGTCGTGAGCGCCCAACCGAAACGTTGACAAAAAGCGTTCGCAGCGGTGTAGTTCATCTAAAATGAAAAGCATATTTACATAATTTAATGTCTCGCGTAAATTTTGCGTATGTAATTTTTATAAAATTCAGTCTCTCACATGGACGGGCTCAATCCAATAAAATTTTCCCTCAAAATCCCCAATACTCTCCAAACTAGAGGCTAACGTGAAAGCATTTAAAATTAAGAAGAGCGCGATTTTTGAATTCATTTTGTCGAATTAAAATATTTTCAAGGTAAATATTTATGAAGGAAATTAAGGTGTGACTGACAGCTTGGGAGCAACTGGAACTCTGTACCATTTAAGCAACCTGTATTATGTGAATTTATGGACAAGTGGTCGGAATTCCCGATATGACTCAATTTTATGTCTGTATTTATGCAATCGAGTTGACCAAAGTCAATTGCTTTGTTATGCTCAAAAAATTAATATAACAAGGTACAAGCTTATTTATGTACATATGTATTTGGTAACAAGTTATCTTGAGGGGTGTCAATTCAAAATAAATTAAATGTTGTTAAGCAATCGTGAAGTGATTGGATCAATCAAGCCCTGCGTATTAGAGTTGGGGACCATAAATTTACCGGGCATGTAGCCCAATAGGTTAATAAGATTGATGAAATGTCCCCACCAATTTGTTGCCCCTGATTCATTATGCAAGTCATTTGAATATTCCGTTATAAAAATGTACACAAATGCATACACGAGGCAAGGTTACAACGTAAAATAATTACGTAAGGTTATCCGTGCATGTCTGGGAAATCCAGGGTGAATTGCATCAGGTAACTTATAAATATAAATGAGCCCTACCTTACAGATGGCTACCCGGTTTGCAAATTTAGCTCAATAATAATTTAGTCTGGGGTGCCGTCAGTTGGTTAAATTTTGCCAGACATTGATTTTTTTTATTAAGATGACGATGACCTGGGTAACCTTGACTGTGACCTTGCTACTGGCTTTAAGGTTTAGCACAGGTCAGGAAATTTGCAGTGATGGGGAGAGATATTCGCCACATCCGGAGTGCAAATTTTACTGGGATTGCCACTCCGGGGCGGAACCGGTTTTGCGGGAATGCCCGGCAGATCTGTTTTGGGATACTAGAATCACGGCGTGTAATTTGCCGGAAAATGTGCCAGAGTGTGTGGGTGGGACAAGGTTAGTAGATGTGCAAATTAATAAACAGTTCAAAAAAATTAGCAAATTTTATGGTATTCAAATAATTTAAAAATTTCATAGAAATGTATTCCTTTTTTTAAAAGACCACCAATCACAACAACCACAATTCCGACGACGACCCGCCCCACAACCACGACACGACCGACGACCACTATTCCAACGACAACTGTAACAACGACGACAACAAGACCCACCACGACGACCCCAACGACAACGACGGCGTGTCCAAGACCGTGTTGTAAGTAGTTACATACTTATTTAATCGAAATTTAATTTAATATATGTAGTGGGCAAAATATTTTATTAATTGGGAATGTTATTTCCGTATTTTTTCAAAGGTTTGAATGACTATGCGGACATTGGAAGTATGCCTTTTGAACCGAATTTCGACCCAATGTGGAAATGTCTTAATGGGAGCAGACTAGAGTAAGCATTTTATGAAGTTTTTTGCTCAAAAATTTTAAATTTCATGTTTTTCTAAAAATTATTGCACTTTCACTTGGTGCAAAACCTGGTTGAATTCGCGTCTTGTTTGTCCCATTTGCTCGCGTGCTTGAGACATTTCAAAAATTATGTTTAGAAAAATATTTTACCTACAAACATTCAAATAACTTTGAACATTTCCAAAAATTTCAGGGGTGGATTTATGACCGGTTTCTCCACCATGGATTGGCAATGTGACGTCACGGTTATCACGCTCTCGGCCACGTTACGCCTCCGCGTCCCGCATTTCTACTTGGAGACTATGTACTCGGGAATGAACGGATATCTCGACTTCCGCCCATTTACCCAGGCATGTCTCCCCTCCGGAAATTTCACCGGGGAGGGGGCCGCCTACTTCGAGGTGACTGATCTCTACTCCAACATGCGCGTCCAGCTGTACGTCAACCTGATCACGAATGTCGTCAGCATTCGCACCCTGACCATTGAAGGCTTGACTTTTGACTCCATTTTTATCCATCTCGGCCCCGAATTCGTAATTGGCGGGTCAACCGTGGACTGGGACGCGTTCAATGAGAATTTCCCGACCTGTTTCGCCACCCAGCTGGCGACGCATAAGGGTCAGCTGCAGGAAAAGGTGATGGTCTCGCTGAATGGTATCATTACACAGTTTACGCTGCAAGAGTTTTTCGACCTAGTTTCGAGCGGAGATTGTCCAATTTGTTCGTTCATGAGTAAAGCTGGGGAGAAAGGATTGTTGTTTTAGAATAAGGATTATTTCGTAGGTGGGGTAATGTGAGAGGGTTGTGTAATTTATTTTTTTGGTTGTGTTTAGAAGTATATTTATCTGTAATAAATAAATAATGAGGAAATGGAAAGAAGATTTATATTAATTTTTAAAACCACACATTTTTCATGTATCAAATCGTATAAAGCATATCTTCATAAGAACCAAATAAAAATTGGCTTTTATGCAGAAAACGCAATTCCTTGGTCAATTCCCGTAGGCCTTGGTAACTTTGTAAATTCTATGAACTTACAAACTTTTACAAAATTTTTCAAATATTTCTTATTAAAATTAGCTTTCAAATTTTTCTAAACTTACTATAATCAGATCAAGTACGCCTTTTCGTTTTGTCAAAGTGTGTAAAATCACTCTACCAAAATTTAACGGATTTTACAAGTTATAAATGACTGCGTTAATTGCTTCAATAATAATATGTTTGCTATGTAAATATGATGATGGGAATTATTTACTTGATTTAATACATAATTGACACGTGTATGATTTATCTATTTGACAGGTGGGTTTTGTATATGCACTTCACCTTGTAATTGAATCCTGAGTTATCTTTACTATTTTGACAGTCAAGTTGTAAAGTAAATTGCACTTGTCACTGATGAGCCGTGTTTAGCAGCAATTGAGTAAAATTATATTAATTCCGTAGTTGGACTCGGTACTGCGGGGATTTCATGTTATGCAATTGATATTTGTACATATCTGTATTTACGACGTATGGTTATCAAACAGCGTTTCGTAATAATAAGTAATTTCGTTTACCGATATTTACATACAAGCTATTCAATTATAATTATAATCATGTCTTTTGAAGTGGGAAATACCCAATTCTCAATAAACTCTTGTATTTATTTACACATGTGCAATTTTTAGTGTCCAATACATACATATAGTTATTAGTAACCGTACTTGAGGACAATTAAAATTGTAATCTTGATACGAAATAAGTAAATATGAGAAAATTACTAAAATATCGAGTAACCTTCCTAACCGTGGTTGTATGCAGTACACTACATTTTTTAGGGTGTGTGACAGGGCAGGAAATTTGTAGCGATGGGGAGCGATACTCGCCACATCCGGACTGCAAATTTTACTGGGATTGCAACTCTGTTGGGGACCCGATTTTACGGGAATGCCCGGCCGATTTATTTTGGGATGTTGCCATAACGGCGTGCAATCTGCCAGAAAATGTGCCCGAGTGCGTGGGTGGGACCAGGTTGGTAATTATGTAGATGTGAAATTAAAATGTGGTACGAAGTTCGTCGTGCAAAAAAAAATATGTTGCAGGTTTTAAATTGCAAATTAAATGAAAGATCGAAAATTTTAAAATTGTATACAATTAAACATTTTAGAATTTGTTAAACTTGCGTATTTTACAGACCACCCATCACGACGACCACAATTCCAACAACGACCCGGCCAACTACGACGACCCGACCGACAACTACGCGACCAAGTACGACCACACCAACTACGACGCCGACCACTAGCACACCCACGACGACGACGCCATGTTCCACACCCTGTTGTACGTTTAGATGATAGACAATTAATTATCACAATAATTGATAACTTTACGTTTTCTGAAAGGTGTGAATGACACGATGGTGATTAGAAATACGTATTTCGAACCTACTTTAGACCCGATATGGAGCTTTCTGTCTGGAAGCATGCTCAAGTAAGGGGATCCATTTCTCGAAATATGTGTTTAGACTTTGAAATTTTCCTATTTCTTGTCCAGTTTAAGCTTTAAACTTATGTTTTTCCTGGGTAGGGGCCGTTCATGAATTCTGTAACGCAAAAATCGCGCTTTTCTAGAGCCTCACTTTAACATATGTCACATAGGCACGATGTCCTTGGAGCCTTAAAGTCCCATTCTCCGTTACATAATTTATGGACCACCCCATATGCGAAATTTGTGATTTGTTTCCATTGGAAAAAAGATTTCAGTTAATTCTTACACTGTTAGAAATCCGGTGTAGTCAGGCAAGCATTGATTTCTCGATATTAAAGATGCTACCGTTTGGTACTAAAATTATACGGGTAAAAACTCCGAAGCATTTTCTACCTGTATGGTAAAAAAACATTAATACCGCACAGTTACCCCACGGTATTAATTATCAATACCACTTTAGTATATGCATACATAGGGGTGTACAACTTGATACTATTGTAACACTGGATTCCTTAGAGTGTACATACATACGCATTTTTCCCCTGAATCAATTTCGAAGTCATGTGAATCATTTGTTTAAACTTTCCTTTATTGCAGAAATTAATTCTTACGGGAATTTATGTCAAAATTAAGTTTTAGGAAATTATGCCGAAAGTTTGTAAATTAAAAAAAATATTCTCCATTACCAGTGGGGGATTAATCACCGGTTTCTCCACGATGAGATGGGAATGTTCTTTGGTGATTATCACCCTCACAGCCACGTTGCGCCTCCGCGTCCCGAATTTCTACATGGAGACAATATACTCAGGAATGCACGGGTACTTCGACTTCCGCCCATTTACCCAGGGTTGCCTCCCCTCCGGAAATTTTACCGGGCAGGGGGCCGCCTACGTCGAGATGGGCAATCTCGACTCCCACATGCGCGCCGTACTGATCGTCAACCTTATCACGAATCGTGTCAACATTCGCACCCTGACAATCCAGACGTTAACGTTTGACTCGCTTTTTATCAACTTCGGTCCCGAATTCGTAATTGGCGGGTCAACCGTGGACTGGGACGCGTTCAATGAGAATTTTCCGACCTGTTTCGCCACCGAGTTGGAGGAATATAAGGTCGAATTGGAGGAAAAATTGAGGTCGACGTTTAATCCGTTTTTTTCATACTTTACGCTAGCAGAGGTAATTGCTATCATTACGGCGGGAGACTGTCCAATTTGCTCGGTAATGATGACATCTGGTCAGAAAGGGATGTTGTTTTAGGGTTTTTGATGTGATTCGGTGTGGACAATGTTTTTGTAGTAATGACAAAATAAATAAAAGCAGTAGATGTATATAGATTAACAAGTTTACATATATGTACAAGTTATTGAAAATTATTTATTTTGTCATAAATTCAAAATACTGGTTCTCTGATCAGTGGCCGATCTTGAAATCGTGATTCGGCGTCTTCAGGTATTATTTCAAATGACAAATTGTGCGAAATATTTATTGAAGATTTTGCAAACATTTTCAAATTACATACATGGTTATGTTGATAAATTAAATTTGTTAATTAGGTATTCAAAGGCCTTCTTAAGAATGCTGAATCTATTCTTTTAGAAAACCATTATTGCATTGCGTTGATGAATGTGTATTTTTGTAAAAAAGTTCACTTGATTGACATGGCGAGTTTTACAATAATTTGTTAATTGGATAAATGCTATTAAGTTTGCGTATTAAAACAAATTGAACCTGTCAACGGGGCATGTTTGACATTAATTGATTATTTGATTAAAACTGGATGAAATAAATTATGTTCATGTTGTATGTGGCCAAGAGGACTTTATTTATGTGTATAAATATACTGTGGGGATTCTTGTTGTTATGCAATTGTTTATACGACGTGGTTATCAAGCAACGTTTCGCAATGACAGATCCACCGATATTTACATGCTACTCAATTATTTACATATAATTATAATCGTGTCGTTTCAAGTGGGAAAAATCCAATCCTCAGTAAATTAGTGTATTTATGTGCAAGCCTTAGTTTTGAACATAATTATTATTAACCCTACTCTTGAGGGAAATTTAGAGAAATAAACAATAGTCTCTGTACGTAGTTAATCGTCACATAAAAATGGGAAGATTATTAAAACACGGAGTAATCCTGCTAATCACGGCGGTATTCAGTACAATAAACTTTTTAGGGTGTGCGGCAGGTCAGGAAATTTGCAGCGATGGGGAGCGATATTCGCCACATCCGGAGTGCAAATTTTACTGGGATTGCAACTCTGTTGGGGACCCGATTTTACGGGAATGCCCGGCCGATTTATTTTGGGATGTTGCCATAACGGCGTGCAATCTGCCAGAAAATGTGCCAGACTGCGTGGGTGGGACCAGGTTAGTACATGGGTATTAAATTTGTGGTTTCCAGTTCAAATCCATCATTTAGTTTCAAAATTTCATGCCAATTAAGTCAAAAATTTTGTAGAAATTTGTTCCCATTTCCATTTCGAATAACAGACCACCCATCACGACGACAACGACTCCGACAACGACTACCCCAACTACCACGACACGACCGACAACTACACGGCCAACTACCACGACGACGCGACGACCCACAGCAGCTCCGTGTGGCTCGCAGTGCTGTAAGTAAACTAATTATTTAATACAAATTTACATAATCCTGGATAATTGTTTTGCGAGATTTCGACTATGAATGTACATGTAGGCGTCAATGATGTATATGACGGTCTTTCCGGACATTTGAATGCCACTTTCTCCCCAATCATAGAAGTGTTTCAGGGGAGTACATTTAGGTATGATTTATGTACATATGTATGTATTTACGTAAATGCTTTGGTGTCATTTCGTACAAATTAGATTTTGGTGTGACATGAATTCTAATTTGACTCTTCTACTGGTCAATGTCTCTAAAGACAATTAGATTAATTTTTGGTAGTACAAAACTATCGATTTGGAAAAAATTGCTACTTCATTTTCTATTATTTATAATAAATTTCCTCAAAAATGAGTTCGCCATTTTAGAAATCTGCATAGCAGCAGAGTATGAAAAATCTATGGTTATATATATGTTCTACCTTAACTGAAAATGGAGGTCCCCGACGTATGCTTACCAATTTTGACAAATGAGTGTCAATCGATCATAAATTTAATTAATATTGAATTTGGAAAAGCATTGCTTTGAAAGCAGCGATCCGCCAATGCACAAGGGAGGAGATATATATTTCATTCCGAACAGGAGAAAACGCGCTTTAAATTTGGGGAGCCTAAAATTTGTCGAAATGATGGCCCATTTTCTCCTCTTACTAAAAAGAGGAGAATACTCTTCATACTTTATTAGTATGAAACAATAACTATTTCTGCCAAACTATTTCGGCAAACTGAGCATTGGGGGATCGTTCGTTGCTCTTGCGAATTTAAGATCAATTAAATTTATGATCAACTGACATCCATTTTGTCAAAATCTAATGGTAGGAGAGAGTGCCGGGAGAGCTCCATTATGAGAATTAAATCAGCACAGAGGTCGACGCCGCCGATCTCACGCCGCCGCGCCGCCATACGCCGATGAATTTTACGCGCCGCCGCCGACGAAAAATTTGATTTCCTATTCCTCTAACATTGCGACGCCGCTGAAAAATCACCAAAAACTGGCGCCGCCGCCGCCGAAAATTGGTCGGCGTCGACCTCTGAATCAGCAATTTAAATTTTAGCAAGAAGCGTACTTACATCATGTTTATATTCTGATCAATTTTTTCCAGCAACCTTTACACGCATGGCGTTTCAACGTTAGACTTGGATTGCATTTTTAACGTAAGCAGCTGGACGGGAGATATAATTCGACGTGCAGGAAACTTTTATTTCCAGGGGGACTACGATATTTGGGGTTATCTTGATTTATTCCCTTTTTCAAGTTTATGTCTGCCATCGGGAAGCTTTAGCGGGGCAGGAGTGGCTACCTTTGAGGTGCAAAATCTCGATTGGATCGTAGGAATTTCATTTTCCCTCGACCAAGTTCCGGATAGATTAACGATACAAATTTTGACAATTCATGAAATATCGTTCGACAGGATTTATCTGAATTTAGGGCCAAATTTTCGCATTAATGGTAGTCCCGTGGATTGGGAGGCATTCAATGCTAATTTACATTCTTGTTTTCACACCCAACTTAAGCAGTACAGGAGGGAAATTGAGACAAAATTAAAGTTCGCGCTTAACGAACGGTACTCACAGTTTGATCATGTAGAAATTAGTAAATTTCTTTTCGCCGGGGCATGTCCGCCTTGCGTGACTGTTTGTCCACAATGTTTGAATTTGAGGACTGCAGCCCTTCAATAGTTATTAAAATCACGACAACGAATAATTTTTAAGGAACTAGTTCACAGTTTAGGTCTCTTGATGGGTGTACATATTTCATCATAGATTTTGACCCAATTAGTACATATGTAGGTCACAAATTTGATTAACATTAAATTTGCCAATTGTCGCGTTTGGCAGAGATATTTGCAATGTATGTGGGTGCACAAAATGGAGGTAATACTTGCAAACTTTCTGCTTCCCAAATTTACTGTGCACAATAAACGCATGCGTTTTCTCCTCTTTAAATGCAAGTATCTCTGCCAATCCTGCGCGTTGGGAGATCGTGCCCTTTTCAAATTTCATATGTATTAGTTAATTTTGTGCTCGATCGACTCTATAGTGTCAAAATCGGAGAGCATACGTTAGGACGCCTCCAGTTTAGTTGTGTCAGTGAGTTTATAAGTATAACAAATGTTCGTACTAATTTCTCGCCACGAAATGCAGATGATGTACATACATCTTTACATATGTATTTACAAGTTTACAACAGCGTTCTTCCGCATATGTATGTACGTACATATGTTGATGTACATACATATTAATGTATGTTGATAAATAAAACTTGTTATGCATTTATTCAAAGATTTTGTTACGTGGAATATTGTGTTTGAGAAAATAATTATTGTGTCGCGTTGCGTTGATGAAAAAATAGATAAATAAAAAAGTTCATTTGATTGACAGGGTGATTTTTGCAATAATTAGTTAATTGGGTAAATGTGTGTTGAACTTGAGTGTTAATACAAATTTGACTTGTCAACAGGGCATGTTCGACATTAATTGATTATTTGACTAAAATTGAGATGAAATCAATTACATATTTACATACATAGCAGTGCTCATGTTGTGTTCGAGTGGATATGCACAAATGCATACTTATATAAATATGGGGGATTCTTATTATTGTGCGTTTGTTTGTGCAACATGGTTATCAAGCAACGTTTCATAATAACATTATCCACCGATATTTACATACTACTCAATTATAATTTTGACCACGTCTATTGAAGGGGGGAAAACCCAATCCTTGGTAAATTATCGTACTTATTGTAAATGTGTATGTAAATGTGTTTAAATGTACACAAGCCATTTAAGTATCCAGTATGTACATTTAATAATTTACGATACTCTTTAGAGTAATTTATATTATGCTAATCTCTGCCTGAAATTGGTGCATCCACACAAATGGAAAAGTTATTACAATATCGAGTAACCCTTGTTATCGTGGCAGTGTACAGTGCAGTAGGTTTTTTAGGGTGTGTGACAGGGCAGGAGATTTGTAATGATGGGGAGCGATATTCGCCACATCCGGAATGCAAATTTTACTGGGATTGCAACTCTGGTGGGGACCCGATTTTACGGCAATGCCCGGCCGATTTATTTTGGGATGTTGCAATCACGGCGTGCAATCTGGCAGAAAATGTGCCAGAATGTGTAGGTGGGACCAGGTTAGTTGGGTGAAAAATTGTACTCGTGTTTAAAATTTCATGCAAATTATGTCTTAAGTTTTACCTATTTTAAAAGACCACCCATCACCAACACAACAATTCCGGCCACAACGGGACCAACTATGACGACACGGGCGACAACTACACCATCAACTACGACTATTCGTCCAACTACGACGACGCGACGACCTACTGCAGCTCCGTGCACCACACCATGCTGTAAGTTGCATATGCATCTGGCGATAATGAGACATCTTGACAATCATGATTTTTATCGAGATTTTGACGCGTTATGTAGGCATCGATGATGTCCATGATGGTCTTTCTGGGCCCTTGAACCTGACCTTTCACCCAATCGTCCAGTTGGATGAGGGAAGTGAATACAGGTACGTGTTGCCAAGTAACAGTAGTTTTTATTTTGTAAGGTTGTAATTTAACCTTGTTGATGAAGTGAGCGTTTTTTTATGTAAATGAATCACCCATTAAAATTTTGGCGTCAAACGTACATAGATAAGTACCTAAATTGCCTAGCATCTTATATTTTGATCTATTTTTTCAGCAACCTTTACACGCATGGCGTTTCAACGTTGGAGTTGGATTGCAGGTTTCCTATACCCGCCGGGACCGGACAGATAACTAGACGCGCGGGAGACTATCATTTCCAGGGGGACTACGATATTCAGGGTTATCTTGACTTAAACCCATTTTCAAGTTCATGTCTGCCATCGGGAAACTTTAGTGGGACCGGAGTAGTTACGTTTTCAGTGGAAAATCTCTACTGGCTTGTCGGGACGACACAATTTACCGACATAATTTCGGGTAGAGTATCAATTCGAACCTTGACAATTCATGAGATATCGTTCGACCGGATATATCGGGATTTGGGGCCAAACTTTCGCATCAATGGAAACCCCGTGAATTGGGAGGTATTCAATGCTAATTTACATGCTTGTTTTCACACCCAACTTAATCAGTACAGGGGGGAAATTGAGACAAAATTAATGTCCGCGCTTAACGATAGGTATGAGCGGTTTACTATTATAGAAGTTGCCGAATTTCTTTTCGATAGGAATTGTGCGCCTTGTTCAATTGTTTAGAATATTAGAATTTGAAGAATGCTGCCCATCAATTGGGGAACTAGAACCCCATCAATTTGTGTTAAATTTGATAGAGTACTAACTATTTATTCTTAGTTGAATCCGAAAATTGTTAAATAATATGTCATAATTCTTGTAAATTTAAGCTTGTTACATATTTATATTGAACCTGCCAACGGGGCATGTTTGGCGTTAATCATTAATCGATTATTTGATTAAATCTTGCATTAAACAAGTTACAATAAATAGTAATGTTAAATTAGTGTTCGAGTGGACTCTGCGTATGCAAATAAATAAGTGAGGGATTATTGTTATTATAAATTGTTTGTACCACACGGTTATCAAGCAAGGTTTCGTAATAATAATTTTATCCACCAATATCTAAATGCATACTAATCAATTATAATTACTTCTGTATAATCTTATCGTTTGAAGTGGTGAAGACCCAATCCTCAGTATAAATTAGTGGATCTGCATACACACTTCTAATTTTTAGCTTTAATAAACATATGTATCATTAACCTTACTCTTGACGCAATTTAATACAAACTAATTCTTGTGCAAAATCGATATATAAAAATGGGCAAATTATTAAGACATCGAGTAACCCTTCTAATCGTGGTCGTATTCGGTACCACAGAATTCTTAAGGTGTGTGACAGGGCAGGAGATTTGCAGCGATGGGGAGCGATATTCGCCACATCCGGATTGCAAATTTTTCTGGGAGTGCAACTCTGGTGCGGGCCCAATTTTACGGGAATGCCAGGCCGATCGGTTTTGGGATGTTTCCATTATGGCGTGCAATCTGCCAGAAAATGTGCCAGAATGCGTGGGTGGGATCAGGTTAAAAGTGCAAAATGCAGGTGGACAGTTACAGATTAAACGAACACTTGAAAATTGTATGAAATCAAATGTTTCAGCATTTGCTAAACTTGTGTATTTTACAGACCACCAATCACGACCACAGCAATTCAGACGATGACACGACGCCCCACATCAGCTCCGTGCACAACGCCGTGCTGTAAATTAACTACATATTTATGAGACAAGAATGTTATCCGGGTTAATTTGAGATTTTGACTTTTTGACTTTGTCGGCATATTTAGGCGTCGATGATGTCTATGAAGGTCTATCTGGCCCATTGAACGCCACCTTCCATCCAATTTTAGAGGTGTTTCAGGGGAGTACATTTAGGTAAATATGATTTAAATAAATATTTGCGACAAGTTTGTACTTGTAATTAAACCCTGTTGATTAAGGTTCCATTGGATGATGATTTGATGTGGGATAGATTATTGATCTGTTACTTACCCCTGTTGAATGTTTCAAATCAAAGTTCATAAAATTGCATAAATTTCTAGGCTTTTTGATAAATGCTAATATAATGTAGGGCTAATTTTTGATACTAGAAAACTATGCATTTGAGAAAATTTTACAGATTAATTTTTAAGGATTTTTGTACATAGTTCATACTGTGCAAAAAATGGCAAACGAATTGGTAATTTTTTTCAAATCGATGGTTTGGCTCTGCCAAAAAACTGGGGAGTATGACAAGTTGTATTTACCCCAAAACCCATGAAATTAATGCCATTTTAGAAATGTGCATTTAAAGATATTGAATAGGGTAGAGTGAGATTACAAACAGGGTATGCTACCCCGGGTTTTTGGGGTATTGGGGTATTGGGGGTTTTGGTGGGTTTTGGGGTATTGGGGTATTGGGGGTTTTGGTGGGTTTTGGGGTAGCAAATTTGAGCAATACCCACGGGTAGTCGGGGTAGTCGGGGAAGTCGGGGTTTTCAAATTTTACAAAATATGATTACAGGGCATTGCTAGCAATTCTACAAATTAATTACTTATTAAAATATAATTAATAAGCAGTTTTGTTGCGAAATTACTCAAAAACTGATTTTTTTCAGTAATTTTTGAACTTAATACATGAGACACTGACTCAGTTTGCCCCCAAAACCCCGACTACCCGCAAAACCCAGGTAAAACCCCGGGGTATGGGTTTTCAATAGCAAAACCCCGGGGTTTTCCTTACCCTGATTACAAATTTATGACGGAGTAATGTCACCTTAAGTTTTTTTCCTAAGTAAATTGAATCAATGATTTAGATTTTACCTTTCCAAAAACTTTTTGTCTATCAATTTTTCAGCAACCTTTACACGCATGGCGTTTCAACGCTAGATTTGGATTGTAGATTTGCCGTAAGCGCCGGGACCGGACAGATAATTCGACGTGCGGGAAACTTTTACTTCCAGGGGGACTACGTTATTCGGGGTTATCTTGATTTATTCCCTTTTTCAAGTTCATGTCTGCCATCGGGAAGCTTTAGCGGGGCAGGAGTGGCTACCTTTGAGGTGCAAAATCTCGATTGGATCGTCGGGATGACACATTTCGTCGACATAGTTTCGGGTAGAGTATCAATTAGAACCTTGACAATTCATGAGGTATCATTTGACCGGATTTATCTGAATTTGGGTCCGAATTTTCACATTAATAGAAGTCCCGTGGATTGGGAGGTGTTCAATGCTAATCTACACCCTTGTTTTCACACCCAACTTAATCAGAACAGGGGAGAAATTGAGACAAAGTTAAGGTCCGCACTTAACAAACGGTACTCACAGTTTACTCTTGAAGAAGTTGCTGAATTCCTTTTCCTAGGGGATTCACTTCACTAGCGAAACAAGGGGTAGGCAGGGTAGGCATTGCCTAGGGGCCCCCACGGAGTGGGGGCCCCGTAGCTGCCCCGAATTAAAAAAAAATTTACATGTCTAGCAGTGGCGAAGTTAGTGGCAAGCGTTGCAGTAGATCATTAAAAAATCTAAACTAGTTCAAATTATGTTAAGAAATTCTGCCAAATTTTATTTCATAATTTTCAGTTTAAAATGCTGAGATGGGAGTCACTGCTATGGCATTAGCTAGTTATTTTTCTTCAGGCTTTGCGCGCATCATCTTACTTTATCAGTAGTTTTAAATATTTTAAATGTAGCAAATTGAACCCGATAAGACGAGGAAATGACACAAATCTTATCAGGATGATACTGGCGTTTTTTATAGTTTGTTTAAAAATGATAAATTTACTTTGATCATTAAACTCAATTAGTCGTATAGCAACTGCAAAAACTGAAACTCAATGCAACGACGCCAGGGGCCTCGCTCCGACTTTGAAGAAACAATGATAATTAGATAACCTTAGATAAATAATTAAACACGTGCACTCAAAATGAAAATTTGTCTAATCAACACCGCCGGTGTCAATATATGACTTAACCGCCTTGGTTACAATGTTGAATCCGAGTTATGATGATTTTGATACCGGTAGTTATAATGTTATGACCGGACGGAAAAAATTCATTACTACTCGGAATCACAATTCTAACCAAGGCGGTTAAGTCATATATTGACACCGTTTTGTTTTGAGTGTAGTTAAGGATTTTTCATAGTGCTCAGTTTAAACGAAATTATGACAGAATCTAAGCGTGAGAATTTCCATGTTTGCCGTGATATTTTTCTCTCTCGCGAGAAAAATACACATTCTCGCTTATGTAATCCATCATAATTTCGTTGAACTTAAAATGCATGGTGTTTTTTCGTCATCTAACATGAAGTGCTTTTTTTCGATTTTGACCTGACAAATTTCAAATTGTTCACACGAAGAAGAACGCCATATTTTTCCATTTTCCTCAAGGCACGCGTTTTCACAATGTTTTTACGCGGCGGAATTTTTGAAAAAATTTTCATTAAAAATTGTGAATTTTCAACATGTACATAAATTTCCTAATTTTTAACCGATTTCAAGAATGGAAGAACGTTTTTGCACAGAATTACATTAATTAATGCTAAATCTTTACTTACCACAAATTTTAATTTTTCAAAATTTATTGTTTGTTACTTTAAAAGTTTTTAGAAAAATATTTCTACACTTTTATGGAAGTAATTTTGAGTTCTTGGAAGCATCATGGAAGTTATATGGAATCATTTTTATGTTCTTTCGGGTTTAAAGTACAGAGGATCACAGATCGTATTTGCACATGTTTTAAAATTGACCTCAAACCTTCACTCTGCGTCGATGAATTTACTTCGATTGTTGAATGCGTTCCTCAGACCTTTGGCTAACCAGCCTATATCGCTGTTTTTCCCAAATTCATTACTTTTCCTATATTTTGGAGGGCAATCTTCTTCAACTCGTCTTGAAGATTTTTCCGAAACACCAAAAAAAACTAGAGCTCGACCGAGATGAATCTATGGTTTTATTAGTCTAAACCCACTAAAAATCTACACTGCGACCCGTAAAACAAGGACACCTATTATTTTTTTTAATATCTCAAATGACCTCCAAAATATTTACACGTTCTTTTCGCCATTAAGTCCTACGGTGGGTAGTAGTCTTGTCGCAACTTTTGATCTTGGTTCATAATCATACTACTTGGGAATCTACAAAAAGTAAAATTCAGGTGACCCATAAAACAAGGACATGTCCCAAAAAACAGGATGTTTGTTATTCCACTGGGTGAAATAAATTGACTTTGGGCCGGAAATTATATCATCAGTAAATATATTTGTGAGTATAAGTATAAGTATATTTGTGATATTTTGGTCTATGGTCGGTGTAAATTAAACTTTTTCTTAGGCAGGTATGCCAAGGCGAGGGGTAAATTCCAGGCCATGTGGCAAAATGGTAAGGTAGAAGCTTTATTTGCAGATAGGTGGAGTACATCGAAAATTGCGAAGCCCTTAATTCTCAGGTGACATTCCGTAGTAACGTCCAAGGCCGAGGGGACCACTTCCGTTGGAACACACAAGCAAGAAGGCATGCCTCAGATGATGCACAGAGAAAAATCCATCATTCTCCGTCGCTCAGGTAACTCCTTTGTGGTTGCAAACCAGACTAAATTGGTTTTCAAGCTCCTCTCAGCGCAATCAACGATAAATAAAGTCCGGTGTGCTTGCCCGATCTTCCGCAGAAGGAAAATAAACAAGAAGCGTGAGCTTTTCCGGAAGCACAAAGATGCTCAATCGCAGTGGGCAAAAGATTGAATGTTGTGGACCCCTGAATCGAGCAACACCATATTTATGGACAAAGCCGATTCACATTGGATTGTCCTGAGCAGAGCTGGGAGATTAGTTGATTTTTTGCTCGGATTTCGGATTGGGGATTGGACACCAAAATTTTTGGATTAGATTGGGGATTAGAATTAAGCATGGATTCGGGGATTGGATTGGTTTCGGATTAGATTACTTTACAAAATTTATTTGGATTGGGGATTAGGGATTGGCCAATCTGGATTAGTTTCAGGATTGAGGATTATTTTTCACTGCTATTTTGCTTAATAAATTTGTTTAACGTTTTTTTATGATTTCACCCTACAAAAAAGAAAGTAAAGGGAATGAAAAATTGAAAGAAAATTTGTTAAGCACATTAATGTTAAATTATCATATTATTACAACAGCACATTAACCAGTTCATCAGACAGAGGTTAATTTTTGTGCAAAAATATAGCAGTATCGATTAACCAATTAATTTCAAGTTTAAGGATTTTGTGTTAATGTTTTGTTTTCTAATTCATTTTTTAACAATGTTTTTATCATTTCACGTCAAAAAATGAAGTAAAAGAAACCTATTTTAAACCAGTTTAAATCATTTTTGAGCTGTAATAACAACACATTAAGTAGTTAACCGGTTCTGTTTGTGTAAACAAATTTAAAAAGTCAAATGCACTGGGTAATTTTAAGGGAAATTTGAAACGCGCAGGTGAAAAACAATTCAAAACTAATCCAAGATCTATGACCAATCCAGATTGGGGATGAGCTTGGAAATTTTTGCTGGATTGGGGATTGATTTGAATGATTTTTTTTCGGGATTGGGATTGGTGGATTATTTTCAATATTTTCAAAGCTTGGATTAGGGATTAGGGATTGACTAATCCTTAATCCGGATTGCCAATCCACCAATCCCTAATCTGGATTGTCTCAGCTCTGGTCCTGAGAGGAATATGTATCATTTTCATGACCTTAGGAAACAAAACCTCACTTTACCACAGACAGCGCGGGGGAGCTGGTGTCACGATCAGGGGGTTTATGCAATGGGGTCCAATGTCGTGTTGTTCCGACTTTTTTGAACTCACAAGTTTATCACGTCATTTCAGAAGATTAATTTCTTCCACTAAAACAAAAATTCGGAAGAAAAAATGGCAGTCTTAACAAGATAATACCCAATATAATGCGCCTCGGTGATCAATGAAATGGTCCCAAGACAACGATATCGACATTCTGCCTTAGCCATTGAGGTGTTTGGATCTAAATCAGATTGAAAGTATTTAGGGATATTAGTTTAGGGATATTAGGGATGCTAATACTCGGCAGTGTTCAACAGATTCCGAACAAAAACAAGGAATCACTGATGCACGAGATTAAGTGCCAATTAGTGTTGTCAATAGGCTCGTGGGGTCAATGAATGTCGATTTCTTTCTGATATCAATAAAGTGGGTAGATAGATTGAGTATTGTTGTGAAAAAGAATTGATAAAATACAAAATTACTGGCTAAAATGGAAATAATTCCAAACCAGTCCTTGTTTTACGAGCCACCTGGTTTTGCCATATTATTAGATAACTTCTCCACCCCTGCACTAATTTTAACGAAACTTTGCAACAAGGCTACCAGGCACCGTAGTACTTAATGGTGAAAGCAACATAAAAATATTTTGACGGGCCTTTGAGAAATTGGAAAAAATTTTAGGTGTCCTTGTTTTACGGGTCGCAGTGTAAAGGAGTGGCATCAGGACTTGCAAGTCCTGATGCCACTCCTTTAGATTTTTCACTCAGATACCTGTGACTGACATGTCAGTCACAGGTATCTGAGAATTAGGGATGATTGAAATCTCTAGCTTTTGTTTTAATGCGGCTGCATACTGGGTCGTTTTCCCAGAGATTTTCGTGCTGAAGTTTGTTTTCGCGTGAACTTTTGCTATTTCTTGACCTCTTCTTGAAGTTTATTATTGATGGCGCAATTCACATGCAGCTGGCATATTTTAACAACTTTTCCAATTTGAGTTTGGGTCAGAAGATTTTCTCTTGCTACTTTATTGGGGATGCCAGTCACGCTAATTTAGCGCTTCTCTTCGACCTGATCGTTCAGCGGCCGACCTCTCCCGCTGGCCACCCGCTGGTCATGCGCTCGTCATAAATATAGTCACAACGTGACGAAAAGTGAATTTTACACGGAAATTCCTTCAGTTTGTTTAATAAGTCATGTATTGTGGTCATTTTGGTATAGGTGTCGACCCTTAACTCGTTGGACACCTCGGTATGTTTCCTTGTAAGTATTCCATGAAATATGTATTATAAGCTGAAGAAAAATATTGACCGGAAAAATAATAACCACTTAAATGAGCAAAATGTTAGGATTGATGAATGTCTAACCCTGAAATGGTCAGATGGTATAAGTTCACTCCACCAGTTTCTTTAGGGTAGAGAGACGCTCTCAATCGGTCTGCGCCAGGAATAATCATCCCTACTTTGAACAAAGAGATCGAGTTGTTAAATCTAACTAGTAATATATGATACTAGATTACCTGCGACTCATTGGCTATTGCATACACGAGTATAGTCAATCCTAAAATTATGTGATATCCAATTATGTAAAAAGTACAGTTATGTGAAAAGGTGTTTATTCAATAAAGATTAGACAATATGGCCCTTATGCAAAATAACTTTATGCAAATCAACCTAGAACCCCCCAAACAACTACTTTTTAAGAGTAAAATTGCGGAAGTACAAAAAACCTTATCCGCCTATGAGTTTGGTCAGTTTTTGTCACTGTGCAAATAGGATCTGTGACCCTGTAGCATCAAAACTGCAAAATTTATTACGTTATGAGAAATCCTAATTTTGACTGAAAATGTATTAAAAATTCAGAAAACACGCTCCTTTATGAAAAGGCTAAAGAACGCTAGTTTAAGTGTGCGAGCAAATTTAAAACCGGAGAAAACGATTCATGACCACTTATTTATGACGGACTCTGTAAGCGAGAATCTGTATTTATGTCCCTCCCAAGAAAAAATTCGGGATAAAAACGGAAATTCTCGCTCATGGATTCCGTCAGTTGAGCATTATGAAAAATCCTGAATCACGTGCTTAATTATTTACCCAGGCTTTCCGAATTAGCAAGGTTTCGTCAAAATTGGAGCGAGACCGCTTGAATTGTGAGTGTAATCTGACAGTTCTACATTCAATTGTTGAAATCGTGATATTATTGAAACGATATTTTAATTAAGCCCTTGTCGTTTAACCAAACAGCACACAATAACCTTGCACTGAATCAAATTATGGGTGCGAAAAAACCGCAAAATTTTCCTATTTCTATAAGTCTCGTCAAATCGGTCAGAGACAGGGGCCCCCAACGAACCTGTGCCTACCGGCCCCAAATTTATAGTTCCGCTAGTGTCCGCCTTGCGTAGGTATTTAAATATTTGTGGAAGAAATTCTACATAAAATTATGTAGATAAGCTAAATATGTATATTGCTAATTGTTAACGTCATAATTCATCTGTCATCATAATTTATACTTGTGAGAATTGTGTGTACATATGTAATAAAAATACAAATATAAAAACGTCCACTGTAATAGGAGTTTTTCACCATTTTCTTGGGCTCGTTAATTGGGACTCTATGTATATTTATATTTGTGTCACGTGGTGAATTTTTTAAAAATGTAGTAATTTAAAATAGGGTTGCCCCGGGTAGTAGTACTACCCGGTACCCGGCTACCCGGTACTCGGCCTCAAATTTTTGCCGGGTACCCGGCTACCCGGCCGGGTACCGGGTAATATTTATATATTAAAAATAACGGGGTTTTTTCTACTTTTTCTAGAATTCGCAACAATTTTATAAGTTTTAAAAATTATAAGTTAAATTTCTACAGTGCAGACTTCATTTTTAACCTCCATGCCTAGTTTCAGATTAAAGAAATATTTTGCAAAAATTAGTTTGGGTCGCCTTTTCTATGGCTACACTCACTATGGTTGCAATTTGCTTCCCCAATCCACAAATGCGACCCACCACAGGGCAACTGGGTGATCAATGTAGCCTATCTTTGAACTTGCTTTCTGTATCTTTGCCCAATATGCATATTGTAAAAATTTCAATTTCTCGGGCTAATGATTTGGGCTAGAAAGTGGATATTAAAAACGAAAGAATCATATTGGACACAAATAGCGTACTCACAACAATGCCTTGTTTATGATCGCAATCATTTAGCCAACTCGTGGGGCTTAAAAAAGTTATTGCTTGAGGGCATTCGAATCCCCTCATAAAACATAAAACCAATTTTGTGAGACTTTTTGAGGTGATACATATCCTGATAATCGATTACCAAGATAGCACTTCGAAAGTCTCACAACTCAACTAAAGACGTTTATTTTGATTTTTGTCATGGATGTTCGCAATTTCTCTCGCTTATGATCGCACGGATGAGTCTGCGAAATAGTCTTACAAAAAAAATGGGTTTCTTCGCAAGTTATGCCTAATTTGCGAGATATGCAAATTTATTGACTGATAATTCGTTGACGTGGGCGCGCTCAAAGTAATTATAAAATTTGTACGATAATTTCCAAATAAGTTTTGGCCAATGCTGTACCCAGAATATAGTATTTTAAACCAAGTACAAAAATTAAATCCATCGGATTCTATTTTTTTTGTAAAGTTTTGCATTTTAAGTAAGAAATTTATAAATTTAAATTACCCGGCCGGGTAGACCGGGTACTTAAACATACCCGGCCGGGTACCGGGTATCCCAAAACAGGCCGGGTATGCCGGGTACCGGGTAGTTACCCGGTACCCGGGGCAACCCTAATTTAAAACATACTTATTACGATACGCACGTAACGTATCACCATCCAGGGAACATTTTTACGGATAGCATTAGAAATATTGGCAAATAAAGAAAACCTTTTATTCATTTTTCCAATAAAACTCCATGCAAATCCATTTATTAGCAAACACATAATTTGAGGTGCATAATCTTTTGTGAACTATTAATACCCATTAACATATTTAAATGCCTGGGTAAATTTTCCATTTTTTTTCAAAAACTTGGGGGTATTCAACAAAATATGGGGGGGGGTATTCACTACAAGTTCGCATGTTCGTATCACAGCATAATTTTAACAAGTTCGCGAAACTGCATACATAAGTATATTGATAGACATTGACTGGTCAGTACTTATTAAGTACTGACCAGGCTTGAAGATGTGCAAGTTCGCAACCGGATTTTAAACCTTATTTTTTGCAAACTTTTCCCCTCATTGTAAATTTTGCAAAATGGAATATTAAGTAAACATGCTCATAAATTAACTTTGCGACCTATGTACATATTTATCCATTATTGCGTCACAATACATAAAAATTTCACTTGACTGGCAGGGCAAGTTTTACAATAATTCGGGTTCCTTAATTTTATCTACGGTAAGTTTGAGTGTTAAAACAAATTGAACCTGTTAACGGGGCATGTGTGGCAGTAATTTATTATTTGATCACATTCAATAATCATTAATCATTGCATTAAGGGAATTAGTAATGCTTAGTAAGTTCGAGTGAACTCCACGTGCATATGCATTAATATAAATATTAACACTGCTGGGACTTCTTGTTATTTTGTACCTGATTGTACGACATGGTTATCAAGCAACATTTCGTAATAATAATTTGATCCATTGATATATTTATACTTGTAATCATATCTTTTGAAGTGGGGAATATCCAATCCTCATCAAACTTTGTATTTAGGTATGTGCAGTATGTATGTAATGTTCAATATATTTAAGCAACATTAATGTTACCCTCAACTAATTCGTTTAATAATATTTTTTGCGAAATTGATACAAAAATGGGAGAGTTATTAAGCCATAGAGTGACCCTACTAATCGTGGCTGTTTGCTGTATAGCGGACTTTTTAGGGTGTGTGACAGGTCAGGAAATTTGCAGGGATGGAGAAAGATATTCACCACATTCGGAGTGCAAATTTTACTGGGATTGCAACTCTGGTGGGGACCCGATTTTACGGGAATGCCCGGCCGATTTATTTTGGGATGTTGGAATCACGGCGTGCAATCTGCCAGAAAATGTGCCAGAATGCGTGGGTGGAACCAGGTTAGTAAGTACATACATATGTAACTGGTCACATTTGAACACAATTTCATGCAAATTAAGTCGGAGATTTGATAGAAATGTTTCTATTTTACAACAGACCACCAATCATGACCACAACTACTCCGACGACGACGCGCCGACCCACAGCAGCTCCGTGCAACGGGCAGTGCTGTAAGTTATGTAAATATGTAACAGAATGCAATTCATTTGGATTTTAACTTTGTGTAGGCATCGACGATGTCTATTACGGTCTTTCCGGCCCTTTGAATGTTACCTTCGACCCAATCTTACAGATGGATGAGGGGAGTACATTTAGGTGCGGTTTAAATATGTGCGATTAGTTTCTAGTTTGCAATTAAGGGGGCATCTAAAAATTATGTCACGCATAAATCACAAACTTCTACCCCCGTTTAACATAGGCACGATATCATTGGAACCCTCCTCCCCCCACTTGCGTGACATAATTTATGGATGGTCCCAGTTGGCTAAAGTTACATATGTATGTATGATGACAATTTGATGTATTGAGCATAGTTTTTTAATGCCCCTCTATTCTATCTACTAGGGTTGCCGCGGGTAACGGGTCGGGTACCCGTTACCCGCATACCCGCACGATTCTTGCGGGTACCCGTTCTCTGCGGGTAGCGAGAACTACCCGCACGGGTAACGGGTAGTTCAGTTTTTATTTAATTTTCGACGTAAAACAGCTCACAAAGAAAGTTAGTCCATTTACGAACAAAAGCACCAATTTATTATTTATTCATTTCAAACTTTGGCATTTTCTATTTGCCAGCAACTAGCGTTGATAGCGAGCGTGTGTTTTCGGAAGCAACAGAAGCCTACGGCAGCCTTAAATGCTTTTTATTCCCTGAAAATGCTGAGAAATTATTGTTTCTCAAGAATAACTTGCCTGCTCTGAAACATCAGTAATAACTTGACTTGTACTTGTGTCTTTATGTAAAACTGACGAGATTTTAATTTGTGCTTTGAAGGTGAAAAACCTGAATCGATTGAAAGCAAAAATTTTATTTGTAGGCAATTTCGTAAATAATGCCTTCATTTAAAATATAAATTTTAAAAATCAGACTAAAATTTGACTCTATTTTCAAATTACACAAGGATTGTCTCGCGAGTATATCAAAACATCAGAGGCCATAAATTACGAATCGCGTGATACTTTCCGTTGAATGTCCACTTTCAAGAAAAAATATTAACGTCAAAGCCCAATTTTTAAGTACATGTTTTGCATCTTTTTCCTTCACTGACGTTAACCATGGTTGACTTTGAACTCTCCCCCCCAAATAGTTTTCTTTTAACGGGCTATTCAACAGAAAAATAAGTGATAATTCCTAATTTTTGGCTTGATTTTTCTATATAATTCGCTAAGAAATCACGGCATAGGCTTGAAAAAGGTTCCATTGTAAGCCAAAAAAGTTTGGTTTCAGAAAAATCTAAGGACATCTAGCAAATTATGGCATTCGGTACCTGCACAGTATTATATCCAACTACTGAACAACCCAAATGAGCAAATAATTGATTAAATCAAATTTATTCTGAAGGTTGGTTAGTTTTAACTTAATTCTCATAACGGGTAGCGGGTAACGGGTACCCGCACCGGTTCCCGTGCGGGTACGGGCAGGGTTCGGAAAACCCCGGGGTTTTTGTAGAAAAACCCAACCCCGTGGGTTTTTCCGGGGTTTTTGGGGTTTTTGTGGGTTTTTGGGTTTTTGTGGGTTTTTGTGGGTTTTTGTAGATTTTGGGGCAGGTTGAACCAGAATTCCTAAAATTATTTATTAGAGAAAAACTAATTTAATATACGATTTTAACATGCAATTTTAACCGTTATCATTGATTTGGACTATTACATCGAAAATTCATGTTTGACATGTAAACCTGGAAATATGCAATGATACTTGGAAATTCAAGTCGCAAATGAAAATTCTCAAAATTTCAAGATGAGGCAGAAAAGTTAATTAGCATTGATCTACGTTGTAGTTTAAGGGATTTTGTTTCAATCTGCCTCAAAATCTTACAAAAACCCCGGAAAAACCCACAAAAACCCGCAAAAACCTGCAAAAACCCCATTAAGCATTAGGGTTTTTCCGGAGATTTGATACCCCAAAAACCCACAAAAACCCCAAAAACCCCAACCCACAAAAACCCGGGGTAGCGAACCCTGGGTACGGGTAGTTGTGCTGCGGGTAACGGGTCGGGTAACGGGTAGCATTTTCGCTACCCGCGGCAACCCTACTATCTACGTTTAATAATCTTTAAATCCAAATTTCTAAAAAGGCATCAATTTTTCAAGCTTTCTTTTGAAAAATGTTACTTTAACGAAAAATTAGTTTTTTAAGTACTAGAAAACCGTCGATATGAAAAAAGATTATTGAGATCACATGAATCAGCATTTGTTTAAATCGATAGTTTTTTAGATAGTGTAAAAAATTAAGTTTATATTAAAGAATCAATAATTACATTTAGCTGAACACTGGAATCATGAAATAGTTGAAACGTCATGAAATTTCATGAAATATGATTAAATTTATACCATTTTAGAAATTTGTATTTAAAAATAATCGGATAGGGGTAGAATAGTAGTGTTTTCCTATGTATGTAACTTGAATCAACGATTTAAATTTTACGCAGAGGGAATTAGCATATCAACTTTTGTTATATTTGCAAACATATCTCTTCTATCAATTTTTAGCAACCTTTACACGCATGGGGTTTCAACGATACAGTTCCTGTGTCTTTTTGGCATAAATGGCGGCGGGGGACAGATAAATCGCGTGGCACACGACTTTTATTTCCAGGGGGACTACGACATTCGGGGTTATCTTGATATGTACCCATTTGCAAGTTCATGCCTGCCGTCGGGAAACTTTAGTGGGACAGGTGTAGCTACTTTTGAGGTGCAAAACCTCATCTGGGTTGCCGCGACGACACATTACTTCAACATAAATACGGGTGAAGTAATACTTCGAAATTTGACAATGTATATATCATTCGACCGGGTTTATCTGGATTTGGGGCCAAATTTTCGCATTAATGGGAGTCCCGTGGATTGGGAGGCGTTCAATGCTAACTTACACTCTTGTTTTCACACCGAATTTAATCAGTACAAGGGAGAAATTGAGACAAAATTAATGTCCGCGATTAATGATCGTTTCGCACAGTTTAATCTGTACGAAATTATCGAATTCCTTTTTGAGGGGAGTTGTCCACGTTGCTATCCTATTTAAAATCTTGGAGGAACAATGTCATCCATCAATGAATGAAGGGAGGGGTATTAAACTCCCATTAATGCACCATTAGTTGGAGTAGTTAAGTATCTATTTATGTAATTGTTCATGACATTATGTAATCTATCACCTATGTACATAAATTTAAACATATTTTTAGAATAATATATATTCCGTGGTGGGTTGAACAATTCAAAATAATTAAAACCATTTATTTCTTGGCTACACAATTTAATACATATTTATACAATTCATAAATTACGCAAAAATCTCGATTTTCCAGACCCCACCTCAACCCTCCCCCTTTAATGTGTGTAAAATAGGCATGCACGATATCATTGGAGCCTTAGACCCCCGTCGCCCGCATACATGCATATGTAAGTGCTAGGCTTGGAGATGTGCAAGTTTCCGGTTTAACTTTCAGGTAATCTTTTTTTGCAAACTTGCAAACTTTAGATTTATATAATGAAATAGCGTTTTTTCGCCCTCTAATGATTTTCGAGTTTGATGGCTTGAAATTTCCATTTAAATATTTTTTTTCATAATAAACCATAATGCTCGTTATTGCTATGCTGGTACTACATAAATATACCATACCAATACGATATGTATGTTTATGTATGAAGCTTTAACGATCCTAGCTAGTCAATTTCTATTTATCGGGAATTATCAGGCCCATTTTGCTGCGATTCCATGTCAAAAACTTGGATTTTGGACATTGGCCCGCCTGGCCACCTGAAATCTTGTACCACCAATGCTCATCCGTAATGGGGTTTAGTCCCGTAGCTCGTCGCGGCTGAGGGCGACCCGCCTGGTCACCTGAACCTTGTACCACCAATGATAGTGGAATTTGACACCTTGGCCCTAACACCATCAGATTACCTACCACAGATAACCACCACCCACAGACAACCACCCACCCCCAGATAACCATCTTCCCTAGATAACCACCCACCCCCAGATAACCACCTTCCCTAGATAACCACCCACCCACAGATAACCACCCACCCCAGATAACCACCCACCCACAGATAACCACCCACCCCCAGATAACCACCCACCCCCAGATAACCACCACCCGCAGATAACCACGCACCCTCAGATAACCACCTTCCCCAGACAACCACCCACCCCCAGATAACCACCATCCCTAGATAACCACCCACCCTCAGATAACCACTACCCCCACATAAATAAGCCACAAAGAGTACCGCAGGTTCTGGCATTTAATTTTTTGAATTTAATTTATTTTGAATTTTCGCGCCATTTGAAACTTGGCTTTCTTTACTTTCACTTCCGTTACAGAACATTTACTTTCACTTCCGTTGCCAACAGACATTTCCAGCTTATAATGTAGATTTCTAAGAGTGAATGTTAAATATTCGCCCACCGTACTATTTGTCCATCTCGATATTAATTTCCCATCATAGCTTTGAACGACATGTTTTCTTGGGGGAATTGGGACCAAAAGGTCTTCAATATTGTAGTCACATTCAACTCAAATCCGCTGTCATACCGAAACACACCAAAATCGGATTATTTATACTTGATTACAAAATGTATCCCTTCTTCATACCACTTATTCTCTTGGCTCTAGAAATTAAGATCACTGTCGCCATAGACAAGTTTGACCTTCATTTCATCCTGGACAGCGGGGAAGAGGATATGTGGGAATCTAGACTACAAAACCTCTCACCCCTTTCGTACCGTCAAAGTGTTAGAATTATACGAAATTTGAATTTTCCCGCAAATAACACTGACTCAAACCACATTAAAAGTTCCCCTCGTTCAGAAATATTACTTATAGCAAAACCATCATTATATTCTGCCGAATTCAACACTTCTGTGAAGTCAAAACCCGAATATATCTTTGTCCTTCTGTCTCACTCATTGCACTTCGATCATAAACTTTCCGATGTAATCGGGACCTCCAAAATATTATTTTTCAGAGAAGATGGCGTTTTCATTCCGTGCTTCCCCTTCCACAGTTTTATATTTTTTAAGAGCCACATATTATTCTCCTTGGGTATGATTGACTCAATTTGGCACCGAAATAACGAGGTCGACATGCACGGAAATATTCTCGTTGCGGCTTTCACACTCCAAAGGACTGTACTTGTTAGCAAGACAACTTCTTGTGGCCCGAGCCTAAGTAAATTTCCCGTCACGGAGACTTCCCAATATTGTCTGAGTTATACGATAGGAAAGCAACTCAATTTCACTACAGTGTACAGGCAAAATTTAGACTATTCTGGGATTAACGTGATAAGCTCCATCATCAATTTCGATTTTGTTTTAGACAATAATTTCTTTGAGAATTATTACGTAGCGAGACAAAAAATGGTACTGATTCTAACCTTTCATAACTTTAGATTTTCCATAGTCACTCAATTTCCAACAGCGGAGAGTAGCTTTGGGAACGTTTTTACCCCATTTGACGTTTGGACGTGGGCCTTAATTTTTGCTTCTTGCGTTGTAATAACTATTATAGTTCAATTTAATCGCAATCTGCCTAAAAACAAGGCAGAATATGGTGCCATATTCCTCCGTGATTTAATAGCATTTACGTCAATTTTGCTCGGTCAGTATGGTACTGCTACAGAGGGTGTTTACAGATTTTGTGGAAAGACAATTTTATGGGTAAACTGCGAACCCTTTATCCGTTTTGGCGCCAAATTTCGAACACGCAATCCCCAAGATCACGGTCACACATGTACCAAGTTTCAAATTTCTATCTTCAAAAACGAGCGCAAAAAGTGACCTCAAAGTGGAGGAATCGGTGAAAGGGGTTTCCAAACAACAGACATTTTTTATCTCTTCCATTGAAAAAGCTTTGTTCCAAGCATCCAAACCCAAAAAATTCCATCGGACTGGTGTCAGGTTACTTAATATGTACCCCTGAAAAAGATTTTGAGGTCATTCCGGGGTTTTCCTTTAAATCTTGGCCGTACGGTTGGGTAATTTCGGCCGCATATGAAAATATCGCGTCGTAATGGATGCAAACTTTGTCAGGCTCCCCAAATTGCTTCTTTGCAATTTTGACCTCCAACAACTTATGTAAAACGCTGTCCATAAAGTACTTCGAGTTTATTTCTGCATTAGACCCAACAGGTGTCAATGTTCGCACTTCACGGTCCGTCATTGCACCTGCCACCAGGAATCAGTCAGACAACTTTTCCTTCTTTTCAGACCCATGCTTTGAAATCCGCTTTCGGTCCGTTTCGCAGCAAATTATTTTTGTCCTGTTATAGTTTTGAAGGTAGCCGAGTGCCCCGGTCAATGTGACGACAAATTCGGAATTTTTATTCCCAACATGACCTTCAAACAGCCTCCCACTGTTAGTTTTTTTTGTTTACCATATGGGCAAATTTAAGTGCGCGGACTTTCGCCCTCTTCTGCACGGCTTTTTTAAAATTGTGTCATAAAATACGAATAACGTGTCCAGGAGACATCTGGGATTGCATTGTGACCTGTCTTTTGGTTGCAGGATTCTGATTGCCATCGTGGCGATCAATGTTCTTCAGGGTGGCAGAATTCATCGTTTTGAGGGATATGCATTTCGTCGCATACGTTGGTCGGATGAAACTAGTTACTGGCGTTTTCTTGCAAAATTGATACAATTATATGTGGGGGACACGATAAGATGGGTTCCAAATTTCTGGATTATCGTTTAGGCACCTTTCGCGGCCCAATTAGCTTCGGAAACCGCTGTTACGGTTCGTCCACTTTGGGGTAACTTTTGGGGGCTATCTTTGAAGGTAGAAATTTGAAACTTTGGGCAGGTGTGGTCGTGACCTTCGAGATTGTGTGTGCCAAATTTGGTGCAAATTGGATTACGCGTTCAAAAGTAATACATGTAATTCTCTTTCCACAAAATCTGTAAACATCCTGTATTGTGAACTCGTTACAGAAACAGAGAAAAGCTGTTCCCATTCTTTTCGTGTGGTTTTTAGGGTGCTACGTTCTTATGCAAAATTTGTACCATGGATCTGTCACGTCCGATTTGACGGTTACACCTGCTCCCGTGGTTCCCAAAACTTTGGAAGATTTAGCGAAATCAAATCTCACAATAATCACGATGACCACAGGTATCCACCCGAACAGAACGTATGAACCCCTCGTACAAGCTCTACTACCACCGTTACTTAAATCTATTAGGGAATCTGCAAGCGGTGAAAAATTCGCCAGCTTTCTGTCCGCCTTTGTTCACCGCTTGATCCACGTTTCGGACATAACTTAACATTTAAACGAGATTGCGAGTAATATTTCCTACTCGGGAATCATCAATGCTGAGATTCCGACTCTCGCTTGCAATTGTGGAGTTGGACGTTGTCTTAATATTATTTACATCATCAATGAAAACACTTGGGAAGCGGTTAGTCCTCGACAGCCGGCATGATCTACCCTTCCAATTAAATTTCGTGGCACATAGCAGCCGCAATTACATTTCGGCAACAATATCTAAATGTATTGGGAGATTGACGGAATTGGGAATATTTGGGAGATGGAACGAACTCCAAATTATGAATCGGAAGCTGGGCTATATGAAGTATTTTGGACCAGAGTTGCGCCGAAAGTTATTTCTTCAATTGAGTTCTAGCTTTAAAGAAGGAAGCGTTCAACAAATCTCTAATGATAAAGAGAGCGCGTTTCCCGCGCTATTTTACTTTCTTGGTTTGTGTGCCACGATTATAGCGGCGGCGGTGGTAAGTTTGCTGATTGAATGCAAGTTTGTATTTAAGAGGATTCTAGAAACCGCCAGACTTTTCATGCGTCACCTTGGCAGTTATATAGATAGGCTACCTGGCACGGTGCATGGTGTACTATTTAGAAGTTGGATCCCTCCGAAAATCAGATCAATTCAACAAGACAAGAATATTATTTGTCCTGCGGATAAGGGCGATGCAACTGTTATCATGAATAAAGACGAACAACAATAACAAAATTATGGATATGCTCACTGACTCATCTTATGAAATGATTCGAAAGACCCCACCACCAAACTGAATTTTTAAGAACCGAGGTTTCCGCTCGAAAACTATTTGAAATTCGCACCTCTCGCTCAAATTAGCGTATTAGGGAGCGTCCATAAATCACGTGATCGATTTTTGGACAATTTTGACCCCCTCCCCCCCCTTGGTGACCAATGGTGATAAATCCATCACCCCCCCCCCCCGTGGTCACGTGACAGGTTACACATTAAACCTAACTTACTGTAAAACGCATGAAACCTATTTTTCGCCAAGTGTGATTTTTTGTGGCGGATTTTTTTCGCAAAAAGTTTTTTCGCTAATCTGACCTATTTCCGACATGACAATTAACCCATATCACAAATTAATCCAATAATAATATTCCTGTGTTTTTTTTAAATCCAGTTAAATTAAATTTTAAAATTATCCAAAGAATTATTTAATACTAATGAGTAAGTATACAAAGTAATTTGACATTCATGACATCTTAAGGACAACTGCATACACTTTATTTCTGAAAGAATAATGAGAGTTCTATTAATGTTTACTGAAATTTGGAAGAGTGGTACATATATTCAAACCAGACAAAAGATTGTCAAGTAAAAATTTAAAAATACGCCGCATAACGAATTTTAGATAAAAGAGGTTCACTATTCAGTAAATACATATTATTAAATTTATTTAAGGCGCGTGATAGTATGCGAAGAGACTTTATTGTTACTCTCTTCACATTTACTGACCTCAGAAATTAAAAGAAAAAGTTTTCGTGGCATGTCACGTGACTGCCGACCATTACCCCCCCCCTTGGTGATAATTGGTGACAAATTTCAGACCCCTCCCCCCCTTTTGATCGATCACGTGATTTATGGACACTCCCTTAGGAAGAATGGAAAAATGCGGGAATGCTTATTTTTTGTGGCGAACAAAATAAAATTGGTCCCATTGAGATCTGAGTTTTACACGTAAAAGATTTACATTGTAAGTAAAACTATTCCGTGTTCTTCCTACTGCATCTGGCCATTAGTAATAATAGAACAAGTTCTAGATATTGCCCTTTGTGTAGCAGCAATAAATGTATAAACGAGACCAAAGAATATTTAAGGAAAGATGCTTTACAAAATAAAGCTCTCGCTACGTATCCAGCTCTCTCCCCACCGTGTATTTCGTCTAACTTTTATAACTTATTTTATCGGTTGATACATACATAAGATGGAAGACTTATGTAATAAAACGCTTTCAGCAATATAAATTTATTACATAACGTAGTGCTGAGCTTGATATGCATTATTTTTATATGTCATCGTCAAGATAGTATTAGAATTATGTAGGTTGTACCCTAGTAAAATGCATACATAAACTAAACCTTTCACTTGGATAGAAGGATACCATTTTCAGTATCGGGTGAATACGAGTACCTAAATGGCATGTAATCCTAGCAACCACAAGAATATACAATGTAATTTATGAATAAGGATAAAATTGTATGAGTTGCTAAATTTTAATGCGTGCTTGTTACCTACATATATGTATGTATCTTGGTATAAAACACGTATATTGTTGTTAGCAATTTGATTAGTTGCTCCAATTTTGCAGGTAATAAACATTTGGATATAAATAGTCCCCCACACCACATTTGTAAAAGAATTGTCAACACAGAAACATGATGTGCAACATTTCGTGATTTTCTCAATAGTAATCTTTAATTAAAGCACTGTTCAGTTCATACTTCCATTCACCTCTCGTCCTAAAGAACTGAGTTTTGAAACTGAGTTTGAACTACGTTCAGCAATGAATTTGACAACATTTGTAACTGCTTCGATTGCACTTACAATCCAGAAATATGCGGATAAGTATCGAGAGAAGGATTTAAATTTGACGTTACAAGAATTGGAAGAGGACATGAGTCTTCCAAATATTAAAAGTTTCGATTTTATAGTTGGTACGTATGTACATGCATACATTTGTTCGGACAATGATTTAGTATATGTTTCTTGGTTTCTTCATATCTTGTGTAGTGGGTGGTGGTGCAGCGGGATGTCTGTTGGCGGGACGGTTATCAGAACATTTTACCGTCCTTCTTCTCGGTAAGTCACGGAATATAGATTCCACCAAAAGAATCGATCTTATGTATTCGTGTGCCTCTTATGGGGAAACGGTGAGAGTCAATGCAATGAACAACTTCTATGTACATTTGCCCCACCAAGGAGGTGGTGTCTCGGCATCATCATCATCGCCACATTCCTGGCATCAAACATGACGTTTGAATCACATAGATGGCGGCTGCACCCCTATTTGACACCATCGTAGAGCATACTCTCTCCAATTTCTGAGTCGCGTCTCCCAAATTGGATGCTCTGCGATGGTGTCAAATAGGGGCCATCTATGTGATTCAAACGTCATTTTTGATGCCAGAATATGTGGCGATGATGATGATGCATTTGGTCCACCTCCGGAGGTGCGCCAAATGTACATAGAAGTTGTTAATTGGCTCGCCCATTCCTCCATAAGCGGCACACGAATACATAAGATCGATTCTTCTGGTGGAATCTATATTCTGTGTCGGTAAGTAGCGTGACCGTGGCAACTATCGGCGGATTTGATGACATCAAATTTTAATTTTAACCTTGCCTGCAGAATCCGGAGGTGACCCAGTTCCAGCCACGTACAACCCTTTTCACAACCGAGATGTGGCTTCCCATCCAGCAATCAATTACCTCTATCCATCCATAAGGCAAGCAAATTTTGCTCAAGAAAGTGGTGGGGTAAGTAGTATGTGTCGTATGAAGTAATGGTCAACTTGGTTGAATATGTAAAACTCGTGATTTTGTGCAAATAGGTTGTAATCAGCGACACGGGTCGAATGCTGGGAGGTACTTGGTCACACAATTCCTTCGTCTACAATAGGGGCTCACCCCATGACTACGATCATTTTGCCAACTTAACCGGGGATGGTTCTTGGTCTTATCGGAAATTGCTGCAGCATTTCAAAACTATTGAAAATTTCCATGGCCGACTTTTGAATGAAGGGCAAAGAAACAGTGAGTTTGATGCTTAATTCTATAATTTTTAAATTTTTATAGCTCAGTGAACAATTATCCAACATTTCTAGAATATTACAGCAATACTGGACCACTTCACGTAGAAACTGACTGGTTTCCATTGGTGGATGCCTGGCTCCGTTCCGGGGAAGAAGTCGGGTTTAACATTGGCGACCCTAATGGACACCAGCGAGAAGGTTTAACCACTGCAGATTTATAATAAAAACTAATTTACATGTTACATGGTATTTTTGATATCCACAAGGTTTTTCCCCACAAGTAAAGTCTATAAAAAATGGTGAAAGAGTTAGTACCTACACCACATTTGTAAAACCTATCGAATCAACAAGAAATTCCAAGCTGAAACTGCTACGATACTCAGATGTCCAAACAGTAAGAAGTTTTACAATTATTCTTTGGAAATTTGAGGAAATCTTTCGAGTGATCTGTTTGCTTTTCAATAAAATACAGATTCTCATCGACTCCAACAATCGCGCCTATGGGGTAACCTACTTACGGCACGGGATTCCCCAAATTGCCCACGCTGCAAAGGAAGTACTCATTTGTGCAGGCACCTTTTCTTCCCCGCTACTCCTCCATCGATCAGGAATCGGACCAAAGGAAGTCTTAACCAAGGCAGGAATTCCCATCAAAAAGGATTTACCCGGAGTTGGACAAAATTTCCGGAATCACCCCGAATTATCCCTCGTTTTCAATATTGGCCAACCAGACTGGAAGCTGTTTAGCCGATTGGAAGAATCCCAAGTGGAGAAGGAACTCAACCTTTATCAAGGAAAGGAACGCGGAGGATTTTTCACCGAGATGGATTTCTCCCCACAAGCATTCATCGTTTCCCGGGTTGCAAAATCTAGGGGTGAATCCACCTGGTCGGATATCCGATTGATGCTGAATCGACATCCGTCCTTGGATGGTGCCACCAGCTGGACCAGCAGTCTTGGGATTTCGCTGACAAGAGGGCAATCAGCTGGGGAAATTGGTTTCAATACGACGGCGTTTTTAGCGGGTGAGGTAGACGATGTGAAACTGGCGCTCGTTGACCACCGGCAATTTACCGTGAAGGACGATGTGGACGTGATGATTGAGGGAATCAAACTTGGGCTTCGGGTTATGGAAGAAACTTCGACTGTCCGTGGGATGAATATGAGTTGGAGATACGATCCTCCGGCAGCATGCGGAAATTTAGTGCCTCGCTCTGATGCATATTGGCGGTGTGCAATAACAGAAAGGGCCCATCTGGCGCACCATTTCGCGGGAACATGTAAAATGGGCAGAGATTCGGATCCACTTGCTGTTGTGGATGCTAAACTGAGGTGAGGCACAAGATTCAGATAAACCCTAGAAAGAACGTAATGATGGAATAATTCTTGTTTTTTATAGGGTTAGAGGAATTCAAAATTTACGAGTTGTTGATGCGAGCATAATGCCTCGCCCCAACAATGCAAACACAGCCGCACCAGTCATGGTAATTTCGGAAAAAACGGTTCAAGAGTTACGCACAATGTATCTGGTCCGAGGAGATGAAACTACCCTAGCTTAGCGTGTTATAGACAACTCTTTGCGGCTAAATTTTCAAAAAATGTGAGAATTTTTCATAAATAAAAATGCCATCAGTTATTTATTATGAAGGAAATCAGAAGATTTCCTCTGCAATTGAGTATTTCCTTCCATTAATCGAGGCTATGAATATTCGAATATTTCGAACCCCTAACATACCTTAAACCAAATCACCATGAGCTCTTTATGTATGTAAGTAGGTACATCGGTATGTAAATAAATATATAACCTGTTATAAGGGAGGATGGAGGGTTAAAAAATCGCCAATGTTGCATTACGTATTTTATGAATTAACGTTACCTTTTACAGAGGAATAAATATGAAATTACGTAATTTATTTATGTAGCCATTTCGAGAAACAGTTTCCTTATTATGGACGAATCGATGAATTAAATCAAATTGAGAACATGAGATAAATCAAACTCACGATCAGAAAAAGTAACAACTTATACCAATTTGAAAATAATTGTATCCTCCAAATATCCTCTAATTGTATCCTCTAAATTTTAAACCTTCCTAAACACTTAACATTGTTATTAATAAATACTACAAATATATTTGGATGCATTTAAATTGGTTCATGTACAATTCAATCTACAATCCTAAGCAAACAGACATATCTACATCTCCAGTGTAATAATTATGTACACATTTCAATGTGTATTAAATAAATCAATAATACAAATTTCAAAAAAGTTTTTAAATAGTTTGTGAAATCTACCAAGCCTATTCTATATCGTCTCCTACTCCTGGAAGAAACTCGTCCTTTTTCTTCCTTGGTAACCTATCCTTACACTTCTTTTCCATCACGATGCCGTGATGTCCCTTCAAATGGAGGTACAGCGACGTCCTCTTAGCAAAGGCCTTATCACACCCGGACTGGTCGCAGGTGAAGGGCCGCTCTTCCGTGTGAACTTGGCGGATGTGGGCTTGCAGGAAATGATTGAACTCGTAGCCCTTAGCACAATGGGGACACGGGTATCGGATTGGAGGGACGTAGCCCGGCGTGTGGATTCGCTTGATGTGCGTACTTCTATGTTTGCTTTGTTTGAAGGCTTGCTCGCAGTGGGGGCAGGGGAAGGGTCGCTTGCCCGTGTGCGTCCTCATGTGCGCGGTTAGCAGTTGTTTCCAGACAAAAGCAGCGTTGCAAACCTAAATACATATTTTAGATTGGATTAGATTGGAAGAGAAGTTAGAAATTCATGCACTCTAAATAATTTGGAGACAAATCAGTGTGGTACTCTATTTCTTGGGGTAATGATTTTTTGTCAGGCGTTTTGTCACCAACGGAAAATAAGTCAAAATTTCATGTGCCAAACAGACGTGACGTGACGTGACTCAGAATGCAGTATTTTCGTGTAAAAAAAATCTGTCTAATAATAAATGTTAACTTTTTTAATCATGACGTCATGGGTGTTTGGTTCATCAATTTTTTTTACTTATTTTCCATTGGTGCCAAAACGTGTCTGCAATCGTTGCCCAAAAATAGAGCACAATATGCGTAATATCTCCGAGGGTTACGATTTGTCTCCAAGTTGTGTAGAGTGGAGGGGGGGTCTTATTTAAATACTTACGTGACATTTGTGCGGTTTTTCTCCAGTGTGGATCTTCTTATGTTGGCTTAGTAAATTAAGCCTGGTAAACTTTGCACCGCTAAATATTTGAAAATTGTCAATTTTTAAATTTTATTTTAATAGCTTAATTGACAATTGAGGAACTGGTATTCTGTAGTTACCAATCTTCGCAAACAAAGGGGTCAGCACCATGCTCCTTGACGAGGTGCGCCTTGAAACTGTAGCGATCTATAAATTTTTCTCCGCAGATTTCACAGACAGGTTTCTTGGAATCGTCATGTCTTGTTAAGTGTCGCTTCAGATCGTCCACGAGACGGAAGCCGAGCCCACAAATGTCGCAAACGTGGTCTCTCGTGCAATCATGGACGCGAGCGACGTGTCGACGAAGGCTGAGCTGGTCGATGAAGGATTCTTCACATTGGTCACATCTCTCAGGTTTTTCTCCAGTGTGGCGGAGGCGTATGTGTCTGAAGGAGATTATTTAATTTTATGAGAAAAAAATATAACCAGGTCGAGCCAAACCCAGGAAAAACGGAGAAAGCACTAATAATGGAGGTCTCCCAGCGTATGTTCCCAGATTTTTAGGAAATTAGTTTCATTTGATCGCAAATTTAATTAATACGAAATTGCAAATGGCACGATCCCTCAAAGCTCGAGTTTGGTAGTTTGGTAGAAATATTTGCATCCGATTAGGAGAATATGCCCAGTAGATTCAGAGACCTCCATTGTAAGCATATGGATTTTATCTGCCCCACAAATCTCACGTTTCTCCATGAATTTTGACAACATTTTTTATTTACCTCTCCAGCCCCTGCCTAGTATGACAAGGTAACCCACACTGGTCACACTTGAAATTATTGTGCGTCTCTACGTGGCGCTGGAGCCGCTCGTCATTCTCAAATCTTGAGTCACACACATGGCAAACTAAGGGCTTGATATCCTCTACTTCATGCAGTTTCAGGTGGCGGTCTAGATTTTCGACAAGCACGAAACTCTTTCCGCATTTGACGCATGGAAATTTCTTTTCCCCGACTTCATGACGGATGACCATGTGCGTGGCGAGGGAGTTTTCGCGAGGGAACTTATTCTTGCAGAGGGTGCACTGGAAGGGAGCGACTCCTGGGTGGGCCCGCTTCAAGTGTGCCCGCAAAGATTGCTTGCTGCGAAATGAGGAAGAACATGTCGGGACAGAACAAGGGATAGAATGGTCACGTGCGAGTGCGATGTGGGAGCTTAGCGCGGAGTCAGAAGGGAACGATTTTCCACAAGTGGTGCACTTATAGGGACAGATTTTTACTGAGGGTTGATTTTTCCCTTTATTTTGGGAAGAGATAATTTTGGGGGTATACAAATCGTTGTCACCAGGTTCAGATTTTGTATCTTCGTCACCCGATGATGATTCCGCTTTGTAGGTAGTGGATACCTTGCTTAGATTTAGCCTTTTCAAAGAAACTTTGAGAATTTTTTTGGTATGTTTTGAAGAAGGAAGAATTGGCTTTCTAATTCGAGGAGAGTAGCGTGTTTCGGATCGAGTATTTTCTTCTTTTATTGTTTGCTTTCGGGGTGGTGCAGGTTTTACTGGTTCTTCGTCAATTTGGGGAGGGGAATCGTCGCCTCTTTTTCGTTTAATTCTAGAAATAAATAAAGCAGTAGTAGTAAGTAGTGAATCGCTGATAATGAGGCAATTTACGCAGTAACTTGGAAACATTTACAGGCTAAATTTCCTTAAAAATGTGTAAAAGTTCGTAAGTTTGCAGAATTTACGAATTCGTACCGTGGTGCTTTAGTAGATTTACGGGGTCGTCCTCTCCCCCTCTTTTGGGTATCAGGAATGATGCAAAAGGCGGAATCGGGGTCTTCCTCGACCTCATTTTTTATAGGGTCCATCTCTCCCTCGTCGTTACCAATTTCCACATTTGCTGTTGGCGAAAAGGAATTATAATGGTTAAAGAATTGGTCATCCGCATTTCCGGGGGGACCAATGTCCTGTTCAAGTTTGACTTGTATGTCAGCCAGCACAACGTTGTCATCCGTATTATCTTCTGATTCTAAATTGAAAACAAATTTACACGGTTAAATATAATTTAAAAAACAATAAAGCACGCTGGTTTTTGTAACATTGTAAATTCGTAAATTCCGTAAGCTTACAAACTTTGCTAGTATTTCACAAGGAAAATTAGCTTACAAATTTTTGTAAACTTATTTAAGTGGATCGACGAAAGCGTCTTTTTATTTTGTAAAAGTTTGCAAAATTATTTTACAAAGTTACCAATATCTGCGTAAGTATTGCACTCAACCCGTAATTCGAAGTATAATTCTTCTCAATTTTCTAATTTTGTTTCCTCCATCGTCCCCATTTTCTGAAGATTGTAGAATCACTTGGCGTATTTTCGTAATTTTACGCTCAATTTGCTCCTCCAAGAGGGACATTTGTAACCGGATTTGCTCCATCTCGCTTATCACGGGGGCACAAACTGGACAAAATTCACAGCAGAAGTTCTTATCCTGGTCAAATTGTGGAGTAACTTTCCTCCGAGCATCGGTTGACGACGATAAGAGCAGTTGGGACAGGGTCGAGATTCTCGTTTCCTTAGCGAAATCTTGGATAGCGGGGTCGATGACCTGACAGCAGAGGAAGCACACTCGGCTGGACATGATTATTCTAAAATGTATTTAAAAGTTTAATTATTTTATCGTTTTTTTATTAAATTAAATTATTTATATTCTAAATATTGAATATTTTCTTTAAAAAAGTAACATTTTCTTACCTTTTGCCTTTTATAATTGCAGATAAGTAATAGGGTAGGCAATATTAGATCAGCTGACCTCGCCTAATTTATCTAATTGAAATACACAGAAATTGTAACAATTAAATACCAATTACGTGAATTAAAGTTTGCAATATTTTTGCAAAATGTTTTGTTTTGCATTTTGAATAGATGAAATTAAATTCGTGCCAACGAAAAAATGAGACAACGTGAGACATGAGAAACAAAGAGAAATGCATGCATTTCTTCATGAAAATAATTTTTTGCATGTGTTTGCATAAATTTTCCCAAACTATATATATGTACGTACAAATGAAAATGTGAGGTGGTTGGGTGTGGCAAACTGTTCGTGATTTCGACAGGCGAAAAAATAAAGCTTGCAAACGTCGCGAAAATTCGTGGAATGCCAAAAGTTAGTGCAGCATTAGAAGTAGAAACTTAAGTCAGTTTCGAATTAAAATGATTGAACAATATTTCTGGCCATGATTTTCTGGCGGATTTGTTCCGCAATAAATCGGTACCTCATCGATTTACATCACGAATAAAAATCCATCAAATTATTTTGAACCACTCAGGATCCTTTATTTTTTTAACATGCGACACAAAAGGCATCTTTTGCTTTTACATATTGTAGTAAACCATTTGTCCCAAACTTGCGGTCAAGTGAATTTTAATTTCTTCTCAGAAATTTCATGAAAATTTAAAAAAAATCTGTCAATATGTAGGTTATATGTAAATACATGTCACCTAGTTTGCCAAATTAGCATTTCTTTTCTAGCCCGAACCTGCTAATTTGGTTTTAAAGTTATCACTGCATCCTGACTACATTTTCAAGTGGTACAAATCGTCGTAAGAGTCGAGCCTTCAAAAAGTGCACTTCTTCTCATCATTAAGTACAACACTTAAACTTTTTTTTTTTTAAAATATGATTTATTTATGTTACGTCTCACTTGTGCAATTAATTCTAACTTGGAAAATGAACCAGTGATTTACACCTATTTTTCCACAATACGGGTACCCGAGTTAAAAATTTTCACATCATAAAGCAAAAAATTCAAGATTTCCCTTAGAATTTACGTCATCTTTCGTCACAGAAATCAAGTCACGCTAGCCGAGGATTTTGCCTAGTGATGTTCATGCATACAAATACAAATATGTATACGTTATGCATATGTACTATGTGCATGCAAATATGTAGATACATACATATGTACATACATACATAGGTACATATGTAACTATGCACTTAAAAAACGTTTCCATTGAAGTGCAGGAAAGTCCATGCAATTAATTCGCGCTGGTTTGAACTTATGCAACTACCGACCCATGCATCGCACTCACAGAGTCCATTTACTTAATTTTATCATCTCATCTTCTCTCTGGAGTACGTTTCGCTCTCCTCAAATCGTTTCTGACGTGACATACGAGCGGCGTTTTTGTTGATATTTTCAGCAACTATGTCTGTATGTATAATTGTCCCACCTCAAAACCGATCTTACTTATCAACTTCATTAATTTGTACATAAGTGATGACGGAAATTTGAGATTATGCTGTTATGTAACAAGAGATGATGTAATGGTTACATTTACAATTATAGTTGTGACGATTATTAATATGCATATGCACTTATCCATAGTTTAATACCAATTTTTTTACCTCATCTTTCTCTCTCCCCACCCACCTTTGTCCCCATTTGTCGTTTACATCCATGCATATGTCCTCTGGCAAGTTCATTATACGTTCCCAGCAACCTGTGTGCATGATCAAGGACATGATGGTTCTTTTTTACTAGAAATTCGAGTGATACAAAAAATCCAGTCATGTTTATTTACACGCTCATAATTGTTTGTTATCAGCTATACTAACTTACATAATGTAATTATGTAATTGTATTTCTATACAATTATTGCAATGACTTGACTAATTTACTATATAAGTACTTGATCAATATGATTAAATTTGTTTGTCCTTCGTCTTGTAACTTACGTAATAGATAAAATCGTAGATAGCAGTATCACATTTAAGTAAGGATAACTGATCCGTTCGTACATGCTTAGTTTCCAGTCTGCTCTGACATATCAGCTAGTCGAGTAGAAGAATCCAGTCCAAATTAAAAATGACTTCAACTGTTCGTAAGATCGTTAGCAGTGCAAAATTGCCAAAGAACACTTATCCTTACAGGCAAGTACATATACAGAGGGGTGGGACAGAAGAAGGAGCCACTTTGCCTAAATTTATTCCGGCCTTATTATTCGTTTGTGAAGTTTGGTAATTGGTTCAGTGTGAAGCCCTTTAGTTTATCTAACGAGCCTCAGTCGCTTTTTCCAACCAGTCATGACCTTTGACACAATTTTCAGAGTGATTCTGCACCACTCGTCCTGAACACTTTTCCAAAGTGCATCAAAACGCACGCGTTTTCCTTTCAAGAAGGCTCTGTTTTAAGTACTCGAATCCAAAAAAAACATCGGATTGATATCAGAGAGTTTCTATAGTAGGAATAATTGTTATACCCAAACTTTTTTTAAAATCCTTCGTGTAGGCTGATATTTTGTGAGAAATAAGTTGGGATGAGAGCATGATCTCGGGATTTCCTACGAGTCACTTGCTGTAGGTCATTGTGAATGACTCTAGAAATGTTCTCCTACTAACGTTTAACATTTTCGCCATGCAACTTTTAGTTGGTGGATTTACCGTTTTGGCGAAAAATTGATTTTCCGGATAAACTTTTTGGTTCAAGCGGATCTTGGGTATCCTTTCCGTGGGGGTGGAGCTCTAACCGCTTTTTCCCTCCGCTTGATTCCAACGTTTTTAAGTACATTAGAAACGTACTTTCCATCGACGATAAATCCATTTGCAGCAAATTTTCTAACAATCGCTCTCTGGCTCAGTATGTCTTTGGAAAACACTTTTATGCGTGCCTCGCACTCTGGGGGGTGCTGCAGGGGCATTTTTAACCGTAGGGAAAATCTGAATAGTGCTAAATTTTCGTTAACTATCTGGGTATGACATATGCAAATTTTGAAAATGCCGCGACTGTGCATCACACGCCACCCCTAAAATTCAAGTGGCTCCTTCTTCTGTCCCACCCCTGTATTAATCATAGTCACACATATTTAACGTAGGACTTATCGTAAAAATCAGAACATTTTTAAAATCATTTCTCGGCTCTGCAAATTTACTTTAAAAATTCTGGGAAACAAACTCGTAGAGCAGGTTGTTGCAAATTGAAAAAAATATATACATCCATGTTTTTACGTGTATGTATACACTAAATTTTGACCGTTTTGATGGAGGAACTTTAAAGTTAAAGAAATCTTCTTCAGAAAAATTGGAACTCATCGAAATTGGCTTATAAACGAAGCGCTATTCCATTAACCAACTTACTGGTTGTAAATTTGTTGTCCAGATTCTGGACTCCAGAATTTTAAAATTTCCCAAGCCGAGAATTTATTTAAAATGTATCGATTTTGACAATTTATGTAGTTAATGAATAATCGAGTAGTACGTTAAGAATGCTCTCCGTAAAACAATTGTCTTCGGTTTGTATTTATCTAACTAAACATTTTTGGATTTTCTCCTCAGTCAAGGAGTGCTGGTCGACAAAACGTTGTACATTGCTGGGCAGATTGGGTGGGATTGCAATGCAAAGGTCACCGAGGGCGTTGGAGCTCAGACGAAGCTAGCCTTAGAAAATATGGGGCATGTCCTCGCTGCTGTGGGAGCCACGCATAAAAATGGTATTTAAAATTATTAAGTATCACCAATGTCTATTTCCAACAATGGGGACGCACACCATCCTCGACCCAGATTATTTTTTGCCCAGTTCAGTGTAACCCTGTAGAAAAAAGGAGGTAGCGCGACATTTGCATATATGCGCTAAATTCAGAGCATTATGGGTACCGTAAGTTCGGGAAAACGCTTGGTCTTCGGGAGCAGCAGCTTATTGTTAGTCGTTTCTCACACCGATTTCTCGTGAAAACCGAGGGCTTTCGCGAACTTAGGGCGCCCATGGAGCTCTGAATTTTTCGCATTTATGCGTTTAAGTTCCGCACTAAAAGTTGCTTTTGAATGGTTGGTCTATCAAACTGAAGTGGTCAAAAAATAATCTGGGTTGAACATGGTTTGCACCCCCATTGTGAGTGTCAGACAAATGCAGTAAGATTATGTATACATACATATGTATGTCTTTATGAATTTCCAGTCGTGAAGGTTACCGTGCTATTAAAGGACATTAATGATTTTGACGAGATGAATGAAGTATACGCTACGTGTAAGAAAAACAAAGTTTTTGGCTTCTCATATGCAGTTATATGATGAGTTTTGTTCCATGTATTTTAGTCTTCACGCAAAATTATCCGGCCCGAGCTGCTTATGCAGTGGCAGATTTGCCAGTCGTATGTTTTCCATAAATACATATATGCACGCTTAGAAATCCAGTTGCCAAGTGGTATTCATATAAATAAGTACTTATGGCTATACCAAAGTGGTATTGGTAAGTAATATGATGTAGTAATAGCTCGGTATTAAAGTTTTACCATATCGGTAGTAAATTTTTACACACCGGTATAATTTTAACACGAAGTGGTAGCAATGTTAATTCCGAGAAATCAGTAACTGCGCGACTACATATACGAGATTTCTAAGAGTGCATATGCATAATATATGCATGTTGTAAATGTCCGTATAAAATCTAAAGTTTTATCTTATTTTAGGGAGCACTGATTGAAATCGAAGCTGTTGCCATTCTCGGTGACATTGTGGACTGCAAGTTGTAAATTTTATGGGTGCAGGAAGTGATAAATTCTTCTCAAAATAGTGGAAAAACCGTTAATTGAATTTTTTAAAATGCATTAGATACAATAAAATTTGTTGCTCCTATGAATTCAAACCTTGCAAATTATTTCATATGTCTAAAGACTAATACGTTGGTAGCTCGGTATTAAAATTTTGCCATATCGTTAGCAAATTTTTCCGGCCCGCTGTTGTTTTAATGCCAGATTTAATTATTACATATGTATCAAGGACATAATACTTTTTTTACTAGAAGCAATTCGATTGATCAAAGAAAATCCAGGCATTACGTAAATATTTATGTGCATATGTATTTATAAGCATATATTTACATACATACCTATGTACATAAAGTGTACGTCTTCATACCTTGATTAATTTAATTTTGGCTGTAATTTATTATTTAATCACACCCATGCATACCATAAAATTAAATTGTTGTCTTATAAATTTCATGGTAAAATTGTTAAACACCTTTCCATTATATAGAGTTTTACGTATTATTGAATTCTCCTCAATACCCACTGATGCTTGGCAACTTTGTGCCTCACGACGACAGAGAGGGATCAAAGCGAAAACTAGTCTGTGGGCACAGAATTAGAGGAGTAATACTATAGTATCCGTGGAGTATTACTATAGTATCCGTATATATGCAAGGCATACAATTAACACGCCCAATAAAATAGTAAACACTGCCCAGTAAAGTGGTAAAAACCAATAATAGTAACTATTGCCCAGATAAATAGTTTTATGAACCCAGTATAAAAGTAAAAAGGTCCAATAATGTCGTAATGCATAAAAACGATACAAAATGGAGAATTATAAACATAAATCAAATATTTATTTCCTCCACCTTATTCGATGATAAATTTTTACATAGGAATTAATGCCTTCTTGGCTTTGGAATTGCATCCAGGGCCAAACAATTTGTGTACAATAGCAATGCCATTATGTGTTTACATAAATACATTTTTAAGAATGCAGGGCTCGAGCGTGAAGATTTAATTCACTGATGAGTATTAAATTTCACTAACCATAGCCTGCCTAAACAACTCTTGTATGTGTCAAAAGTCTTTCAACTTCGTCGTTCTCTTAATCGTAAATATCTATTGATATCGTCCTCCTTAAGTTTTGGTTGATTTGCTGCTGAAATGAACTATGTGGTAACATTGTCATCATAGGTACGATATTTGATATCGGGTTTGTTTTGAACCGAGTTAAAAGCAGATGTCTGCAATGCGAGGGACACAGATGGTTCTTAATGAAATGATTTTGAGTTAGGTAATCCTGGTATTCGCTCTTTCGACCGTCTTTGTCCTTGATAGTAGAACGTCGGGCATCGATATTTTTGCACAAGTGGAACCAGCAGTAAATACGGGTAATGTCCGAACCGAACGCTTCTTTAAATCCATTTGTGATGGATTCTGACGCGTCGGCTATTAGAATACTAGGCTTGTATTCCTCGGTGGTACCTTTCTTTAAACTTTCAAATATAAATTTGAAGTCGTCTGAAGTTTGGGAGGCCATGGCAAAAAACTGACAAGAACTATGAACAACGAGAGGGTGACTGACTGCAATAATTTATCTGTTTAGATGGCTAAGTTTCAAGCTCTGAGTAAAAGATACCTACCACTATGTATTTGCATATCACGCTTAATATTGTGTTAATAAGGTAATTTGGCGAACAACATTATTGGACCTTTTTACTTTAATATTGGGTTCATAAAACTATTTATCTGGGCAACAGTTACTATTATTGGTTTTTACCACTTTACTGGGTATTTTTTACTATTTTACTGGGCCGATTAATAATATTCCTATATGCAAAAAATTGCTATATTTAATTTAGAAAATAATTGATAGACTTTACTTTCCTATACAACTCTACAGTCAACAGTAGTAACATATATGTTGAACAATTTTATTATGTAATTTATATTACGCAAATATATATTTATATTATGCATATTATGCAAATTAAAGTAATCGTATTCATGTGGGTGATTACTTTTTGTTAAGTTATTAAGTTAATAAGTTGTTAAATCGTAAGTTCGTTATTAGGTAGCACATTTCGTACCTATGTCCCCCCAGGAGCGGGTGCTGGAGTTGTAGCGGCTGCTCGTGGCTGACAAGTTTGTGTCGCTTCGTTAAACTCGTTCTCGTCTTTGGTTAAGTTTAACGGGTCAATGTCCAAGGGACAGGTGTAAAACGTCCGGGTGAATCTGCCCAAGGACGGGTAGTACGAACAGAGGACGTAGTCGCAGAATGTTTGAGTTGCGCTAGTCGAAGTCCCTGGACAGTAGACCGGAATATCTGCCGTGTTGATTTTGAAGTAGCCATCACGCACGCAGTTGTAAGCTTGTGTGGCGCCGAGGACGTGGCGGGGCGTGATGACCACGGCGACGAGGAAGACGCAAACCTGGATGGGAATAAATAAATAAAATATGTGCATATCTATAGAATATTTTTTATGAAGTTGGGATATGGAATTGATAATTCTTACAAAATTTTGAATACAATATTTGAATACAATACAAAATTTTGAAACTTACGACTTTTATGAACATTTTGGAAAAGTCAAGTTCAAGGGAATAATGCTCTGCCAAAGTGTGAGGATGATTGTACCTTGACCGTGACTTTGAAGGTTGCTTAAATACAAATAATTATATGGTTTAATTACGCACTTATCTGATTTTCTGGCTTAATAATACATATTTGCATATCCTGTAAACGGACTATTACTTCATCAGATATAAAATTTCACTTTTGTGCATACCGGTGTCGGTATTTTAATATTTAACGTTTACGAGTTCATGAGCTGTATGTAAATACATAGTTAAATTGTACTTATGTGCATACGAGGGTTGCATATATGTAGCAAGTGCAATGATGGGATTTAGCGAAGGTCATGATTTCGGCTTTAAACGGTTTGTATAACCCCTTAATATAATTACTATTCGTTTGGCGGTTATAGTTCTGTAATCCCCACTGTCAGCCTTAATCTCCAAAAGAGGCGATTAAGGCTTAAATTTATTAGACGTGTCATAAATATTAACGTTCGTGTAGAAATAAATGGAATAGTGAATAAATAAATATGCTTAATATTTCTCGGAAATATTTACACTTCGGTTAAACAGATTTTGTAATCAGTGCGCAACAAGTGCGTCACAATATTGCGGTTTGCACCTCGTGGTACAAAACCTGTAGGTAAGAATTATAATTTAATGGTTACCCAATTTGACAATTAGGTACATACATGTTTATGCAAATGACTGGACAAATTTGCATACGCATTATATTGAAGGTGCTAGATAATATTGCAAATACTCGGTAAAAGTAGTTTGATGTCTATAAATCGTGATTATAATTTCTGTAAGTACATATATGTAAATTGCAACTGCATTCAATTTACCATGTATTTAAAATTGTTGATATCAATGACGCTGCATTCACACACACTCGCATAGCCTTGTGAAACATAAAGGTGATAAAGAGTTAAGTCTTAAACATGTTCAGATACATACATTTTGAGTTTGCTTGAATAATTTCATTGTACATACTACTAAAATTGAGCTTATGTATTTATTTATATATGTATTTATTTTGTCGGTGCTTTAACATTTACATTTTATGATACATATTTACATGGTTAATTACATATGTATTTACATACACATACATACATACAGCGTCCAACATAGATATTTCTCCGCCTCAGAAAATAATGGTTTCATTTCATGAGCTTACAGAAACATGGAGACAGAAATTTATATTCGAGCTGCTATATTTTTGAAAGTGTGTACATACAGTATGTCACTTTATTGTAGATGCAAGGCATGTATGCATTATATAAATCACAAATACTCCACAACGGGTTAATATTTCAAATTCGTTTTTAGACCAATTATTAGCAATATTTCATACTACATTTGTGCAAAATTTCAAATGAATTGGGCTAAAACTGGTGAAGTTATAGATACTTAAATGTCAAAAAGTTGCAAATTGCATGCCACAAAATTGTGGATGCAGCTGAGTTTGATAACGATAATGACCCAGTCTTTCAGTCTACATAGAAATTTTGTTGGGGAATGTTTATTTTGGGTAAGAACAGTTGTTTATATTGTCAATAGAAAATATTTAGTAGAAATTTTATTCCAAAATCGTACATGACAACGAGGTCAATCTAGGATTTCTGGTGGAAAATGTCGTGAGTTATAAAAAAGGGTTAAGTTGTGGAAACATGAAATTTCACAAAATATTGTCAAAAGAATGGGATTAGATGAAAACTCTTGTGAACAAGCACGACCGTGGTCAAAAACGCAGCACATCGCCGAGTGAGGATGACGCAATTATAAGAACAGTGAGGATAATCCTCGTCTGCTCAAACCAAAAATTGCGAAAAGTGTTTAGTGACCTTTGAACTGATGACCACCTATAATGGATTAGAAACAGGCAGATATTCACTGAATGATCGGGGGATTTGGCAAAATAAACACCTAAGATCTGAAGGAGAGGTCATAAGGAATACTTAGCCTTGGATAGGCAGAAGTCAGGACGTCCGTTTGTGACAGGAAAAAATTTTAGTTTCTAGATTACACCAAAATTCCATTTCCTGGTTCAGATGGAGTGGCCAGAGTGTGGTGGAATCAAAACGAAAGTTCGACAAATTGATTTCTGGGACCAATTGTAAAAAAATAGACGTGTCAAGGAAATCTTAGCTGTGGGTACATATATTATATGGTGTGAAACCTCTGAATTTTTGCAGGAATGTAATTGTTGGGCGCAGTCACAGTTAGGTCGGGGTATTAATATTCAAATCTGTCGCTTATGTCATCACAAACAAGTCTTATCTTGATTTGCTGAAAATAAATCTTTATAACAAAATCGATTTATAACAAAACATTTAGTCGATTTATAACAAAAGCTGACTTTGGTCAGCGATTTATCCATCAATATGGCGAGTATTATATCAGTATTTAAAAAATCTTCTCAAAATGCTTCAAGGGTAACGGAATAAAGGTGTTGGGTTGGGTTTTTCAATCCCCTGGCCTCAGTCCGACCTAGCATTCATGGTGGACCCTGAAGCGTCCTGCGGCAGAACGGAAACCGACAAATGGAGCTTCTCTGAAAACCATAGTCACAAAAGAGTGGTGGAAGATTGACCAAAGTGTCACTAACACTTTGGTAGATTCGATGTTAAGACGAATTCAAGCCGGCATTGCCGCTAAAAGTAGGTCAGCAACATATTGAATTGGCAGTTCAGCTGCATCTACAATTTTGTGGCGTGCAATTTGCAACTTTTTGACATTAGAATCTCTATAGTTTTGTCAGTTTTAGCCCAATTCATTTGAAATTTTGCACGAATGTAGTATGAAATATTGCTAATAATTGGCCTAAAAACGGATTTGAAATATTAACCCGTTGTGGAGTATTTGTGCTATATATAATGCATGCATGCCTTGCATCTACAATAAAGTGAGATACTGTACGTACATACATACATATATTTAGATATGTACTGCGTAAACATATGTCGACTATGTATGTATTATCTATTATTTATATTACAGCACGAAAAAAACAAGGGATGCATGCATACATATATTTATAACAATCTAGCTTATGTACTAAAAAAAATGAAACTAAGTCCATAACCTAAGAAATCCAATAACCTGATTATGGCGTGCATTCATTTAATGAGTGATGTGTAAATCCATGTAAGTATGAAATGGATAGAAATTTTCGATAGTTACAGACAGGATGAGATGAATGTTTGATGCGTTGGAAGTTGCTGCTTCTAGACTTGGAGATTAGGATGATATTTATTTCAGGGCAAAATGAAAGCAAATTCAACACTAATCTATATGTATGTATGTATGTATTATAAATAGTCAAGCATTACGTACTTCAGGGTATGCATGCACTCTTAGAAATCCAGTATTAAAATAATACCAAGCGGTACTCACAATGACTCACATATGACTATGCCCAAAGTGGTATTGATAAGTAATACCAGGTGTAGTAGTAATAACTCCTTATTAAAGGTTTACTATGTCGAAAGCAAATTTAACCGGCAGGTATAATTTTAATACCAAGCAGTAGTAACTTTAATACCGAGGATTCGATGCCTACCTTACAATACCAGATTTCTAATAATGATTAATTTGTTGCTACCCAATAATGTGACCTTGTCTTGTGCGTTGACACAGAAAATGGGAAACAATAAACGGGGGTACATGATAATACACGTGATAACCAGGGCTCTGTGTTAGAACCATCACTACGCCGAGCAGGAAGGAAGTCTTGTGGTTTCCGCAATCTCAAATATCGCCAACCCATCGTCTTAAAGTTGATACATACATCCATACGTTGAGTTAATTATTTTGTATGCGGGTGGGTGAACTAGATATTGTATACATATTGTGGTTAATAAATACCAGAAAATGTTCAGAATTGCTGTGCACATGCATACGTATGTACATACGTGTAATTTGTGTGTAAGACGAGTCGGGTGAGAGTCTCACGGCGATTAACACAAATGACAAAGTAAGTAAGACTTTGCAAATTAATGGGCTCCTTGCAAATTCACCATGTGCAGAAAGTTTCACTGCTTCAGATAACAATAGTGAATATCAGACTTAAATCGGAGTAGGATTCAAAGTCAAGTAGTCTCATTGGGACTACTTTTCTCGACTTTGAATTGAAATCCGCTTTCATTATCAGTCATAAGTTAGCCTCATTCTCAGCTAGAGTTATAAAAAGTCAGTCTTTTCGAATAAATTGAAATTTGCGTAGTATAATATGAAGTGTTTTGGAGTGTTCTTATTTTTGGGGAAAGAGTCAAAATGGCAGATATTATGGAGACATTCGCATTGCATTTCTGCCATCATTCTTCTCCTCCTTGTTGGATTGATAGGAGGAGGAGATGCGCATATTCACCGGCCTAGACCCCGTTCTCAGATGTTGGATAATTCGGCTGAAGGTAAGACGGTTATGGATTTATAATTAGCATTCAAAAATGGGGCATCTTCTCAAACACTGCTTTTCTGTATAAGCAGAAGGCGGATATGTATCTACGAAAAATCTTTGAAATATGTACTCAATATTTACGAAACATGCACAAAAATTATAAAAATTAGAATTTTCGCGGAATATGCATGTCTGAATTTAACCCTCTGAATTTTTTGTGGTTGAATTTTTCAGAAGAAACAAATTTCGCATCGTATCGTTGAAATATGTTGTTGAAAATATGCATACCTATGCATTTTTTTAATGTCTAAAAGATTTACCTAGTTTTTAAATTCATATTAGCAGAAATATTTATGTATATGTACGTATACATATGTACATATGTCTGAAAACTTGGAAATATTAAACAAAATCTAAGCATATTTTGAAATTTTTTGTTATCTAAATAAATATGTACACATAAGACTTTGGGAACTCACTTGCATATTTATCCATAGATCGTTTTCAAATGAAAAAGCTGAAACAAAAAAGTTTATGCACCCTGGAATAGATACATATCCACCATCTGCTTACTAAGCTAGGGGATATTTAAATTTTAATATGACTTTGACTACTTTAGATTGGATGCACTCTTTTAAACCGAATCCCAAGGAGAGAGCTGGATCTGTAAAATCTGAAGGTACACATGAATTATGCAACAATGAATAATGCCTTTCCTGAATAATACATACCTTTCATGAGTTCTTTCACACAAGTTTTTGTGAAATTGTTTTCCTCTGGAGCATTTATTAAGTATCCATGTACATACATATTTGTTGTCATCAAACTTTCAGACTCCACCTTTTGGTACAACCATGCTCAGAATTCCCTGCGTTCCCAAAAAGTGAATATGATTGAAAGAGTTGCAAAGAATGTCATCTTCTTTTTGGGCGATGGAATGAGTTTCGCTACGATTACTGGTGAGATACATACATTTGATAAATCCATCAATTACTCAGCATAACATTTATTATTGTTCCATAGCTGCACGAATTTTCAAAGGTTAGTATACTACGTTATGAAGACATATTACAGGAAATTTGAAATCCTATAGGAGCTTATTATTTTTTACGTCAGGTCAACTCGAAGGCTCCCCGTTTGGAGAAGAGGCAGAACTTAATTTTGAGCATTTTCCACATATTGGGCTATCTAAAGTAATTTGAAAACGTAGCACATTTTTAGATCCATGCAAAGTTTTTATTTATTTTCCTTAATTTACATAAGTATTTTGACTCACAGTCGTTCTGCGTCGATTCTCAAGTTGCTGATTCAGCCTGCAGCAGCACTGCCTACATGGGTGGGACGAAAGGAAATATAGCTACGGTAATTTTATATTTTTATATGCACCTGATGATATTCCTCCATATAAATAAATAATCCCCTTCGTATGAATTATTTAGGTTGGTGTCAAATCACCAGTGACTTTTAGGTTTGTTGAACAAAATACGCACACTCTTAATAAACTTGTACAAAATTTACTCACGTCGAGTAAAATAGAGTATGGGACAACAATTTGATAAACTTTAGCCAATTGTGTAAAATTGGCTAATTGTGTAAAATTTTATATAACGTAGGATAAATTTGACCCAGCATCGCAAAAATATTACACAATTGCTGTGTCATCCTCTATTTCACTTGAGTAAATTTTGCACAATTTTATTTAGAGTGCATAAATATACAAATGTATGTACCATAACACTGTAAATGAAATGATGACGATGCAGAGACTGCCGTTCTCAAATGAATCGGACCAATCAAGCTACAAGTTTCATAGCATGGGCCCAGGTAGAACTTGCACTGATTAAGTATGTAAATGGAATGTGTTGAAAATTTGGAACTCGTTTTTTGCCAATTACATTAAGGCTGCAGGAAAGGCGACTGGAATTATAACAACGACACGAGTGACACATGGTAAAGTAAACAATCTTAATATCTGATAAATGATAAGACTCTCAACTAGTGAAAATTATAGCCTCACCAGCCGGAGCTTATGCACATTCGGCTGATAGAGATTGGGAAAACGACAAGGCAAGATTACCAAATAATGAGTTTAAAAGTACTTATAATTGCTTATAAATATTTAGCTATACTTTTGCAATTTTTTAGATTATGAGAGATGCTGGAGAAAATCCTGATAAATGCGACGATATAGCGGAACAACTTATTTTTGGTGAAACTGGACGAAATATTAATGTAAGCATTATATCTTACAACACCGTTAGAAATCTGGTATAGTCGGGCAGGTATTGACTTCTCGGTATTAAAGTTGCTACCACTTGGTATTAAAATTATACCGGGCCTCAAATATTTGCTATCGATATGGTAAAACTATAAAACTACGTGACGTTACTAAAACGTTTAACTTATCAATGTCATTTTAGTAAAGTCATATGCATAAATATCGCTTGGTATTATTTTAATACTGGATTTATACTGGTGACCTCTCATGCACACTTAAAAAAATATGATCTTTTGATATGCAAATTATTTAGGTGATAATGGGCGGTGGGAGGCGAGAACTAACGCCTTCTTCCGTTATGGACGTGGAAAATCAAAGACCTGGGTAATTTTCATAATGTTACAACAATTTAGATGAAACCTGGCTAAATTTGCAGACCTGAAAATTAGACGGAGAGAGGATGGAAAAAACCTGATAGAATATTGGTTGAAGGGTAAACCGCCAAAATCTTCGAAATATGTCTGGAATCGTGATCAACTCATGAGCATCAATGCAAGTCAAGTGGATAACGTTCTGGGTAAGCGATTAATAGTATGATAACATTTTGTATAGACAGATTATCATCATGCACATATCATTATGTATTATCATTATTATTATCATTATGTATCCATTATTTCAGGGCTTTTTGCACATGACCACATGGATTACGTCACCGATGCGGGTAAATGTTTCCCTTGCTTTGTTAAGAGTCAAGGGATGAAATCAAGGGATTTACGTGGGTGATTTCATCCCTTTGTTACTTATGCATAACGGTTTATTACTATCTGAAAACTACTTTACAGTATTCCTATCTTTGTTTGAATTTCAGATGCTAATGCGGATCCCTCACTGGTGAGACACATTTTTCATCACATTTCAATCCTTAAATACAGCTTACTTTAAATGACGTGTTTATTAGCCGGAGATGACAAAGGTGGCGATTGACATACTGAGCAAAAACCCGAATGGATTTGTCTTATTTGTTGAAGGTGGGTGAAACTGTTCGATTCGTTCATTGATGGCTAATGTATTACAGATTTCTTTGTGCATCAAAGCTGCCTGGCGTATAAGCAATGCCAACGCTTAACATTTTACACTAAACTTTTAATTTTTCAAATTGTGTGATCTTTTTAGGAGGGAGAATCGACCACGCCCATCACAGCACAAAAGTAGGTCCCTATTTACTCATCTACCGCAAAACCATAAGCACTTTTAAATAACATTTTTTTCCGAATAGTTTGAATAAGAAAATTTTGAGATTTGCTTAACTAAATGAAACCATACTTATGTATATGTAAAATAGGCACAAAAAGCCCTTGTGGAAACCATAGCTCTTGATGCCGCTGTAGCAGCTGCACTGGAAATGACTTCGGAGCAAGACACATTAGTACATAAATAATTCTTTGCAAATTCTGCATTTGCATAACGAAGTTTACTGATAATGACAATAACATATTTTATTAGACAATCGTAACAGCGGACCATAGTCACGTGATGACAATTTCTGGATATGCCCAGCGGGGTATGTAAAACATCTATAAAACGTGTGGACACTCTAAACATCAAGAAATAAATTTACATATTTATTTTATTTAAATCAGGTAATCCGATCCTAGGATTTTCAGGCATCTCGGACGGTACGCGATTTTATTTTATTTCTTACTGAATTGTCGATTTATTTATACGAATAAGGCTCAACCGGGTTTGTTTGGGTTTTCTAGTTGACGATCTTCCTTACACGACACTGAGGTAAGTTACATCGACTGATTCTTTCAATAGTAGAAGTGCTAATTTTTTTGTCAGTTATGCCAACGGACCAGGATACAAACATCCGGATGAGAACGGAGAAAGATATGATCTCACGAATGATAATTTGGGTAGAAATACATATTTACAATAGCATAATCTCACAAACAACGGAGGTCTCACAGCGTACCTATGTTTTCAAATTTTGACCATTTAGTGTCAATCGATCATATATCTAATAGGTATGAAATTTCCAAAAAACCGTCCCCCAATGCGACGTTTTGGCAGAAATATTTACATCTGAAGAGAAATAAATTTGGAATGTGGACAATTTGTCAAGTTTACTAAGGTGCGCTTCTCCTCTTGCCATTATCTCTGCCAAGCGTGACCATTGGCCATTAGGCAGATTGTGTCTTTTCCAATTAAATTTGCGATCGATTTACACTAATTTGGTGAAAATCCTAGAGCATACCTCCATTGTCAGATAAACGGTTGTTAGAATAGTATAAATGAGAGTTTAATGACAAAGTTTAATGCATTGTAGAGGATCCGAACTATTCGCAAATGAGTGGGTAATAATACTACAACATTAAACATTGATTACAAATTGGTAATTGCTGTATGGTAAATTAACTTCATTTAATGCAGGGTACCTCTTCTCAGCGAGACTCACGGCGGCGAAGATGTTCCAATATACAGGTGCAGACATATTTTGAGATTTGACATCAGAGGTCGACGCCGCCGATGGTATGCTACCCGAGCATTTTACGCGCCGCCGTCGCGCATAAACTTGATTTGCAATTTCCCCGATGCATATGAAAAATAAGAAAAATTGGCGAAATTGGTCGGCGTCAACCTCTGTTTGGCATAATATTGTATTACACGTATTCTAATTGGAAAATGTTTTAACCTGCAGCAATGGTCCTTTTGCCCACATGTTGACCGGAGTTAAGCATCAATCCTTCATCCCCCACGCAATCGCGTATGCGGCATGTTTACAACCTCCCGTCGATGGGTTTGCTTTCCCTCCGCATTGCAGGACTAGTAGTATTGGACCTCTACATCGGTGAAAGCCAGTGCTTTTTATAGTAGTTTTTTTGTCGAATTATTGTGACACGACTTGAAAGTGAATAAAAGTATTTAGATATGAGGAATTGCTTACACGAATTTGAAGGCAAATACCTTTGTTTTCGTAAATTTTTTTGTATATGGACCTAACAGAATTTTCGAAGCACTCAATAAAAAGAATTTATCATTTTTCTTATTAATAATTAATTTATTGCATCATAACTACAACTAAGTGCACTTATATTTTTTACCTTAAACTATTTTCTCATCTATTGTAGTAATCATGATTAGAAACGGATTGCTAAATAGCTTTTGAAATTTAGTTTGAATTTTGTCTCACAAATTGTATATTTTCATAATTACTTAAACTGTTTAGCCAAATAACGAATCGGGTTCGAAATCCTGTCCCGAGCCAATTTCCAGACACAACTAATCACACTATAAAGCCAGTAATATAATACGCCTTGAACCCGAACCTCACAAACGACCATACACTCTAAGAAATTGGGTGATAGGCGCTATCACCGCGCGACTGGAAACAGCAAGCATCACCGTAATGGTGATAAACCTATCACCGAAATTTGTCACCATTACTGGTGATCACCACTACCACCGCACCATGGTGATAGCTTCGCTCTACACGTGACTTGCAGAGTGGCAAGTTTGTCGTACTCCACGTACAAGAAACAGCAGCGGAGTTGCAATGGTAAATTTACTTCGTATTTCAAAGTTTAAGAAGAAAAAAATAATACCGTGCCCAAATAGTTATCGCGAATTTATTGATACAGGTAAAAGAAATTAAAAGTTAAAAGTTAGCTAATTTTGGTCAAGTTAACTTTGTTTCATTTCTAGTTGGAGAGAAATTTAACTTTTGTATGTGGATCTGGAGGACCAGAATGTGCAGAAATTGAAGGATTTTGACCAGGTAATATTTGCATGAAATTGAGTAGCTTAATTGTTGAATCTGTACATAATTAATTAATACATTTTTTTCTAATTGGTCGGCCAACTGTAATCAATCTGGAGTCTACAACTCACGAATGTGGTCACTGGTTGCAATTAAAAAAATCTCGATAGTACAAGGGAATCTCTGCAAATAAGTAAATTTGTGGCAAAGTTGTTTTAACGGTAAGGATAAATCAATCAACCCTGATATTTTGACCAATCTAAATGAAAGTTAACTATTTTAAACTTTAATTACTTTCAGTCAGTGTTCTATGTCGTGACTGGAAACTATTCACAACTTCAATTGCTGGTGCAATTCCACAATGGAGAGGGACAGGTTTTACATATATAAATACATATATAATATTCATTATCTGTGAAATTATTTGAATAAAGCAATAAATTGTGAAAAATGTGACATTTTTGTATGAAGTACCGAAATTACTTTTATCCATCATCAGACAGTGAAAATCCGAGCTAATTATGGTGGTGGCATATCACCGCACTGTGATAAAAAATGTACATCCTTCTACCACCACCCGGTAGACGTGTACCACCACGATGGTGATGGCACTCTCTATCACCGCGCGGTGGTTGGTGACCACCATTTCGGTAGAGTCACATATAGTCACCGCTCGGTGATAGTCCGGTGGTCAAATTTCTTAGAGTGTACTTACGCGGAGTGAAAACATTTTCTTTATCTGGTAGCAAATTCTTACCAAGTCGGTGAGGTCATATATAGACACCGCCCGGTAGCGATTTTTTAGCGATTTTGTTTTGAGTGTATTTTACACGAGTGTACATACATATGCCTTCATGTTCATAAATTTTCACCCAGCATGCAAAATTTAAATAGCTTGTTAAGCGATGAAACCCCTTTATAATATCGTCATATTCGTCTGTCTGTTGATCCAATAATTCATGCGCAGAAACGAGCTTGGAGATTAGATTTTTGCAACGCGTTTCTAATTTTTGTAGGGATCACTAGTTTGAAGATGGGACCGTCACACAACACCACTCTGTCGCGACGGTCAGCGGCGTAGCCAAGGGGGGGGGCTAGGGGGGCTTGAGCCCCCCCAGAGGCCGAGGAAATAAAAATAAAAATTAAAAAATTGCAAAAAATTAATAAAAATAAAAAAGTAAGTTACGCATAAAGTTACTTATATGTTGCACATTATGGGAATTCGTTATTTCGTACCCTTTGTATTTTTTGTATCGAAAAATAAGTTGCGACAGCTAAGAGATTTTGTAAGCGTCGTTAAGCTGTACTAAAAATCACACTACTAACAATACGCATGGAAACCAGTTTGCTCTTAACTGATATCTGTTGACGTTAAAGGATGATTTTGATTTTTGATTTTTTTAAGCCCCACATGGTTTTCTCCGACTTGAATCGGACGAATTTTAAATTGTTGACGCAAAAAATGAAAATATCTGTAGCTTTGCATTTTCGTTGATGCACATATTTGTAGTCGAATTTTTAAGCAAAATCAGAATCATTCAAAATTCTATTACTATTTCAATTGTAAACTGATTTCAGAAATTAAAGACAATTAATAAGCAAAATTACATTTCAAAAACTTGTAAAGTTAAAAGTATGTTATGTTAAAAGTTTGATATTTTTTGCATTCTTCAAACATCCAAAGTAGCATACAAATTTCAAATTTTAAAAGTTTCTAGTAAAGTATTTTCTGTGTTTTTGATTAAATAATTCTGGCTGTTGATCGTAAAACGACTTGCCTGATCAGTATTTTTCGAAATTTTGACAGAAACCATAGAAAATACTGATAAGGCAAGTCGTTTTACGATAAACAGCCAGAATTGTAATTGGGTTAAAATTGGAAAAGTTACAGCGTGTTGAAAAATCCTGATTTTGGTTAAAAATTCGGGCAAACGGGAAACTACACGCATTCAAGAAAATGCAAAAAGATTATTTCTGAGCTCGAAGTGTTTAAAATTTGTCCGGTCAAAATCGGAGAAAACCACTTCAAGTCTTCCATCATAAGCTCACGGTTTTTATGAAGCTTAATGTTTCGTTTTTGATTTGTATGCTATTTTACGATACTTATGATGCGAAGATAAATCTGGATACCGGGTTTGAATGTGAGGCGTGTGTATTTAATTCGTCGTTTAGTTTTTAATTTTTCATTCAAATGTCCCTGACTTTTTTAGTCAAAAAATATTGTAAACTTCGTCGCCAAGCTTCTTATTGGACATACGCAAAAGGTGTAAATTTAATCCAGTACCATTTTTCCCTGCAAACAAAATGTTTCTTATTCGAAACTGCAGATATTACAAAACTCATTTTTTTAAAAAATGTCACGGATGCGCACGCATGAAATTTTCACTTTTTATCTCCCTTCTTTGGGACATTATCTGCGATTTATCTCCGTTTTTTAAGTTTAGGGACCTCTTTTGTGAGACTGCTGCGTAGTCAGATTTTTGCGATACTTTCTGTGATATTTTTTTCACACACATACTCTGCGAATTTTTTAGAAAAATTTTCCATGGAAACAATTTCCCAATAAAAAATCACCTTTTTCATAGCATTGACGTAAATGGAACGCGGATGTCAATATTTTGTGGGGGCACATGATTTTTTTCGATTAAGTTGTAAGTTGTGCGACCATACAATGCAGATTATTGGGTTTCACGACAATGGGCTACCTTGATATGATTTTCATTTAACCCAATTTAACCCATTTTACGTTGTTATACTCCCTTGCATAATTTGGACAAGAACTATAAGTTATCTCATGAAATTTGAGAAGAGTCAGTCTTTGTCTGGTATGTGAGACTGTGAGATTATTTTGGTTTAGAGGTGAGACAATGGCTCAGCTGAACCGAGCTGGCTCGTGCTCGGCTCGGTTCAACTGAGCTTGCCAAGATTTTTTTGAGTCGCGCTTTTTCGAGTTTTTCCTGAGTCGAGCTTTTTGCGAACCGTGATTGGGCGAGCCGGGCTTTTGAAAACCGCTGCTCAACTCATCTCTATTTTGAATTGTTCAGGTCATTTTACATCCTTGGAAAAATTGTTCTTCCCGCATTGCTACGAACTTTTTCCAGCGCATCCGAAATAAGCATTATAATAATTTTTAAGAATTTACTTAATTACTTAATTTACTTAATTAGAATTTACTGCTTCTATTTAAGACCTGCATCTCAAAGCTACAATGCTATTAATCAGCATTTATCTTCATTCCACCTATGGTAAAACTTCAACGAAAAACATGGACGGGATCAATAGTTATAGCTGATTTTTCCTCGAGGGAGGGCCAACAAATGAATGTTGCCGGAATAAATTTACAACTTTTATAGTGTTCCTTAATCTCTTGAGTCCAAAGTTTGGACCAATTATTCCGATCATGCGCTAAGCTCTTTGTTGATGATTTTTAGCAAATTTTTCTCAAGTTTGGTATTTTAGTTTGATATTTAAGTAATCCTTAAAATTTTATTATTAAGCCTTCCATGTTGCCCGTCTTTTGTCGTGCAATTTATCTTTGAATGGACAATAAGCTATCTAAGAAATACAAGGTTGATTTTTAAACTGGTCACTACCACTTGAGGTGTCACGCTTTGCGCTAAAGCCACTTGGTACCACCAAACTTTAACCAGAATTTACACACCCACGTTAATGTGTGATCTAATTTTTTGTCATCCAAAAAGCCACTGGGATCAATTAGGCACACACAGTTTACTAGAGATATAATAAATGTTTAAGGCGTTATTAGGTCAAGCATTGAATATGGCGTGCTATAGTTAATGGTTTTTGACGCTTAAAGTTAAGAAATTTGTAACAATGAATCTATACCCTGCGTTAAGACAGTGTGAATGAGTGAACGTAGAAATTTAAAGCCTAGAAAGGGTAATTTAAAAAATTTTTGGCTGGGCCCCCCCCCCCAACACCCAGTCCTGGCTACGCCGCTGGCGACGGTAGTACGATAATCAAATTTTTCGAGTTAGTTTTTTTTTCTAAACATATCATTCATCAGCGTCATCTATGTCAGATAAGCCATTCATAAGTGATCTAGGTATGACAAGGGATGGGGCCATACGGTAAAGTAAACTACTTGATTGGACATAACTTTTGAACAGCGTAGCATTATTAAAATCTGTAAGCTGCGTCACGAACTATCTACAAACCATAAAAAGCTACACAGCTATGTCCATTTCCCACCGGGGGGTGGGGGTTAGAATTAGAGAAAAAAAACATGTCAATTTAAACAGATTCGGAATGCTGAACCAGTTTGTATGATACCCG